AAAAAAAAAAAAAAAAAAAAAAAAAAAAAAAAAAAAAAAAAAGCCATGGTGACCTGTTTAATCACGGAGAACTCCACTGTGGATTGAAGACATTCGATAGAGGTCACTGAGAGTTCAAATCGTTGGTAAGTTGCTAAGTTATCTGTCTTGGCTTTGATACGAGGTTCCACCCCTGACAAGCATGGGCTCGGAATCACAAGCAAGTTCGTCGTGTTTCACATGACTGGAAGCTCAGTTCTGAATCCCGTTCGTTTGAGGGAACGCCTTGTTGCCTCGTTTCGTTCGGTAGAAGCCGAGAGACCAAGCCCAGGAACGACAAAGTCGGTCCGGCATTTGTCAGTGTCCGGGAGATACTACCTCGTACTACTACTAGTAGTAAGCGCCCGAGAGTGGGTTTCCTCATTCCACTAACACCTGTTGAAAGGGAATCTACCTGCTAGTACTAGTACTAAGAAGAGAGGCTCGGATGTGTCCGATCCCTGAGCCTCGGCACAAGATTTGCTCTCGAATCACATCAGGCGACAAACGATCGCCCAAATCTTACTACAAGTCTATCGAAATGCACGGGCGTGACCCGAGCGCGGGAACAGACCCCATCTCTGCATGCCTCATGACAAAATTACGATAACGGAAGAGTACATAGCACGGCCAAGCTATTTTCTGGCTGATTCTGGAATGGCCAAGATGGTAAGTACCTGTAGTAAAAGTAACGTCGTTTGGAGTACGAAGGAGGGAGTGTGTGTGGGTGTCAGGCCACGAGCTGCCGTTGCATTATTACCTGTTGCGCCCTTCAACTCCCCCCCTTTTGCCTGGCTATTAATTCGTCCGCATGACTAATTGTAAGTCCGATAAGACAACTTTTCAGGGTTGTAATTCAAGGGTTGTCTTCTTTGCGAGATCTAATTCCGTTGCGTCGGTACGGGGTGTTGTTGGCTGCCTCTGTACAGTAGCGTCATCGTTGTTTATTCCGTACCTTAGATGCGACAAGGATAACCAAACGGAGCTGGGAAACGAGAAATAAACGAATAATCAGTTCTTGATAATCAGTCTTGATCGATTAATCCATGCTTTCCAGCTGTCCGTTTACAAGGATACAATTCCATGCTGGCCTGCTAATTTCAGATCTCGCATTAGACAGGAGAACGCTGTATTACATATCTACGCCGTAAGAAAAAACCAGTGGAACATTGACGCTTGCGTTTAGTACCCAGTCAGGCGATGCGCCGGTCAAGCCACTCCGTCGAAATACTCCGAGAAGAACATACATACAGGAAAAAAAGAAAAAGAGGACAAAAATTTAGCCAGCTACCGAATAACGAGAATGGCGCATCACATTCGCGCAGAAGAACGAGGAAAGAGCCATCCATAAAATAGAAACGGACGCTGAAAAGAATTAGAAGAAAAAAAAAAGAAGGATAAAAGAAAAAGAAAAAATCAAGGGAAAAAAAAGAAAAAGAAAACAGGAGACGGCGCCGCGATTGGCCCACAATACCGCAATTGTTGTCCGGTTCAATCCCAGGGCAGGATCTCCACGTGCCAAACAAAGTTTGGGAAAGTGCCCCCGCTGGATTGCTAGTCGCCGTGGTGCAAAGCGGGGCCGGAAGGTGGAAAGTGGGGACGGGAGGTGCAAAAGTCCATGGAGTTTCCGAGGAAAAGAAATGACGAAGTTTTTGACTCATTTCTGCGGAATTCCGTGCTGATGATGATGTTGGATAGCCTACAACTACTCCGTATTGATTGTTTGATTTGTTTGATTTGTGTTCAAAGTCGTTTTAGACTCGGGCTTTTTTTGCTCTCCGTCCTTTTGCTTGATAAGCGGAACTGTCAGACTGTCGTCAAATGTTTCACGATACGGCTTCACTTGGGTTCAACGTTGGTCGCCGTGAGTATGTGCAACTCGGGAGCGGAACCTGGTCAACGGACGGGAGACGGCGTCGAGGGGGTCCGATCCTTCGTGAAAGGAATACGATAAACGATAAACGACGAACGGAGTACGGACAAGACTCACGGAGTACACGTATGACTGATGAACATGATCAAAATGCGGAGCGCTGCAAGTCGTAACTCAGCCTCATCATCACTGGAGTAAGCATCGCGACTTGCACATGACGGTTTCAAGGTTTGGTGCCAAGGTCAGGATCACAGGAAGAAACACCATTCGTAGAGCCTGAGAATACAAGCTCTGATGCGATGGCGAGGCTCACGATATTTGCACAACTCATCCGCCTGATGTCCATTTCAACGAAAACCACCAAAAACGGGCGGATTGTTCCCAGGTGATTGATAATAACCTCCCGCTAGCGAAGCCTCACGGCCGCAAATCTGGAACTACTAGTGTTCCGAGTATCTAGATGCTTCTTCCCCAGCACGGCGTCCGAATATAGGCATTTGCCCACGCCCGGCGACGCAATCAGGACCCAGCTGGAACGGACTTCGGACACGGCGCCGTGTAGGTGGGACTTGTCCCGGAGATGGTACCATGTCGGTGGCCGAGGTGTTGACTTTCTTTCCAACTTCTCTGCCAATGCTACAGTGTGGCTTTCTGTGGTAATCATCTGAAAACGTTCAGTGCGTCTTCTCTTCGGGAGACAGCCACGACGAACGCCCTCATCCGACGCTCTGTCTGACGATACGGCGGGCATTGGGGGCGGAGGCTTCAGCCTTTACTGAGAAGAACAACCGTTGGCCGGGGCTGCCCTCCGTTTCTTTCACTTTCTTTTGGGGAATATCGTCCCCAGCGGCCCTGTGGCGCTTCATAATGGATGGCAGACTTGGGTTGCACAATGCCACAGGAAAACAGGTATAGCGTAGGAAGTACACACACACACAACACACACACACAAATTGAGAGGGGAGCAGGACGGGAAAAAGAGACGGTGTCATACACTCGAAGCTGTAGAATGCGCCCTTGCTGCACTGCTAGTTACGTGTTTGGCTGCGATAGCTGCGAAGGATCTGCCTGGAGCGTTGCATCGGGCAAGTGTGCAGCTGCACGGTGATGCGCACGAGAGCAGAGGCCGATTGATATTGCTCTTTTTGTACTACTGTTGAATGTAAGGGCACTCACATTGTGTGGCAGCTACCTAGGTATTAGATAGAAGTCTGTGACCGGCCGTGAAGAGACTGAAGACGGCGTTAATGACACGGGTAGATGCGATGTAGATGTTTTGAAGAGAGACACGGCGGCGTGGCTTGCGGGCCGCTGCTCGTTGCGAACCTTGAAATGACGAGTACTATCTTGCGACACGGATCATGTAATCTGCATTACAGGCTGAGCTAAATCCTGGCTCTTCTGCGTCAAAGATGGCTCGAGATGCAACATGTCGAACTGCCGAGATGGTTCTTGAAATCTGATCGAGATGGTTTCGAGCACTTCATCCAAAACCGTACAAGCAACTCTACAGTACAACTACTACCGGCAAGACGTCATGCTGCCCTTATTAGTCACGCCTCAGCTTGAGCCTCTGCACTGCTTTCGGCCGAAGCCAAGAACCCGCAAATCCACGCTCCGTGGCGCCACCGAAGCCGTGTTTCTCTTCTCACCCTCTCGCAGTGTCCATGTCCGTGGACTTTTGCACGCTGGTGCTTCGTAGGGCAGTTGAAGCGTACCTGAATGCGTTAGAGCAGGGGAGTTAGCGGCCGGAGAATGGAGATACCAGCGAGAACGGTCCCGGACCAGCCCCAAGCAGACTAGAGCACCATCAACGCTAGTCCTCTTGGGGCACTAATGCTCTGCGCACCTCCAGTCGGGTCGCTTCGTCGTCCGCTTCCCTGCTCGTCGTCTCTTCCCTGCCTCCATCAACTGATGCTGCTACGACTTTTGCCCTCTTTAGCATCCTTCTGCTCGCAAATAACCGCTGCTAGCTGCTCGTTATCTCCACCAACCTGGGCGCATTCCTGCTCAAACCCGAATCCCTTGCCCATTATTTCCACTTCCAGGCTCCCTAGGCTCAGTTGCTGATCCGATCATGCAGCTTGTCTGCAACCTCCATCCCAGCTCTGGTGGCTTGGCCCTTGAGATCAGGTCCGCTTGGCGTCGAGGCCCTGGTTCTGTTTCTTTAGGCTTCCTTTATTATCATTATAAGAAAAGCGGCCGCTCCTGATTCGGCACAGCTGCGACTCTGCTCCAGACTCTGTATATACTCTCTCCCGCCTCTTCTCTACTCTTCCGTCTTCATTCTTCGGAATTGCTACTTACCTACAAGACCAGGCACACAGCTTCAGACAGGCACGGGAACAGCCGCTTATTACGAGTATTACCTTGTCTACAAAACTGACCACTTCGACTCTGGAATCCGGCCCCCCCTCCCCGGTCAACCATTCCAACAGCCAGCCTTGTCTCCTGACTCGCCTGTTCTCTCTCTCATCCTGCAGCCGTCTTTCGACTCTCCACCGCTTCGCACCACCGCCGTTCTGCCGAGGCTCAGCAGCGTTCTAGGCCTATCTTGTCTGTCAAAGGGGCTTCGTTTGTCACCGTCAATCCGCCGCAGTGGAAATCGCTTGCCCGGACGATTCAGCTAGGCTCGGACGACATCCACCGCTACCCGCTGACGGAGTTCCACACGATTAGGTTGTCTTTTAGGGAGGTGTGTAGCTCAATATTTGCCCGATCCCTGCCCCCTGATTACCTGTCCATGTCCATACATAATACCTGCCACTGTCACGAGTGTACCACCTTGCGCCGCATTTATACATAGAAGCACATGCCCCCGGTTCTGAGCCCTCTCGTGATCTGACTCTTACCCAGGCTCTTGCTCAATTTCAAAAGATCGGCTGCCCCCGACGCAATCTGAGATTTGGGTTGGCACATCTGCTCCGCCGTCTTTAAGCGACAATCGCTACGAAGAACAGACCACACCCAAGTCGCAACCATGGCCGACGACAAAGCTTCTCTACCAGATCCGCAAACGCCTCATCCGCCTTCCTCTTCATCGGCATCCACCTCGTCAGCCACTGTCTCGACCCCGGCGCACGATGTCGAGGCTCAGCAACAGGCCGTCCCCTCTGAAAAGATCAGCCACTGGAGGGTTCTCCTCGACCAGACCGGAGTCACCCAGCAAGTCCTGGAACACAAGTATGACGGACATGGCACCACCGAGTCCCCTTATCTGGTCGAGTTCGTTCCCGGAGACAAATGGAACCCCATGACCTTCAAGGACTCATTCAAGTGGACCGTCACTCTCATCCAGGCCAGCGCCACCCTCTCCGTCTCGTTTGCCAGTTCTGCCTACTCAGGTGGTGTGAGTGAGATCATTCGCGAGTTTAACATTTCCCCCGAGGTTGCCATTCTCGGTGTCTCTCTGTTTGTCCTGGGATTCGCTATTGGACCCCTTCTCTGGGCCCCGCTGTCTGAACTCTACGGCCGCCAAAAGACCTTCTTCATCAGTTACATGGCCCTGGCTGCTTTCAGCGCTGGAGCTGCTGGAAGCCAGAACATGGCCACTCTCATCATCCTTCGATTCTTCGCCGGTGCCTTTGGATCCTCTCCCCTGACGAATGCCGGTGGTGTCATTGCCGATCTGTTCCAAGCCAAGCAGCGAGGTATCGCCTTCAGTATCTTTGCCATGGCTCCGTTCCTGGGTCCGGCTCTTGGTAAGTTTCCATTCTCAATCGTAAAGCCTTTTGAAACGCGCGTGGCATGCTGATTTGTGACGGCAGGCCCAATTGCAGGTGGTTTCCTCGGCGAGTCCAAGGGCTGGCGATGGGTGGAGGGATTGATCGCCATCTTCACCGGCGTTGTCTGGATTGCCAGCTCCTTGGCTTACCCCGAGACATATGCCCCGGTCTTGCTTCGCCAACGCGCTGCTGCCCTGAGCAAGAGGACTGGCAAGGTCTATATTTCCAAGCTGGAGGAGGGACAGCCGCCCAAGACCATCGGCAGCCAGCTCCGTGTTTCTCTCCTGAGGCCTTGGATTCTCCTCATCAAAGAGCCCATCGTCCTTCTCATCTCCCTCTACATGGCCATCATCTATGGCACTCTCTACATGTGCTTCGCCGCCTTCCCCATTGTCTTCCAGCAGGGCCGTGGCTGGAGCCCCGGTATCGGCGGCCTGGCCTTTGTTGGAATCGCCATTGGCATGACCATCGCCACCGTTGGATCCGTCTTTGGCAACAACCGATACATCAGAGCGGCCGCCAGGTCTCCTGATGGGATGGCTCCTGCTGAAGCCCGTCTGCCTCCCGCCATCCTCGGCTCCGTCCTGATCCCCATCGGCCTGTTCTGGTTCGCATGGACCAACGGGCCCAGCGTCCACTGGATTGTCTCCATTATCGGCACCATCTTCTTTGCGTCCGGTATCGTCTTGGTCTTCCTGTCGCTGATGATCTACATTGTCGATGCCTGTAAGTTATTACCGTATTCGGTCTGTGTTACCTCGTGGGACGAGACTGCTAACTCTCGCCTTAGATGTCATCTTTGCCGCCTCGGCTCTGGCTGCCAGCTCCGTCCTCCGATCTCTCTTTGGCGCTGCTTTCCCTCTCTTCACCAGCTACATGTACAGCGACTTGGGTATCCACTGGGCGAGTTCCATTCCCGCCTTCTTGGCGCTGGCCTGCGTCCCCTTCCCTTTTCTCTTCTACAAGTACGGCGACAAGATCCGCGCCAAGTGCCAGTACGCCGCCGAAGCCGCCGAGGTTCTTGCAAGAATACGGGCCAAGAACGTCCGAGTCACCGAGGATGAGGCCGCTGCGGAAGTCGAAAAGCACGAGCAGGAGAGACGTGACAGCCGGGCCCTGCAGAGAGAACAGAGCCGCGCCAGTCGCGCCAGCCGTGCCAGTCGTGCCAGCCGGTTCTCTCTCCGGCGTAACAAAGACTAAACGTATGGATTCTACATGATGGATCCCCCTCTCTCCTCTATACTTTCGATTGGGTTATATCAACCAAACATGCCCTTTTTCTCTTTCTTTCGGCCTCCATTGTACGAGCAAAACTACGGCATATGCTTGCTTGTCAATACCACTCCCCTCGGATTGTGTGGAAATCCATCTCGAAGCGATAGAATATGGCTCGATTTTTCTTCCTCTTTCTTATTCTTTTTTTCTAATACCTTTACGATTTTTCAATACGGCCAATGCGAAACGGATACTCATTGAGATAATACATATATAGAGAAGCGTCCTCTTCAAGGAAAGGGCGCAAGCAAAATGGGGTCATGGGATGCGGAGTATACGATGACGCCTCCGCAGACGTAGGGGGAACATGAAGGGCCACGGCCACTGTTAGCGGTTGCTTTTTGCTCGTTTAGACAATGTTGCATGGGTTGTTGTCGATAGCATATTAGCATGTACATAGACTGGAAGAATGAAGAAAAGTTGAATGCTCCCATCCCATCTACCTTAGTACACGGTAGACAGCCATTCCTGCGATTTGTACACCTCACAGAACATTGTGCTCCGTCGTCAACGCTCCTAGGCTGTGCGGCCATCTTGAGAATTGAAGGTGTTGAGAGAAAGCGTTTCAAAAGTAATATCGCTCGTAGATGCATAATCCGCGAATGAAGTAGCCATCATCAATACCATCGGCAAAGGAGTGCTCCTGTAAGTAAGTCAAGATACCTCTCAAGGGAAGGATAGCCCAACCAGAACAGAGATGAGTAATTCAACGAGTGATAGGCTTTCAACATCCAATTAGGAGAGATCCATCACCTCTTGGGTTGGGTACAAGCCTGAGTCCTAATGTAACTCATGAGGCATTTCATGCGGTCATTGCAGTTCAATTCAGGATGCGGTCCAATCCTCACTTGAAGAGGGCTGACGGGATGCAGATGGTCTCGGTACGTACCGCTAAGCGTTGGCATCCTAAGGTAAAGAGGCAATCGAGCTACAGTGTGCGATGAGCGCATATCGTCACCATTAGCACTGGGAGGGGCCTCGCGACGTTTGGAGCCGCGTTCTGGCAACCCGCATCTTTTTTCCTCCAAACAAACGGTCCCGCTTTCCAACCAACACTTCTTGTCGATATCGCGTTTCCCCTCGATTCTCCATTTCAGCCTCATCTGGTTTCGTCTTTTCTCTTGTTCATTTCAAAGGCTACCTACATAACCGCATATTCCTGCCTCGGCCTGCACCAAGTAACGGAGATCACAGAACCCACACCCTCCCCCTCTGAGGGGGTCTTCCCGGCCATGAGGAGGCCATCACAGCCAAGCGCCGACTCGTCGCCAGCGTCATTCTACACTAGCAAGGAAGAGGATTCAGAGCTCAACGCCAAGTCGACGACTGCGAGTACCCCTTCGAAGACACAGCCGTGCCCGTACCGAACGGCGCGGGAGCTCCCGCACGAGCTCAAGGAGCACTGCCAGATTTTCCTCGAGGAACAGCTATGTATGCATTGCGTAGATGGAGATGTGCACCTGAGCGCACATCCGCTCCCATTGGCGGAATGGACGCACAAAGAGCGTGAGACTCTGACATTGGACGGCTTCTAGACACCTGCGCCATCAACCTCCTCAACAGCATCCTCGGCTCTGGCGTTTCAAGAGCATCACCTGGCGGCAAGCCGGTGCCCGTTCCTCCTCCTAGCCATCTCGCGCTGCTCGGCACGCTCGCCGTCCACCCTCTCCACACCACGCGCGTCGACAAACCCGAGCACCTCGATGTCTCCTCCCTCGCCTTGGGATACCTCCGGAATGTCCTCGCGATAGTCGGACCGCTTCACGCAGACTTTCGAACCGCATTCCAATTCCGCGCCCCGCCGAGATGGAACCGTCGAGCAGCGAGACATACTGGCCGTGGTAGCGACAGCGAGATGTCCGATGGCGACTCTGAGGGCACTCACGATTATCTGCGAGGGAAGATTGCGAACGAGGGCAGCGTGTGGGCCAAGGGCCAGGACTTTTGGTCCACGGTGGGCTGGGCATTCCACTGCTGCTCGCTGATGCCGCACCGATGGCGATACTGGAAGGCTTGGCTGGAGTTCATGCTGGATGTGCTGGACGCTGACTGGGCGGAACGAGAGCGTCGCGACCAGGAAGATTACGAGACGAATGGCCGCGTGGGCGAAGAACCCACCACGTGGCGTGCTGAATCCATGATGGTCATGTACATGAAGCAGGAAGACGGGCGTCACTCCGGCGACAAGGCCATCATCAAGGCGCTGTTTGCTTACAACGGCAGCGTGTCGTCTTCGTCTTTCCAGGAGGTCTTTGAGAAGGAGCACAAAGGGCCTAGCAAGCGGGGGAAGAAGCGAAAGCGCGAGGCCGTTCTTGACCTGGCCAATGACCAGTTTGGCGACTACTTCGACGAGGACGAGGCCCTCTCGTCGGGCGTGTCCGAGCCGCCAACCCCCCAGAAGCACCGCACCAAAACCGACGGCTCGGGGATCAACGCAGGCATGGTGGAGTCCGTCCACCTACGGCTGCGGCTATTCAAACTGCTCTCTGCGGCTACGGCCGTGCTGTCCAGCAAACGCGAGCGACGGGGACGACGGGAACAGCCGGAACTCGACAAGCTCTACGAGGACTTCGCGGCCGGTATCAAGGTCCTCCCCTTGGATATCTTTGCCCTCTTCGTCTCACAGCGGTCGAACCCTCTGCTGCCTGCGACGCACGTCACCCTCACCAGAATGCTGTTCCAGCAACTGCTTCCGTCGTCCTACAAGGACCCTCACAGAGTAGACCCGGAAGGCGAGTCTACGGGAAGTTTGACGATGCGCATGCTTGAGCACTGCTACAGCTGCCATCCTGCCAATACCATTAGTCTGGAGGACAACGCCAAGCTGTCGCTGGTGGTTGAGAGCGCGATTCAGCTTCTGTGGCGTTTCGATGAGGTGGAGTACACAAAGAGCTTTGCTGCTGCGGTAGAGACGGGCATCGAGGCGCGAGCGAAGAAGGCACAGAAGAAGAGGACGGGGCGAACAAAGGCCGACGCCAGCGATTCCCACGCCCTCAATGTTTTGAATGCATCCGCCGACAGGATTCGAGTGCTTTTGGGCGTGTTGAAGGCCTCGGCTGAATGAGGTTTTTGGTCGCAAGGCCTTTTTATGCCTTGTTTTGTCGAATTCTTGCGTGGCGTGTGCCATTGGGCTACGACTTTGTTTTCAATCCTGTTATGAAACTTACGAGGAAGGATTCGCGTGTCGAGCGTTACTTGTTATAATGATTTCAAGAGAAGCTGTCTGATGATACAGATATGGAAGCAAGGCGTTTCAAGGGTTGGTTGGTTCCCTGGGGCCTGGGGTATACAAAATGATGCATATAATACATGTCTATCCGCCCATCAACCCATAGGTACTTTGTACATACAGGCCTGATCTACACATGATACCTTTTTGGTCGATTTGGTTGTCATGTCCTCCGCTTTTCGTTCTCTGTGTCAGGGTTTGACTTGTTACGAATCATCGTCTCGTCTTCGCGGCCGATGGATCCCACGCCGTCGGCTGCCATTTCTCGCCGGGCGCCTGAGGTACTGCTCTGGCCCAAGGATCCTTTACGTCCTGCTTGATCCTGGCCTTTGGTTTCGGCTTCTCGCTCTCCGCCTTGTTCGATTGAGCTGGTTCCGTGTTCGTCGTCGTCGTCGTCGTCTCCGCCGTTGCGTCTGCTGCCTTCACCCCTGCGCCCTCATCAGCCGCCAAAGGCAACCTCTGCCGCTCCCGCGCCATCGGCTGCAGCGGATCCTCCATGACCCTGGGCTTGGCCTCCCACCGGGCGTCGGCCTGGGCGGCGAGCAGCTTGATGCGCTCCTGGCGGACGGCCTCGGCGCGCTGCTCGTCGAGCGAGGGCGGCTCGCGGCGGGCGTGCCGCAGCCACTGGTGCCACTGGGGGCTGACCTTGACGGAGGAGAGGTGCGTGGAGCGCGGGTAGGAGACGATGCGGCGCCAGCGCTCGCCCGAGTCCGAGGCGCCGCGGTGGTGGCGGAATTCCCAGAAGGTGTTGCCCTGGAGGTCGAAGCCTGGATGACGATTGTTAGGTTAGAGGAATGGATATAGGGAGATTTGAGCGGCTGGAAGATGGTAAGATGGACGAACCGATGAAGAAGCGCCGCCGCCAGGGGAGGCGCAATGCCTTCCACTTGTACCACGCCTGGGCAAATGGGCCTATTTGCTTCGACGTCGTCATGTCATGAGGATTGCGGCGACGATGTCTTTTGTTTAAAACACCCTTGGGAGGGAGATGGGTTGAGCTTTTGCTGGCGAGGTTCTGCCGTCATAGGAACTGTCTAAAACGTGGTTGAGCGTCAAACGTGGCTGTGCGGCGCCACACCCTTATGGGAGATACCAGCCACGTTGAAAGTGCCCCTCCAATGTTTCTTCTGTAGGTACGTACCGATCCGCGGCCTTGCAATGCGCATTGTCCCGAAGAAGCTCGCCATTAAAAAAGGTGATCTTGCATTGAAGTTGCAGCTTGCTTTAGCGAAACGAGGGGCTCATGGGTGTTGATGCGAGTCATCTGCTGCCTCCTGCTGGTCATTGCCCTGAGCGAGCATCTGCCCACTGAAGTGTGTATTTATAGCAACTCTCCTAATAACGAGCTCCCACGTATCGAGATAGTCCAACCTGCAGTATTACTGCCTGTACCTGAGGCTGCCCGCCTATCCCACTGCGCTCATCAAGCCTTACCCCCGTAATCACCTGTAATTTGAGGCGCCCGATTCCATTTGTTCTTCAGTTCAAGCTTCCAGTCACTCCCCCGCCTGCTCCTGCGCCCTGGAAGCTGACGTGCGTCACCCGCCAAGGGGGGGAACCACTGAAGACGCAAGGCATCCACCAAAGTACCTGAACCCTTAAATCACCTGCAGCTCGTTTGTCCCTTTCCAGCCTCTTTCTTGTTCTTCTTCTTCTCCTGATTCTCTATCCTTGGCTTCTTATACTCTCTCTCTCTACCACCCTCCCTTTTAAAGCCCATCGTGCGCGCAAATAGCAGCACCTTTCTTTCTTCTATTCTTCCTCAGACATTTACTCGCCGACTCACCACTACTAGTATATCCCTAACGAGACACCTGCGGCATTGTGTTGCTATGCTCTAGATTCCAGTCCCGCTTGTTGTTGCGACGGCATTCCGGACCTCCCGCTTATTACTCACGCCCCGTCTGACGCTGACCTGGTGACGACATCAAATCCTCGACAAATCCGATACCTTACAACTACCTTACACATCCATACCTTGTCTACTTTCTCTCTCCCTCGCATATCCGACTTTGACGCCTGTGAAATCCCCCCACGATACCTTACGAAAGCACGTCACCGAACAAGTAAAAGACACACAGTCGCACGCGAAGAGACTGCGCCCAGCCATGGCATCCGTCACGTCCCTGGACAAGGACCTGCGCAGGTTGCGCCTCGAGAAATACACGCCCGCCGCAGCCAACGAAGCCCGCGCATGGATCGAAGAGACGCTCGGCGAACCGCTGCCGTCAAAAGATTTGCTAGAAGGCCTCAAAGACGGCGTCGCTCTCTGCAAGTAGGTTTATGCACCACCAGCCTCCGTCGTCTCTCTGAGCTGCTGCTCGTTGTCGCGCGCATGCTAACCCTCTCGTCCAATCCCCAGGCTCGTCAATCTCGCCCTCCCCGCCCCCGGCATCAAGTTCAAAAAGTCGGCCATGCCCTTCGTCCAGATGGAAAACATCTCGCATTTCTTACGCGCATGCCAAGCACCACCTCTGAACCTGCAACAGCACGACATGTTTCTCACCGTCGACCTGTACGAGCAAAAGGACCCGGCCCAGGTGCTGCAGTGCATCGGCGCCTTCAGCAGAGCCGCGCATGCCGCCAACCCCAACAACTTCCCCCATCCCATCGGGCCCAAGACGGCAAAGCCGGGTGCTGTTACGCCTCAAGGCACCGGCGACGCACCGGCGGCCTCACGCGCTCGCGGAGCTTCTTTTACTGGAAACGCCAAACTGAGTCCTGCAAAGCCCCCCGGTTCCCCCGAGTCAGTTAGCTCCTGGAGCAGGAGGAAAGACGAGGGCTCGACGAACCCGGCTTGGAACATTGCGCAATACGGGTACATGGGCGGCGCCAGTCAGGGCAACTTGGGCATCGCCTTTGGAGCCCGCAGGCAGATCACTGGCTCTGGACCTCAGGTACCCAGCCTGGCTGAGAAAGAGCGCATCAGGAAAGAGAAGATAGCGGAAGAAGAACGTCAGCGGCAAGAGGCTCAGGCCCGGCGCCAAGCCCAGCTGGAGGCCGAAGAGCTCGCTCGCGCCGAAGAGGAGAAGCGATGGCAGCAAGAGACGGAGCGACAGAAGGAGGAAGAGCGCCGCAAGATTTTAGAGGAGAAGCAGAAATGGCAGGAAGAGGAGCGGCAATGGAAGCTGACCGAAGAAAAGCGCCGCAAGGAAGAAGCTGAGGCTGAGGCTCGCCTCGAGGAAGAGCGCCGCCGCGTCAGAGCCAAGAGCCCTCTCAAGCTGCATGGGCAATACCTGAGCCAGTACCAAGCTGAACAAGCCGGCACTGACGAAGAGCGACTTCGTGAGGCAGAACGTCGTGAGGCCGAGTATGAGCGCGAGCGCCAGGAGCGAGCTGCTGACGGCGAAGTGCCGGACTCACCGGCCAAGCTGAGAGGCCGGACAGGCGACTCGCGAAGCCCCAAAGCGGTCAACAACACCTCGCAGCTGAGCCGTCACGAGTCCTGGTCGCAAGGGGAGCGCGAAGTTCTCCACACCAAGTGGAAGCAGCATCAGGAGGACCTGAAGGAGGATGAACGAGAGGGACTGGCTTCTTCGCCGATGCCCAAGTCCCCTCGCCCTCTGCCTAATCCCAGCGGGCTTCCGGGCGGACGACCGCTGCCGGACCCAGCCAAGTACTCGTCCCCTCCCAGGGAACCGGCGCAGAACCGCACAGATCGCTTCCTGGCGAGCAATCCTGCACCAAAGCCGTTCGTCGCTCAGCAGACGTACGCCCGAGAGCTCGGGGCGACGGAGGAGCGCGACGCCGAAGACCAGCGGCGGATCCAGAGCCAGGACAAGACCAAGGCGAGCGGCTGGGCGTCCATGTCGCTCCTCGAGCGCGAAAAGGAGCTGGAGCGGCAGCGGCAGAAGGAGTGGGAGGAGGCCCAGAAGGAGACGGCGGCCATGGCCCGCGGCGACACCGGCGTCGACGGCATCGGTGGCGGCATCGACGGCCGGTGGGACGTCAGCCAGTGGAGCGGGTACACGGGCGGCGACGGCCAGAACAAGGGGTCGCAGGGCATCGGCGCAGGCCGGAGGCAGATTGTTGGGCCGCGGCCTCTGCCCACCAGTCCCGGGCGGTACTGAAAACCGGATGAGGAGGGAACAAAAGGAGAGGAAGAAGAGGGAGCAATTTTGGTTGTGACGGACCTGGATTGGCAAGTTATACTACGTAGATGATCTTTGATGGGCGTCCATCCGGCTTTTGGCGGGAGTGGGAATTTACATAAAAGACGGCGATGGTCGGCGGTTGTTGGGACGGAAAGGGGCGGCGCATTGTCATGTTTGGCTTCAACATTTTTTTGTCTTTCATTTCTCTTTTACCTCCTTCTTTCTGCCCTTTGGTTTCCTCTTCTTCTTTACCTTCTTCTTTTTCATTTCTTCTTTACCTTCTTCTTTTTCATTTCTTCTTTACCTTCTTCTTTTTCATTTCGTTTCCTTTCATTTCATTCTTCTCTTCTCCCTTCGTCTTGTCTTTTCGTTCCATCTCGTGGTCTTTATCCTTATCCTGTTTTTGTATCCTTCTACAAAGATCTGTGCTTAGCGTTGATTTGTGGTTTCTCTCTTCTTCTTCTCCGTCTTTCTCTCTTCAGAGCGGCCGGCCGTAAAGGCTTGTATCGTTTAAGTATCCAATTCAATGCAATAACAGCGCCATCACTACATGTACAATGCAGTCCGTTCACCGAGATGCATGACCCCTCAGCACGTCCAAAGCAACAGAGGGTCACATTTCGGCCAGCGGAACCGACGGTAACCCCCAATCTTGGCAGACGAGGCCAGGGTGGTGCTTGTGAAGATCCAGATTTTGTTAGACCCGCCCTCTCTTGCAGGGTGCCGCCGCGGCCCACGCGAAATGGGGATTTGAGGGGTCCTGCTCCATTGGCTCGTGAGCTTCGCAGCGTTGCTTGTCTCCATCGTCTTTACTTCGTATTTCGTACCGTCGTTATCCTTCTCTTTTCAGGGCAGTAGCCACAGATGCTTCGAGGTAGGGAGTAGGCAAGACACATAAACCATCTTTGCGTCATATAGCATATGCGGAACCTACACACGAATGGGATAAGCATGCAGAGTAATATGAAGCTTCCATCACTTTTGCTGCTGATATCCCGGTCGTGGCATGCATTAGGTGGAAATCGACCTCGGGCTGCTAGCTGCAGCGCGAGAAAGGCCTGATAAAGGCTTTGCTGCTGCTTGACGGGAAGTCCCGCGATTAATCGTCGACGTCCGAAAAGGGGGGCTCACTAATAACACTCAAAGGATTCTTCAAGAAGACCACACACAGTCAGGACGGGCATAGTCTCGAATGTCAACACGGGGCAGATGCTACCGTAGCGATAAGCCGTTTTCTTATTTCTCCTTTTCATTTTTTTCTTCTGTGTCATGACGGGCGGCTGCCATGGCTGCGCAGGGATCTGCGGCGTGCTTCTTCTACCGCAGTAGGAGTGTGAAGCACCGTCCGTTCATTATGCTGATGTTCCACCATCAGCCGTCTTGTTCTCCGATGCCTCAGTGCGACACCTGTTGCACATGCACCAGCCGCCAAGGCTTCCTCGGGCCCATTCGCGTCGCTGCTGTACTGGCAAAGTCACATCGCAATAATGGTTGAGGATTTCCTCTCCTTTCTTGATGCCTCCAGGTCGACCGCCCACGACACGCTCTTTCCTTGCTGTGAGAACCATGCGACCGCTCCAGTCCCATGTGACGTTTGGATCGCAGTCGTGGTTGGCGAGACACCAGTAAGGATGCACCGCGGCAACATCCGGCCTTCCGTCCCGAGGGTTCTTGCGGGCCGACGCTGTTCCTCGAAACTTGGCGTACAGCGTGTTGAGTACCCATAAATCGTATTCCATCAGGTTGGCATAGATATCTATGTCCATCTTTTCCAGGATATGGAGAGGCGTCTCGATATTATACTTGAAGGAGAAGGGAAGCGTCCACTCCGGTGGAGGACCAGCGTTTGGCGACGTATCGATCTCGTTTGCTTCTGTAGGTATGAAATCGCCCCAAATGAACTTGACCTCCCGAACGTCCAGCGGATGAACATCTTCATTAACGGCCATCGCCAGGACTCTGGCAAGTAAGAGGAGATGCAGCGTCTCATCGGCTTCAAACGCACTGGGATCCTTTGCGATGGAATCCACATCCTTGTCGCAGACGGCAGGGTGATAGCGGCTCTGAGCTTGGTCGTAACACTCCTGGCTACAGAAGACAGTATCGAAACACTCTTCGCATTGAATGGACTGGTTCTCGCTGCCAAGCGGGGCGAGTTCGGAGCTGCAAGCATCGCAAACCGAATCCTTGTGTCGGTTATTGGCTGTTAGGAGAGTGTACTCCCTGAGCACAACCTCGCCAGGTTCGATATCCTCCTGGGCGAAGACGCCAAGCTGTTTGCAGGTGGGAACGTCTTCGTAGCTGTCTGTATCGCTGTCCGCCTCTTGCAAGACGGGCAGAGTTGCTACTTGGACGGCACATTTGGGAGCCATCTCCCTCAAGCCGTCGTTCAAAGCCTGCAGGGATTCTGGAGAAAAGCGGTCGGGCTCATGATCGTTCCATGGATAAACCTCTCGGCGGACAAGGCCAAAGTCGGGCAAATCATCGACATCATAGGTCTGCCGGCCAAGCTTCTGCCTAGCCGCAGTATCAATATGGCCCTTTGTGCGCAGCAGCGTCTCGTTGTGCGGGGCAGCAGCGAGGCCTCGCTCACAGAACTGCAGGGCACTTCTCAAGCAGCCGCACAGCAAGAGATTCAGCGACAGTATCTGATAGGCTCTTATCGACGCCAGGCGTGCCAGTTGGTCAGAGGCAACGTCGGGATCACCGGGGGTGCCATTGGCCAGGTCGGGATACTCTTCGGCAAGCTGCCCGTGGACCACAGCCTCTGGGAGAAGCTCTCCGTTATATCTCGCCAAGGATTCTTTAGCCTGGTCGTGGTATTCGAAGCCGTCGTTCAAAACTTCGTCAGCGAGGAGAAGAGCCCGGTATGCATCACCGGCCGCGAGGTCGGGGTATCCGAGCTCTGAATAGATGACCGCACGCTCGAGATACAGGACCAGGTCGTATGGTAGGCTTTTGAGCCCGTCGGTCAACACCTGACGACGCTCGAGCAGCGTCTCGTTGACGGCGGCCTGATCTATATCAGGGGACGACATTGGTGTCACGGATTCGTCGAAAACAGCACACGAACTACACTGGAGTCTTTGGTGCAAGGATGCGGCAAAATGTTGGTGAAAGGATAGTGTCTGCGAAGAAAGCCGCCAACAAACTGTCGTCAGTACCTGGCCTCACGCTCGGGCTGCGCTACAGTAGAGAGCGTCGTTACCTGATGACACGTTGCCAGGGATTCAAGTGCAAAAAGGCCCGCTGGGCTGTACCCAGAAGATGAGAAAGACAAAGGAAAACCTTGAAGCAAGCGCCGGGCAACAAGCGAGCAGTCAAAGTTGTCGTGCTCTCAAATTTCTTCACTACCTCTGCAGCAAGGTCGGACAAGAACTAGTCCAAGCTGTGGGGGGACGGAGATACCCAATGCCAGCTTATAACGACGACCCAAGGCCAAGACGATGCTGGCGGTTGCGGGTCTTGGGTTATCTTCCGCCGAAATGGGCCTCTGCCGGCTTGCAGAAACCCTTGGAAGGGAATTCAATGCAACGGCTGCAACGGCTGCAAGGGTTACGGCACAAGACTGGAGCCACGGGTTGTGGCCGTCTTGTCAGTGTTCGTGTCCCCGCAAAGGTGGCGGGCGTAATATCCAAAGGGGTCCTGGAGACGGGAGAGAAGGAGGGGAAGCAGACGAGAGTCGAGATAAGGGGGGCCCTGTAATCCCGCGCGGGTGACAGCACGAGGATGGCCTGGGGCGGCGAATCAAGAGGCACGGCCTGGAATTCGTGACACTTGAGTGAAGCTGTCCCGTGACGCCGTACAGCTACAGGACCTGTCGGTTTGGGCCAGAACAGCCAGTGGCTGCTGATGCTACTGCCGGCTAGAGCACCTCCAAGATCTATGGCTCCGGGATACTATGACTGCGTCTGGTATAGCTCTATATGCCAGTATCGAACGATTCTGCAGGCTCTAGTGAATCCAGGGGACTGGGCCAGTGGCGGAAGCAGGCGAAGTCGGTGATGGGAGGCGAAGATGGAGGCGAAGGCGGACGGCAACTATCTTAGGAGCAAGATTGGCGACGGGAACAGTTGGGAGAAAAAGGAACCACTGGCACTGGCACTTGCGTATAAGATCCTGAGTGGTCTAGACTTCAAGTTGCTGATACCGGAAGGAGCAGCCCAAGGGTTCTTCCTCCCCTGCAACGGGTAGACGAGGTGACGGAGAAGGAACGAAGGAACTCAAGCGACCAGGCCAGACCCGAATGGCGACACACGCTGGAGCACCTTCCGATGGGCAGGAGCCAATGGGAGCTGCTCGCAACTTTCCTGAGCAACGACGCAAAAGACGATCTCCAAAGTGCGATTGAGTTGATCCGAACTGTGATTGGGCAATCCGGGAAATGAACAAACGAGCGTCAAAACCAGTAAAGACGGAGAAGAGACGGGCCAAGGACGAGCTACCGAGGACTCGGGAGGGGTGGGTTTAAGACCGCAGCGAGGGCGGAAAACTCCAGGGCGACGACTTGAATACTGGTTAAAAGGCAGAAAAAAGAAAGTATCGAAAAATTTGTGCAAATGAGGTCCTAGACGATGCGGCGAATAGGCTAGCAGGAGACCAGCTATGTGGGAGTAGGCCAATATTACTGCTTGGACTAGCAGCAGACCAGGCAAAATTCTTCCGCCTGACCCAGGCTGGACCCTGAATCCCGAGCGGGACATTTTTGTTGGTCGCTGGATTCAGGGTCTGGCACACTAAAGTCGAGGCGCATCAGGCTGGAGCTGGAGGCTGCCGAGCCGACAGGAACAGTCACCAATTCATAAAGTATTCTATGTATGTACTTGGTATTTCTGATTATCAATACCGAGGTGGCAATGGTGCAACTGGGTACTTCGTTCAGCTTTGCGTTTCAGCCGCTCTATAAGGCTGAGTAGTCCATGCCCACAGTTGCGGATGGTCAACTACTGCAGACATGAGGGGTTGCAGCTTGGTAGGCAATTGTCTTGAACATTTACTCAATGCTCAGTTATTATGGTGAGACTTTAGGAGATTGTTCCCTCTCAACAGAAATCCTGCAGTATCAATGCAGACGGACTACTGCGGGAAGTTCTAGCCCGAGTCCATGTATGTACTTCGCCTCCATGACATGAGCACACCAATTTTGCCTCTTATTCGCATTCATATGGCGGGGTCCTGTTGGGTGTGGCCTCGTTGCAGCCACATCGCCGAGACCCGCCAGGGAGCTGTGCTTGTGGCGGAGTGTTGCAGTTGGAAATCAAGTATAAGAAGGCAGAGCGCTACCTTTGCTTTCTCTGCGGTACTCCGTAGTGCAGGCGCAGCAGTTGGAGTGGCTTTTTTGATCGACGCTTTCTTCACGGCATACGGTAGGCACTGTAGAAGTGAGAATACGCAGTAGAAGGCAAGTTCCGTCCTTTGCATGTGACACACTGGTGGGGATCACCAACGACCATTGACAATAGCGCATATTCTCGGTGACCCCTCGGGTTTGCTTGCAGCAGCGCCGCAATGCGCACTGGATATTATATGTATGTCCTGCCAAGCCGGTAATCACATCTCAATAATTCGCTTATTCGATTTATGATGAGGCTGAATCGACATTCTCCAGAGACCGGCTGTGCATGATCAAGAGCGGAAGGGATGTTTTGGGCCGAGACTTCCACCATTACGTCATAATTGCCAAAGTCTCTCTCGTGCCATTTTTCAGCCGAGCTTCTCTGAGGCTGCGTTGCCGGAACAGCCACACATGTGGCGTATCGTCCTGTGGCTGTAAGAGACACCACGAGTAAGACAGGTTGGTAGGACGCGAAATAATAGGTCGAACGGACTATCCGGAGAAGGGTATACTATCTGGCATTAATAATTGCTGTCTTGGATGATGTAGTAAGTCTGGCTCATGACTTATTGTCCAGCAAGACGGAATCACTCGGGAGCGACAAGCAGCAACTCGTCGGCTTTCGTTGCATTGCAGACATGCCCACGAAAGTCCATGCACAATTCCTGTCGACAAACGCATCATGGATCTCCGAGGCCAATCTACCATATACATACTGCGCCTCCCCCAGGCCTTAGCATCGCGTAGCTGAACGCTAACTTGCTTCAGTTCGTGTCTCGCCCTTGACGTTGACGTGATGCTTCTCCAATCGCGGCGTCTCTAAGCGGCATGCAGACGGGCGGGATCCCTGCAGATCGGTACGAAGCACACACATCTGCCCATTCCATCTCGTCTCAGCTTCTTCCGAGGTTCTGAGCGCAAAGTCAAAACCCAGGGCTCCGGATCAGCTCCAGTTTTAACCTTCATCATAGTGGCGACGCCATCCTTGGAAGCTTCGTTGCCCGGCCTGGGCCTTATCTTATCTTTTCGGCACTCCGTAGCAGATAGTATAACATGGAAGGTGACCCCGCGCCCACGCAGCGCGGCTTCCACGTTGCAAAGGACCGGGAAAATAGAGCAAAAACCCCGCTGTCCGAACGCACCTGGAACCTTCGAAGGCGATTTGCAGCTATACCTCGCCTTGCCTTCTTCGTACAACCTCGTACAACCTCGCTATCACAACAACATACGAGTACACACCACCAACACCCAGCTGAATAGACTGTCTACACACCCGGCACACGTCTCGCCAGCTCCATTCTCTAGCGCCAGCCCCACGTTTCCTCGTTTTTTCGTCAACAAGACTTTCGAAACCATACACCCCGCCTTGCTGCAGCTTCTTCTTGTCCCTCTCTTCTCCAGCTTCAGCTCGCCTCCTCCTCCTCCTCGCAGCCAACAAACAGCAGCCATGCCCAAGACACAGCCCAATCTCTACGCCTTCCCGGGCACCGACGCCCTCGCGCAGGCCCTCCGCTCCTACGTGATCCAGAGCCAAAACGCCGGCATCGAGCGGCACGGCGTCTTCAAGGTGGCCGTCTCGGGCGGCTCGCTGCCCAAGACGCTGGCGGCGGCGCTGCTGGCGCCCTCGTCGGGCCCGGCCGACGTCGTCGACTTCACCAAGTGGGAGATCTTCTTCGCCGACGAGCGCGCCGTGCCGCTGGACCACGAGGACTCCAACTACGCTGGTCAAGGAGGAGCTGCTCGACAAGCTGCCCGCCGACCAGCAGCCCGCCGCCGTGCACACCATCAACACGGCCCACCTCGACGACGTCCAGGAGCTCGCCGACCAGTACGAGCAGACGCTCGTCGCCAGCTTCGCCTCGCGCGACTCGGTCCGCCTGCCCATCTTTGACCTGCTGCTGCTCGGCTGCGGGCCCGACGGCCACACCTGCTCTCTCTTCCCCGGCCACGAGCTGCTGCGCGAGGCCGACGCCTGGGTCGCCCCCATCGAGGACTCGCCCAAGCCGCCCCCCAAGCGCATCACCCTGACCTTGCCCGTCGTCACCCACGCCGTCCGCGTCGCCTTCGTCGCCACCGGCGCCGGCAAGAAGGACATTATGAAGAAAATCTTTGACGCCGGCGAGGGGCTGCCGTGCTCTCTTGTCAACGAGGCCGCGGGAGACCGGTGCAGCTGGTTCGTCGACGAGCCAGCTGTCGAGGGTGTCGCATTCCCTCGGAGGGCGTATCTGTAAAACACAACAACGATGGACGGGAGATGCGTGTCGTGTTTGGGGGGGGGAAAGGAGGAAGACGGATACGAATTATTGATGATGTATGACCACAGCACATTAAAGAGATGGCTCTTGGGCAAGCAGCACATGGATGCGCCGGTGATTCTCGCTGGCCCTTGCATCCAAAAGGAGTACGAACACAACTCCCGCATTAGACGACTCTGTTCATCTTCTAGCGGGCCCCCCTTTCTACTCCATCGGAAAGGTGCTTCTTGTCTTGCTTGGCCATGGGGAGGAAAGAAAAGGAGCTCGTCCCGCGGTTGTTTATGATATCCTTCATCTTCCATTTTCTCCTTTACCATATCTTATGGCCCGACTCGGCGGAGTCCGAGTCACCTTTTTTTTTTTCACTTCTTCTTATTGTTACTTAGATTATGTTGAGCTCTCACTGGAAAAGAATTGATCGTTTTTGCCTTCATCATGGACAAGCGGACAAAGCAACGACTGAATGCCTTTCGTTCACTCGTGGTTATGCTAATGATAGATGCAGCTTCCTCCTTGACGCTGATGCAAATGCTAATGCCAATATGATGATGCCCCTGATGGTGGATTGACACCCATGTATATATGCGCACATTCCCTTGGTCGCAATCTTTATGCCGCTAAATTCGAATATCTTCCAGCAAAAGAACAACAAAAACTCAAACAAGGCCAGACAAAAGAGAGAAGAGGGCATGCAAAATAATCACCAGGCCCCTTTTTTCAACAGCAAGGCAAGCTGCTACATTTCATTCCAAGCACCTCCCACCCGCGACACTTGGATATCGTCATCACCCCCGTTCATCCTCTCGATCCACTCGTCCTCCCTCACAAGCGCCTCCTGCTCAATCACCTCCATGATCCTCAGTTCAGCGAGCATGTCGTCAATCAACGCGCGCGACCCGTCCAGCATCTTCTCCAGGCTCGATTTCTCGTCCTCATCCGGTGGCTCGGTGTAAAAGTCGTCCCGACTCAAGTCATCAATGTCGCCGAGCTGCTGCCTCCACTCCTCGAGGAGATTGATGAGATCACCGCGCTCTTGTTTCCATTGGGCGTCCAGGTCTTCGATGAACAGGCTGTCGTCGCCCTGGACAAGCACGACGCCCTTGCGCCTGGCATCTTCCATTTCGCTCACTCCATCAATCCAAGTCTCAAAGTGCCGTACCACGCTGGCATATCGACCGCCCGGGTCGCTCAGTGACCACACGTTCGTGATTATGGACTCGAGAGACTGGATCTTTTCGTCCAGTCTGCCGCCGCTACCCCATCTTCTCAGTGCAAGCACGTTCCGCTTCTCTAGTCCTGCACTCTCTAGCTCGGCAACCTCCCTGCTCTCCTCACTCAGTCTGTCGAATCGGTCCCCCAGCTTCTGTTTCGCACTCGCCCGCCATTCGGCGTCCACAATCGGAGCTTCCTGATGCAGCAGGTATAACTGCAAGAGCTCTGCTTGAAGCTTGCTGACCTCAGCCGACGCAGCAATGTTGGCCGGCAGCTTAGAGGGCGAAGTAGATGACAGATGTGAACCAGAGGGCTTGGCAGAGAGGGTCTTGCCCGGCGAGCTGGGCCGCTGAAGCGAAGAATTCGAAGGTCGCTTGAGCTGTGATGCCTGGTCTTGTGACAGCAGAGTGCCGGCAGAAGAAGGCTTGGATAGCCTAGACACTACCCTACTAAGAGTAGCTAGTGACGGCTTGCGGCTTGTCGTCACCTTTTCGGTAGAGGGCTTGCGAACCGTCACCTTTTCAGCAGACGGCTTTCGAGAAGCCATCTTCTCGGTAGAGGGAGCTCGGCTTCCCAATAACTTTGGAGGCCCTGTCGGAGTCACAGCCCGGCTGCTAGCGGCTGAATTCGTAGACAGGTTGGTGGTCGGAGTTACAGACCGCGGTGTATTTCGAGACCGGCTAGAAAAGGAGAACGTGCCAGTGCGAGACAGCCCTATGGAGGGCGGTACCGAAGGAGACCTTACTCGGGTGGAAGGGGGCGTCTTCGTTTTGGTCGATGGGGGCGTGACGGGACCGGCAAAGGTATTCGATCGAGGCAGGGCAGTCGGTGTTGCTGACCGACGGGTCGTTGTCGGTATGCCCGGCTGAGCTGTAGGCGTGGCGGGTCGCCGAATAGGATCCCTCGACCTCGAAGTCGAAGCAGGCCTCACTACCGTTGTCGGCCCAGCAGGATTTGTAGTCGAAGGCCTCGAGTAGGTGAGCCCCGTTGACCTCCGCTCCAGCTCCTTTGGCTTGCCCTCCATGGATATGCTCGCAGACCTCCCCCTCGTCTGGATCGACGGCCTGGTCACCGTCGTCGACGGCGGGTACTTGTTGGTCACGGCCGACTTTTCCTTCCTCGCAGCCACCTCCCTCGTCGTCGCCAGCGTCATCGCCCTCGCCAAACGGCCCGGCATGGGGCCGCCTCCCGTAGGGGGTGGAGCTCTACTAGCACCGTTGCTGGTGCTGGCGCTGGTGCTGCCGGTGCCTGTGGTGTTCTTGACGCTGTTCAACGAGCTGCTGGAGCTAGAAGCAGTCGAGACGGTTCGGCCGCCATGCTTGAGGCTGGGCAGCCGCGTCGGCGAGGCGGATCGGGGCACCGAGGGCTCTCGCGAGCTGGACGTCCGGGTCGGTATTGAGGGAATGCCCGTTGCCGAGCGCATTGAGCGCGAGCGAGGAATTGATGACGACATTGGGGGGAGATGCCCAATATTAGGGCGGGCTTTCGAAGAGTTGTTGAAGCTGGCAAGATGCAAAGAGGTGCAGAGATGGAAGAGCTACCCAACTATCTTGGGTAGCTTAGGCCGGTGACATTCCCCCTGTTAGTGCCCTATCTGGCGGTGATGTCAGGGACCAGGAAAAAGAAGAGCCCAACTGCCGTTCCTGGCTACGCCCCTTTGGGCCAGCCTCGGGCTTGTTAGTGTGGCTGGTGGCACTCGCGCCTCGACGCTAACTCACTTCAAGTGTTCCCTTCGGCCATATGCTGAGAATGCAACTCGTTTGATCTTGAGCATTTACATATTAATTCACACCAGAAACTGCACGGTTCAAAGAGCGCTATCATGTCATCTTGTATTATGAGTACCCCCCATCGCTAAGATAGGCCACCTAGTCTATTTGCAACCACTCTCCTTCTAGAGTATCAAAAACCAAGCATACCCTGACTTATACACAAATCCAGAGTTCTGCACAAAGCACGCGGTTTGGCGAAGCCGAGTTTCCCTGAAAAGCCAATCGGAAAATTGTATCCATTTTCCCATTCTCTTTGAACCAACGAGTGATTGAACCAATCGAATGAACCAATCAATCCTCTTGTTAATACTATTACATGTGAGAAATGCTCTTCTTCTCCAAATTTGCTTGCGAGCTGAGGCGAACAGTGGTACCGAAAAGGAGAACAGAGGCCGGTAGAAGTGCCTCTCCAGGAGAGTCTGATACAAAGTCGCAACTAAAAAGGGGTAAAAAAAACGCTGATGACATTTGTCGCTCCAGACCCCCGGAAGGAGATTTTATACTGTAGAGGATTATCAAAGAATAAAAGAGAAGAAGTTGGGGGGAGAGAAAGTCGCCAGTGGGCGGAAAGGGGTATCGTCAAATTATGTGCCAGAGAAGGTTAGGTATGAAGACGTAGGGCATCAGAACGTTGCCTACGCCCCCAAAGAGGTACCAGGGCGAGATGACGACGTGCCGGCTAGAGTACCAGCCGCGGCCAGCACATCGACGAAACGGCGGAGATCTCGTTGATAACCGTCCAGCCTGCGATGGCAGGAATCGCATATCCGCAGATGGCAAAAGGCACACACCCAGCGATCTTCGAGGTCGGCCCTGTCGCACGTCTGGCACGTAAGTGGACAGTTCTTGTTGCTCCGTCGAGCCATGGACCTGTGTCGTTGAAAGCAGTTGAAATGCGCATCGCTCAGCGGTCTTGCTTTGGCGATGCCGTCTCTCATCAAGCCTGGGAGCGCTGGTTTGGGGAAATATGCAGCCTTGGGATTCGGCTCACCGCCCGTCTTCATTTCGGCATACACCGTACCATCGCGGCCCCGGTAGGTAGGCCCTTGTGCGTCCGACTGCGGCATCCGAGGTTCCGATATCGACTGAGGCATACTCCGCTGGGGCTTCACGGTCTGGAGAGAATCTGTGCGTTCTCTGGCAGGCTGTGCCTGCATCGCGGGTGCATCTCTGGAAGTGACCAAACGGACAGTTGCAGCATCTTTCAGAGGAGCGACCGGTGCAGGGGCTGCTGTAGGGCCTGCTACAGGAACCGCATCGTCCTTAGGTGGTACTGAGACTGCAGATGCTTGGCTGCTCGACGCACCGACACTGGTGGCATTCGGCTGCTGGCGGAATGCATTCTTGGCAGCTGTGAGGTCTTGGCTGGGCTGTGAAGGCAGGGCCTTCCGTACTATGGGTCTCGGTCCACTGGGAAGTGTGACAAGCTGGCCGCCGTTGGAAGGTTTAGGGGGGAGTCCTTTTGTAAAGTCGGGAGAAGCGCCCCGTGGCGCCTCGGGAGACGATGCGGGAGACACGGGAGAGACGAAGGGCTCGACAGCCGGCTCCTTGACCTCCTCCTTCTGATACTCTGGGGTCGGCGGCCTCTTGGCTACTGGGGCGCTCGGAAGCCCAGTCTTGGCTCCAGCAGTGTTGGACAGGACCGAGTCAGACCGCTGATGCGCCAATTTGTCCTTGATCTGCTTCATCTTGGAACTTTCGTTCCCCATGGCTGCTGCGTCAATGACGGGCCGGTCCTTGAGCCGCAGCGAAGGACGAACGTTTCGGCCAGGCAAGCCGCCGGCAAACGGGGGTGCTCGCTGGGCTGCGGCTCTGTCAGTCGACACCGTCTCTGGTGCCGTCTCTGGCGCTGCAGCCTCTGGATCCGGCCCCCGTGCTGGCTCTCGTATTGGATCTGCTTCCTGACCTGACACTGGCTCTGGCGCTGCCCTCGAAAAGGATGCATCCGAAGAGGGCTGCGTGTCCGCGGTTGATCCGTGGCTAGAGTCGAGCCTAAGACCGGAGACCTCCCTGCTGCCCTGGGTCATATGTGGACGGCGCTTCCAGATCTCGGGCCGGGGTGACGACGGACTGGCCAGCTCAGACGTGTCGATCGACGGCAGCGGCTTTTCGGGCGAGGCTGCTGGCGCTGGTGCGGGAGTAGGAGTAGGAGTGGCAGTAGGAGTGGCAGCGGGTGTTTTCTGGAGAGGTTGGCGGTCCTTGAGCGGTGGCGGAGGAGCGGTGTTTCGATCAGCTGGGCGCGTGTTGCGGTCCTTGCCGGCGTTGGGGCGAGCAGGCAGTGAGGCACTGCTGCCTCTGACACTGACAGATGGTGCGCTGGCAGGCGCAGCAGCCGGCCTCTCGCTACCGGCGCCTGTGCCTGTGCCTGTGCCTGTGCTTGTTCCCTTGATGGTCGAGTTACTGCTGCTGTTTGTCCCGTATTGGTATCCTGCCGCGACTTCCTGTCGCCTGTCGCCTGCGCCGTTGTACTGCGACATGCCCTGCGACTCGGCCTGCGGTTCGTCGCCATCTTCCATGTACGCCATCAGGATGCTCGACAGGGAGAATGTGGGCGACGGCTGGCCCAGAAATTCCGCCGACGGCGGCTGCAGGTTCAGGTTCGCAATTGGTTTCCGCGGGATCGCCATCATGGACCGGCCAGTCAAGGGCGGCGATTGCAGACTCGGCGCCGAGGTCGTGACGCTGGACACGGGTGAGGGCGCCGCGACTGCGACTTGGCGGATCGGACTCTCGACACTGTTATGGGCGCTGCTCTTATTCGATTCGTCGCTGTCGCCCAGCTTCTGCTGCAATTTCAACGGCAGCGGAGGGAGAGGAAGATCTTTCGGCGGCGGCGGCGGCGATGCGAGCGACGAGGTTCGCGCCGGATGACTGAATGCGCTGTTGGTTCGACTGTGGGGAGGGTCGCTGCTTTTGCTCCCGGATATCCTGCCGGCGGTCTTGTTGTCGGTGGTGTCGTCGTCGTCGTCGTCGACAAATTCGTCGTAATCGTCGCTCCCAGGAACCCCGGGCAACGCCTTGGAATAGCGAGACGTGCCGCTTTTAGAGGCTGCGCGATCGGATGGACGCAACATGGCGGCTCGGTGTGTCAGCGCACTGACAAGAGCTAAGGATCAGAATAGATCAACCGAGAGTAACGGTGATGCGCAGCTTCTGGCGGACTGCGCATTGAGGGAGCAGAAATTGGCAGTTCATGGGCAGACGGCAGAGATGCTGAGACGTAGGAGGCCGTCCTAGTTGTTTTGGATTCCGAGGGAGTCCCTGGCTAATACGACTGTGGCTTGCTAGCTGGGACTAACAGCGGGAGAGGCGATGAAACGGGGCTCTCCATCTAATACAGGATAGTCCAAGTATCCTTGCCGATGGCGAGTTGTCAATGGCATGGCTGGGTTGAGGAATGCGGTCGATGTCGTCGCAGGTGGACAAGGATAGAGGCTGGGACAGGACAGCGCAGGGCAACAGCAGTGCCACAAAAAGTATTGACGTCTGTCGAGTATCACAGCGCGTTGTCTTGATTGTGTAGCCGGCAAAGGGGATGGCGGCCGTCGACTCTTGATTCGAGAAGCATGCAGGGTGCACTAACAGAATCCGGAGTAGACCCTTACAGGAGATGGTGATGCATAAAACGATCTGCACGTCAAATCTTGTTCTTGTTCTTGCTTCAGTTCGATGACGCTCACAAAGGAGCCACAACGCCATGGGATCTTGATATAGGTATTCCAGGCATTGTATGTATGAAAGCTTCAGCGTTGTATTTCTTCCCGGTGTCTCTTCGCCATGTCCATCCCGGCTGAACAAGCATCTGTTCATGTATCCATTTGGCGTGGTGGCTGACAACGTGAGACAACTGTCTCTTGTTAGCCACTCGCCAGCTTGCGCCACCCAACAGCAAGATTGCTGGGTTGAAGATCCTTCCAGTTGGCTTGAGACCGAATACAGCGCAAAGCTCTGAATATGAAATTCTCTGTGGTGCTTAGGTTTCTTTGACATTTCGCATGTGTAGCACTGCTCATGGAAAAACCATCGAATCTTTGTATTACAGTATAAGGTAAAAAAGAAGCTCAATGTCTTGATAGACCTGTGAAACTTCATACCCCGACGCCGACTGATCGACAGCCGAACAATCCACGTTGCAGCCTCTTCCCCCGCATATGTATAGCCCGAAAAAGAAAAAATGAGACGAAAAGAATGAGATGAAGAAAAAGCTGCATGTGCGCACGGGCAAATGTCCGACACATGACTGTGGCACAACTGACGCTCAAACGTCGTACATGCAGAAATTCTCCATAGATACAGCTCCGACTCCACACAAGAGACTCCATTGCTTGTTAATCGTGGTTCGATTTGACAGAGAACTCATCCGAGCCATCTTGGGCATTCAGCGCCAGACAACATGGCAAGCATGGGGTTCACGTGTAGATCCAATGACAGCACGTGCAATCTCCTGGGTTGGGCATTGGACTTCAGCCACCCCCGGATTTTGATCAGGGCGAAGCCTCAAAGCGGAGTGCGTCAGCTTTACTGTTGTGTCCCCAGTTGAGATCAACTTCTGCTCAATACTACTATCACCAAAGCATTGATCCTTCAGTTTTACATAAGAAGCAGACGCCCAAGCATCAAGATACCCGGCACTCCCTGATCAACTTCGTACAGGTGTTTCAATCTGCATCACCACCAAACATTAATCGCCCAACTTCAATATCCTTTCTCCAGGTTAAGCCCCAACAGGAATTATACTAGTAGTACTATCCACGGAACAATACGAGAACCCAGCAACCCGTTCCCCTCTACTTAAACCAAATCGGATGTTAAACGCGACCTGCAGCTGACATACTAATATGGCATCAAAGTCCATATGTAACTTGCCTTACGGTGAAAATTAGGTAGCCTCTCAAGCTTTGTTGGCTTAGCAATAGGGGGGCATATGTATGCACGAGGCGTCATAATCTGACGCACCATGTTCAGTCGAGATTGCGTTTCTTTTATTTTCGTCCCTCTCGTTCGATGAGAGCGCCCTTGGATTGACACGGCGATGGGCTGCTATGAGACGATGCCCCTGGGTAAGCCCGAGATGCGAGCGGGGAGGAATCTCACGGATTACCGCCAAATCTCACCGTTTGTTTGTGTGCGCCAGCTTCTTGCAAGGTCGTTCTCTGCACGCAGCTCTTGAATAATCGACTCATCTAGGTTGAGATGAGGTCTCCCGACTCTACCGGAGAAGCATCTGCTCCTCCAACAGAAACGTCACCTCTCCTGTCTGAACCTCTTCCCCAAAATGGCCTCCTGGGCGATGAGAGCAACGTCGAAAACGGCCGCAAGAAGCATCCCATGGCCGACAAGATGCACATCTTGCTTCCCGCCATAGGAGTTGGCGTAAGGCAACGCCTACCTACACATTCCACAAAGAAAAAGGGGTCGATATGCTAACAGCTGTTCTCTCCTCATGCAGGTCTATCTTGTAGCCGTCGACCAGCTCCTTGCAGTTGCGACATATGCCAAGATTGGCAGCGAGCTCAACGCCCTGAACAACACGAGCTGGATCGCCACAGCGTAAGCAGCACACAAAAAACATCAAATCACAACTTTATCAACTAACGCAAACGATTTACTGGCAGATACTTCCTCACCCTCACCAGCTTCCAGCCCCTCTACGGCAAGCTCAGCGACATCTTCGGCCGCAAGGCATGCCTCCTGTTCGCATACGCCGTCTTCGGCATCGGCTGCCTGGGATGCGGTCTCGCTCAGAGCATGACGCAGCTCTGCATCGCGCGGGCGGTTGCTGGCATCGGCGGCGGAGGGATGAGCTCCGTCGTGTCGATTCTGTTTTCTGACATCGTGCCGCTGCAGGAGCGCGGTGTCTGGCAGGGCTATCTCAATGTGGTGTATGCTGCTGGGACTTCGACTGGAGGGCCCCTGGGAGGCCTGTTTGCCGATTCTCTGGGATGGCGATGGTGAGACTTGAAGCTTTGCTCTTCACCTGAGGGATCAAAGCCAGACGACTGTTGGCTAACGTGCACTTTGCAACAATAATCAGGTCCTTCATGATTCAAGCCCCTTTATGCCTGGTCGCCTGGATCTCGGTATACTTGATCCTCGACCTGGAACCCCCCTCCAAAGACCAACACTGGGTCGCCAAAGTCCGCCAGATCGACTTCCTGGGCGCCTTGACGCTCGTCCTCGCCGTCGTCTCTCTCCTCACGGGCCTCGACTCGGGCCCCAACCTCGGCTGGTCCCACCCCGTCACGGTCGTCTCCCTGAGCCTCACGCCGTTCCTCCTCGCCCTCTTCCTCCTCGTGGAGATGCGCATCGCCAAGCACCCCTTCGCCCCCGGCCACATCATCCTCAGCCGCGACCTGCTGCCCTGCTACATGGTCAACATGTGCGGCATGGCCGGCGAGATGGGCGTCATGTTCTTCGTGCCGCTGTACTTCCAGGCCGTCGAGGGCCTCAGCGCCACGGCCAGCGGCTCCATGCTCGTGCCCGCCACCATTGCCGGCGTGCTGGCGTCGCTCGCGGGCGGCTGGGTCATCAAGCGGACGGGCAGGTTTTACTGGCCGACCGTCGCCAGCTACGGCCTGCTCTTCTTGTCCATGATACCCCTGGTCGTGTCCGTCTGGTTCCGCTCGCTCTTTGGGGTGAATGCTGGCTTCGTCCTGTCGGCCGTTGGCAACGGCGGTGGTATGTCCACGAATGCTACCTATCTATCTACATGTTATATATTGCTGAGGTACTCCGAACACTCTACTGACATGGATCCTTGTCTTTCACCAAGGCATCACCACAATCCTCATCGCCCTCCTCGCCAACGCAGCGGCCCAAGACTCCGCCGTCGCCATCGCCTGCTCGTACCTCTTCCGCTCGCTCGGCTCCAGCGTCGGCGTCGGCATCAGCTCGGCCGTGCTCCAGCAGGTCCTCCGGCAGCAGCTGTCCTCTCGCATCGGCGACGACGGGCAGGTCGAGGAAAAGGTGCGGCAAAGCCTGGACGCGATCAGGGAGCTGCCGCCGCTGGTGGCGGAACAGGTGCGCTCGAGCTACCGGGTGGCCACGATGGCGTCCTTTGCGCCGTCGCTGTGCTTTGGGCTCGTGTGCTTTCTTGCTACGTTTTGGGTCAAGGAGAAGTCGCTGGAGCGGTAGGAGTGTAATGCCCTTGAGGTCTTCTGGCGGGTAGAGAACATTGTAGGAGTACCTTGGTTTCTCAAGACTGTACATGTACATAAGCATCGTACCTGTGAAGTTACCTTACCTTGCATGGCCATGGAGACCCGTATACTACCTTAGGTAGAGAGCTTGGCAGCCAGAAAAAGCCACTGCAACCTCGCTCTGATAACGGACGGGCCAAAAGGTCAGTGCAGACGTGCAAAAGCAGCATTTCGTATAAGTCGTTCATCCCAAGGAACATCAAGTCCGAAGCCACTCAATGCTTGCCATCTTCGCAATACCTTCCCGCGTAGTAATACATACACTGCCACTCGGTCGTTTGCCTTGCCTTGTCCCAGTTAAGTCCTGTATCAATGCTCCTCCGACAACCGGTCCCCTCTGTCTCCAGCAGTAACTCGATCCCTCGGCACGGACCATCGCCAAGCAATTGCGTCTTATGCTCGATCCCCTGCAATTCCCTCTTCCCTCTTCTCTCTTAACCCCGGCGCCTCGCCTCTGATAGACGCCCGTCGTTCAGCAGCAAGCAAGCCTCAGATGCTACGCTGGCGTGGGATTGGCTCTCACAAGCCCATCTCGTTTTCCTGCACGATTGCGCAATCGACAATTGGTTCGACAACCATCCTGCCCGAAGTCGGCTGCCAAAAGAAAGTTGCGAAAAGGCAAAGTCTTGCATGTGAATGTGAGAGTTCGGATGGTTGAAGGGTTTTTTTTTTCCCCTTCTTGTTGTTCTTTCCCCCTCTGCTTGTCTCCATCCATTCCGTCCTGCATCATCTCGTATGGAGCCCTTTTTTCCTTTGGTCTCCCCCTCCCTTATCGTGACCACAAAACAAAGGTGCGTAATCTTAATATTATGCTTCAATGGCAGCCTCTCGCTAGCCGACGACCTAAAATGCATTCACCTTAGCGAGATGCCAGCCCGTGCCTTAGTGTAGTTTAAAGGTTCCAGTTGGAACGGCGGCAGAGGGAACTTCTGCAATTGACAGCCGCCCAAATGAATTCTCAGTGGGGGTCTCTGCTCGCTTTGTTTACTTGAATTCTCTCTCTGTTTACTTCTCTCACTCTCTCCCTCCGCAAGGTGCTAGTATTTCCATGGTTGTACAAGTGTTCGTGTTCACGGGCCAGTCCTCCCGCCCATGTTTTGCTAGTTGCCTAATTAGGTGCCCACTGCCGGAGCGTTGCCTTGCTCGGCGGTTCGATTCAGATGCAGGCTGCTCGGTACTTTTTGAGATGCATGGTGTTTAGGTGTTTGGCAGGTTAGCAAGGTCGTACGAAGGTCGTACGAAGAGGAGGAGGTGGGATACAATCAATCGATCAATCTCTTTGATAGTCAGATGGATAGATGGATAGATAAGGCTTCAACTCCAGAGTCGTCTGTCATTCAGCCACAATATGCCTTTGTACGAGCAGACACATCTCACGTGTCCTCGTCCTCGATCTCGTCCTTGTCCTTGTCCTTGTCCTTGCTGACGATATGCGTCCCCTCACTCAAATCGATCGGTCAACTTTACCCCGCGCCCGCCTCAAGTCATGCCGGCGCGCCCTTTCAAGGTCAGCATCATCATCATCATCCCACATGAATCCATGTACATACATGTACGGGGACCCAATAGTACACTAAACAAACAAACAAACAAACAAGCCCCCATGCAATGCTTTCTTGCATTCATTGCACCCAAAACCTGCCCAAGACGGCAAAAGTACCGTATATACATGGGTAAAAAAAAGAAAAAATAACAGAAAACCCTCCCTGTCCTCTTCGTGTTCCCCATTGCCCAATGATTTTCCCTCTCCCCCGAGCATGATTTTGATGCTTTTTATCAAGCTTAGACCGGGCCTTGGCGCCTCAATCCAGAAGGTCGCACCAAAACCTCTCTCTCCGAAGCTGCGATAAACGCCATGCATCCCATATCCCAGCCCACCCTCTCTCTCCCTCTCCGCCCCTCGACGATCCCAAACGAACAAGATCGGAAGAAAGTGACGGATACGGCAGGCTGTTTGGACGTCGAAACTGCCGGAGCCGGCCGATCGTCCCTGGTCTGGCCTGCTTGGCGCTGTAACGGTTCTTGATAGGCTGGTGTGGCATCTTGGTCTTTTTTTCTTTTGTCCGTAATACCTTGTTGTTGTTGTTGGTGTTGTTGAAAGAAGTGTTCTTGTTGAAGATGGGTTGTGGTGACGCTGGCCGTTGTATTGCAGCATAGTTCCCTCCACCTTCATCTCATCTTTCCTCTTGCTCCCTTTGTTGCTCTTCACCGGCGTTTCACTACATACATTGCTACTGCGACGTAGTAACACACCTATAGCACTCATTCTCCTTTCTCATTATCATTTCCATTTATTCATATTACTTGCGTCTTCCTTTTCCCCCCGGACTTGGCTTGTCGATCCGGTTATCTTGGCTGCATTGGCCCCCCGGCCCCGGCCCCTGGCCGTAAATAACATGCCCGCATCTTCTATCCAGCCACTCAGGGACATCAGATGGATCTCTGTCGTGTGATTGCACCGTCAAACGTTTCGCCTTCTGTTTCTGGCATTGAACCTTTCTACATACTATTCACCCACTCTTTCTCTCACACACACACTCACTCGCTCAGCTTGGATCTTTTGCGAATAGCCCTGGCAGCTTTTCGTGGGGAACTTGTGTGTGTGTGGTTGCTGCAGGCTTCCCTTTAGGAAGGAGATTTGGATCGGGGCTTGTTGTTTTCTTGTCATGGACGAATGGGATTTGTCAGTTTCTCTTGAGCCTCGGTATGCGAATTCGGGGAGATCCCGTCTTTGTGGTGTCGTAGGATCGGGCTGTGTGGACTAGATACGGCAGATTAACTGACCTTTCCTTGTGGGTGTCATTGTCTATCGTCGATTCTGCCTCGGAATCGAATGTTGGAAAGCTGTATATAAATATGGGCTGTGATCCCCCTCGATCCGTTTGGAAGATCTCATCACAGCTCACCCACTGCCAATCCCAATCAAACTCTTCTCTGCCTCTTAGAAGAAAAAAGCCTCCAGCCCCTTTTCGCAATGGCTCCCGCTTCCCAAGTCGTCTCAGCTCTCATGCTGCCCGCTCTCGCCCTGGGAGCCGCCATCCAGCCCCGTGGCGCTGACATCGTGGGCGGAACCGCCGCCGCCGCCGGCGAGTTCCCCTACATCGTCTCTCTCCAGAACCCCAACCAGGGCGGCCACTTCTGCGGTGGTGTCTTGGTCAACGCCAACACCGTCGTGACCGCCGCTCACTGCTCTGTCGTCTACCCTGCCTCGCAGATCCGCGTCCGCGCCGGTACTCTTGTAAGTTTTCTTTTCTGCTTCGGCGCTCCCCGTGTCCCTGAGTATGCTAACCAAGCTCTCTCTCTGTCCTGACAGACCTGGAACTCTGGCGGTACCCAAGTCGGTGTCTCCCAGATCATCGTGAACCCGTCCTACAACGACCGCACCACCGACTTCGACGTTGCCGTCTGGCACCTGTCCAGCCCTCTCCGCGAGAGCTCCACCATCGGCTACGCCACTCTTCCCGCCCAGGGCTCTGACCCCGCGGCCGGCTCGACCCTCACCACCGCTGGCTGGTAAGCAAATCATCGATGTCCCCAAAGTCTTCGGCCCGTCGTCAATGTCCGAAAACTTGCTAACCGTTTCTCTCCAAACAGGGGCACCACCAGCGAGAACTCCAACTCCATCCCCTCGCGCCTGAACAAGGTCTCCGTCCCCGTCGTCGCCCGCGCCACCTGCCAGTCCGACTACCGCAGCCAGGGCCTCAGCGTCACCAACAACATGTTCTGCGCCGGCCTCACCCAGGGTGGCAAGGACTCCTGCTCCGGCGACTCCGGCGGCCCCATCGTTGATGCCAACGGTGTCCTCCAGGGTGTCGTTTCTTGGGGCATTGGCTGTGCTGAGGCCGGTTTCCCTGGTGTCTACACCAGAATCGGCAACTTTGTCAATTACATCAACAGCAACCTCGCATAAGCGGTTATGGATGGCAAGCAACGAAGGCAGTAAAATGGGAAAAAATCATCTTCTAAGTGGCAGGGTCCTGTTTGCTCTTGTTGATTGGTTATGTAGATGAAGCTGTGGGCAATTTTGGCTTCTCTGCACAAGAACTTGGCCAATTAGTTCAGAATATATAGGACTAGAATTAAAAAAAAAGTCTACCTACATGAATCTTCTCGCACCCGGTAATTTGGTAGCTTCTTCGTTGCATCGTAGTGACTGGTACAAGTTGTGATACTGTGTCCAACCATAAGGCGGCATCATGCTATAAAAGACAATGCCAGGATTTTGCGGCTGACAGTGAGAGGGGGGAAACGTGATCGGGTCTCATCGTGGACATATGAACCCAATGGATCTTTCGTATGTCATTCCGTATATCTAAACATGACTCATGAGGAAATCGAATAGTTACCATCCTATCGTTACTCCTTCGCTCGCTGCGTGCTCTCAATAGGCTCCAACCCAAAAATGTCGCCAGACCCAAGAGGATCTCTCTCGTCCAGCTCTGCTGGCCCTTCTCCAAACAGAAACGCGTTCTTCTCACGGCTCGCATTGTTCCCGCGTCTCTTCTGCTGAGACACAGGTGATTTGCCTATCGGAGGCGTCTTCAGGGGGCCGGATTCATCAGGTTCCAACATCCATGAGAAAGAAGACTGTGCTATAGTCGATCTGGCGGGTATAGGGGCGGCCGGTCGAGCATTGAGGCTGATTTCACTCAACACGCCTTCGTTCATCGCATCCTTACTTGTGACTTCTACTGAGTCAGACAGCGGGTCTTTGACCTCCGCGGGCTTCTTCACCTGGTCCAAAGCCGAGATCGTCTTCGCTGGAGCCGGAGCGGGCGTATTTGTGTCTGGAGATACCGGTGACAGAGGTTGGTTCTCCTTTCCAGCTGTTGGCACTCTCTTCGTCTCTTTTCCTTCTCTTTTCTCAACCCCAGATGGCATTGCTTCAGCCGTAGGGGAGTCTATCATCGGAATGTCCATGGTGGCATCTTGAAGATATATCTGCACAAACTGGACTTTGGCTGCTGCAACCTCAATCGTGTCAAGGCTTCGAGCCTTGTCCTCAAGATTGGACAGAGACAGTGCCCTCAGGCTGAGGACGGTCTCTTCGAGGAGGCTTGCCAGTTGCTCGTTCCGCCTCTGCATAACAGCTAGCGCTTTGGCTGCGCCAGCGTCGGCCATGGCCACTCTTGGAGACGGCGAAGACAGTCCTTCGTTTAGACCTTGCATGTTTCTTTTGATTTCGCCCACGGCATCTCGTAGTGCTTGGTTGATTCCCAGCTTTTCGCTCTTCTCTATCACGCCCTGGATCATATTTTCCACCCCACCCTGTTGCTGAAGAAACTTCGATGGTGAACGGATTGGTGACCTCAAGCCGAAGCCCTTTCTGCGGAGTGACTCAAATCCGGAAGAGGGCGAGCCGATGCGTTCAGCAGGCTCGGGGCTCTTTAGCGTTTTGGGAATTTTTCCCGAGTATCTCTTAATCAAGGCTGCACCTCCGGCCGCATTCATGTGATCACGGAGATAGAGCGCATCATCAACGAACGTTTGAGGCCCATGCAGCTGATCAGGGGGTGGGTATTTCAGGAGAAGTTGCAGACAAAGAGAATATTCAGACTCCAGCACTGAATTGTCAAGTCAGATTAGCCAGGACAACATCTCCAGAGCTAGTAAAGACACTTACATTGCCAACGAATGCGCAGTAGCATGGCGCAGCAAATGAGGTCGATCAGGTCTAACGAAGGATCAACAGCAAAGATTGTGTCCCAAAGGACAAGAAACTGGTTGAAAGGAAACTCTCGACTGAATAAGAGTCGAATCCAGCGGCTATCAACCAGGTCAGCTTTAATGTATGAACAGCTTGAGAATGGGTTATCGCGTACATTAAGAAGATCTGAGGAAGTATCTCTATACTTGTGAGATGTGCAGCTAGTTCGGGGTCAACCTTTTGTAAGCAGACTTCATGAATGAACCTGCTCCGCTCAACAATGGCCGAGCTTTGCTCTGGAAATCGAGCTGGGGATGGGACGTCGGCGCTCGAATTCGAGTCTGGCACATCCTTGACTTCGTAGAATGACTGAGCGTGCTCCATCAGTTGAGAAAACAAGACAAAGGCATCATGCTCGATAAATGACCGGTCGATGGTCTCGAGCATCAGCTCGTCAACGCTACTCTCGGCATCGCTGGCGGATATTGATGCGCGATCCAGGGCATCTTGCTCGACAACGTGCACTATCGGGGCCAGGACTTCGTGCATGCCCTGACGATAGCCTCCCCTGCTCGGATTCACCTTGCAATAGATAAACAAGATGTCCAATATCATGCGCTGCATATAGTCTTCATGATAGTTTGCTTCATCCGGAAGCCTTTGCACGTCTTGTAGGATCTCTGCTCTGATAACCTCATCTTCGCGGACAGTATTCCAAGGAGACTTGAAGCGGTTAGGGCATTATGAGCCTGAATAGGTAGGAAGGGTTCACTTACTTTGGGGTCATCGGCCAAAGGGTCGATGGTGAGTTCGGCGAGAGCCTCGGGATGGTTTATAAACTTGAGGAAGTGGTCACGACGTTCACTGTAGAGCTCCCTCTTCTGGCGAAGAGACTGAGACCAACTTGCCTCGCCATCCTTGGACAAGAGAAACACCTTTACATGGCATCAGCGTCAACGTCAGACCACCATGTCCAGAGGAAGACGGCACATGTAAGCCGACTCACCTTCCAGCAGACGGAGCGACAGCCCGATAAACAAGGGCTGGAGGGCCCGTTGTAGCGGACGGCGTCCCGTAACTCGTCGACGCTTGCGCAGTGCGCTTGGGTCGCCTGCCATCTCGCTCTTCAAGAGCAGTCAGTCGCCTGCCACTGACTCGTTTGTGAGATATCTGGAACTTACTGCGTCTCTGCAAGCGATCTCATGCTGACGACGGTCCTGGCGAGCAAGGCTAGGCGGCCAAGCTCATCGACATGGCACGCTCGCTTCTGGCTCTGTTATGAGTCTATCGTTGCATCGAATATGGCGGATTACTGAATATCACACACAGTTCGCGGTCTCACTCCAGAGGGTGAGAACATCCAAGATTGAATCGAAATCAAGGCTGCGGAAGTCAGTCGCCATAGCCCCGCATCTCGCCGGCGCGGATCTATTTGTATAGATACATGCACACGCAGCTGCCTCGGGTCGCTGTAGGCGGGTCCCGGCGTCCAATACCGCGCCTTACAAGCCACAAGCAATGCTGTAGGCCGGCCCTGTTAGGCGCTTTGTGCCAAAGTCCCGATACATGAGCCCGGGCAAGCTTCGCGTCTTCCGCTTAACCCCATAAGGCCGGCTACGAGACACTTCGGTCTCATCCGATGCTTCGACAAACTGCTCGCATATGATAGAACCGCGTCTCGTCTGTGCAGCGTGACCTCGAGACATCTAGCTGGTTGTTGCCTCTCTTCAGTCTCAGTCAAAGGAGCATGCATCTGCATATTCGTCAGCATGTCGGCTGATTTGTTTGCTGAATTTGCCAACAGCAACCCGCCACCTCCGCAACAGCAGCAACAACAGGGACAGCAATCACCGCTTCCCCCAGCCGCAACTGGCCAGCAAACGTGGAATAAGCCTGCGGCAAGGGATCCCTTCAGCTTCGGCTTCAACGACTTTACATCAGCAGCAGCATCACCAATTGAACGATGGCCCCCAGTCCAATCTCAGCCGACCGCAGCTGTCGGCTGGGCTGCGTCGCCACCGGTCTCACACGCTGCGCCAGCATCTCAGGCATTCAACGATGTTGATGACGATGGCTGGGGAGATTTCGAGACCGCGGAGCCTACACCGGCAGCATCTACCATCAGCAAGACTTCCGAACCATTCGGCGGGCTGGCCTCTCCAATCAAACAGCCTGATGTCGTGAATAGGCCCTTTCGGGCCCCTACTCTCGACATCATGACCAATACTTTGGTTGACGTTCAAGCAAAGCCAAAGGCAAAGCCCGAAGGCACCGGCTTCTCATGGGACTCGGCGCAGGGCAATTCAAGGCTTTCCATGAACCTGGCACCTAAAGACCCCAACGTGCTGTTCGATGCCGATGATTTTGAGCTCCAGGCACCGGATGTTGACGAGGACGAGGATGAGTTTGGTGACTTTGAAACGGTGGCACCGGCACCTCCGCAGCCGAAGCAAAGCTCTACAACGAATCCCACACCTTCTAGCAACTCCGCTCCGCTGCTGGACTTGCTCTCGCTTGACGACCCTCCGGAGAAACCACCGGTGCCAAAAGTCACTCACAAGCAAACCCCTCCCCAGCCCCTGGGAGCCTTGAGCTTCGGGGCGGCGGCAACAACACCCCCGAACCCGCCAAAGTCACCATCTTTCCAGGAGCGAAACCCCTTCCCAGACCTTGGAATCAAGACAAGTGGAACTACTGCTAGACCTCCCACGAAGGCGCGTGATGCACCAAAATCAGCAACACCAGTTACGGCATGGCCAATGACCAAACATGGAGCAAAGCCATCCGTGGCCAAGGCATTTGATGATGATTGGGACGCTTGGGACGAGACGCCTAGTGCGTCTCTCAACAAGAAGGAAGAGAGACCAAGCATAGACCAGTCTGAAAGCTGGGATTGGGACGCAGGCGACGGCGGTCAATCTAGTGCCATGAAGGAAAACGATGACGACCCTCCTCCAACCAACGTCCCTCCACCATCCATCATCTTGTCTATTTTCCCGGACCTCTTGAGTTCAGCAAATGCCTTTTTCAAGCCAATATCTGGCCACAGTGCCTCCATCAAACAGCAGGTTCTGTCCAATCCCAAAGCAATCCACTTTCTCCAAGGCTATATCCTCCTTGCCACGACTGCCGCTCGAGTGATTGCTGGCCGCAAACACAGGTGGCATCGGGACAAGATCCTGGCGAAAAGCATGTCCATCTCGGCCGCCGGCAGCAAGGGCATGAAGCTCGCGGGCTTGGACAAAACTCAGTCAGCACGGGAAGACAGAGAGGCAGCAGATGTGGTGGCCGTATGGCGAGAATACGTCGGACGCGTGCGGTCTGCTGTTGCTGCTGCCAACGCCGAGGGCAAGCTAGGCCTCAAAGTTCCCGAACTCAGCGAGAATATGCAGGTCACAACGGCTAAGATGGTGCCGACGGGGCCCAAGCCGTGTGTCATTTGCGGGCTGAAGAGGGAAGAGAGAGTGTCAAAGGTCGACTACGACGTTGAAGACAGCTTTGGGGAGTGGTGGGTTGAGCACTGGGGCCACAGAGCCTGCAAGAACTTTTGGGTACAACACGAGCAGAAATTGCGACAGCGTTGATGGATGGGTGAGGTGCTTAGATTTAACAACCTCCTATCTGTAGAAAGAGCTATATAGAATCGGATATTGATGGATCTACTTTAGGATTGCCCAGTTGTTCCATCAGAGGTGCAGCCAACCACGAATACGAGGAAGAGGTGGATGCAGCAGTCCAATTGGTGTCGAAGCAGCCCCGGGTATTGCGGATGTGTCTCCTCTACCGGCTCCGTCGTATGATATGCGATGGACAGTAGACCAAGCACATGTATGGACAATGCAGCGGTGGCTATCAGGATCTGGACAGAGGAAACACAATAGCACCCCGCCTTTGGTGATGTATCCGTACATGCACAGGCGCTCGAAGCCGAAAGCCACGATATAGTTGTATATTACATATATGTAGCCCCTTCGCGGATGCCGCTTGCTTCTCGCTCGCATATTTGCGTAGCAGTGAAGGCTCAAAACAACCCATCACAGCGTCCAAGGTTCTCCAGGGCGGGATAAAGATGCAAACTCGGCAAAGTCTGTCTCCAGTATCCGGACTGGACGGCATGCGTGCCGCGTAGAGTTGGCGGTACGGCAATGCAAACAGCCTCCCACGAGATGATTGGTGTATCAGCTGAAAGGTTCTGCAGCTGGGAATGGTTGCTTGTACAGGTGCTACCACCCATGCCGCATATACTGGCAGTAGCTCAACAAGTTTGGGACGCTGATTGACGGGCTGAGGGCGCCATCGTCAAACCACTTACGAAGACTATCTGAGTAGGTAGGTAGTAAGTAAGGCAGTAAGCTGCAGTGCATATTAGTCGAAGCAGTAGTAGGTCTGGACACCGGGATTTCGTTGGGCACATGCGAGTGTCGGAGCCTCAAATCACATAGGCGAGCTTATTCCAGGTGTGTGAATTGAGGGTGCTCTGTTGAAAGCATCCGGAGAGCTATTACACGGGTTGAGGGTACAGAGGATAAGACGACTGCTGCGTTGGGATGCCTTCCCTTGGCCCGCGAACCTGGTGTTTGCTGCTGGACAGTGCATTCGTCAGCCCATTCAACGGGTACAGACACTGTAAACATGGACTCAAGGAACTTGGAACCTGTCGCATTCTGGAAGGCTGTTCCAAACCACTGCCAGGCACATGTACTGTAGGTATTCGTAGAGGGTGAAGATATGCGGAAATCTGGGGGCGTTCTCCCTCGTTTCCGCTTTAGGCAAGCAAACCTCGAGCAGAATTCGGTTGGCACAGTGGGATCGCGTGGCAAATGATACCACGAAGAGACCCTTGACGTACCTCCCCGTCAGCATGCGGAAAGGCAAACACCGAGGTACATACCAGGTAGTACTACCAGGAACTCGGCGCATCCCATGTAGCGACAAACAATCCTGAAGTTGACCTTGAAGACAAGCGCAGAGGACTGAAGCTCAAGTGAAGTTGATGTGCATCTCCACAGGTACCGAGGTAGGTAGTAGGTGGGCGGTATCTGGCAGGTATCCCCTTGGCAAGTTTCGCGATGTTTGTACTCCTCAGGCACAGTACCTACCTTGTATATATGACGCAGAAATCTTACCCTTGAAGGGGCTGCTTCCCATTGCAAGCCACTCGAGAGACATGCATGACCGTTCCTGGCGCACCGAATCGTCTTGCTCTGGCGTTTCTCGCCTCTTTTTTCCCTTGCCCGCTTTTGGTCGAGCAGGTCCAAGTCTGGGCTGTCCAGCGGCCACGGCAGTGACAGCTGTAGCGACGCCAGCGCCTGTGGCCCGCTAGCAAACTGTGCTAGTGGCGCTGCGGGTGGCTCTGGCTGCTTTGCTGCAGCGCTGCTTCACCTCTGCCTCTGCCTCCCCACCTGACTTTCTTCTTCGGCTCCCCCTCCAGAAGCTCTCGCTCTCTCTCTCTCTCTCTCACACCTTACCTCCAGTCTCAACCGTCACTTTTTCTTCCTCTCTTCCTCTCTCTTCCCTCTTACATCTCCTCACCTCTACCCGCCCCGACCCTTTTCTCGCGCCCTCGCCGCCCTACGGATTTCCCCCTCAACCTCCATCTCCCGATCTCCTCTTGCGCACTTCCTTGCCCTCCGGCATCGTGTCGCGTTTCTCACTGCTCCTTCGCCCGCTTCCGCCCACTCGCCTCTTGACCCCGCCAAATCCCTGCCAACACCACACAAAAAAAAAGCGTCTGGCAACGCCCTTGACATTTCGCCAAGTTCTCACGGCCAGCCTCGCTCCCTCTCACCTTTCCGACGTCCGCGCAGCTTCCGGCTTCTCGACGTTCATCCGGTAAGTTCATTACCGCTCTTCTAGCCCTTCTTCGCGACGAGACACGGCTGTATCTGCATCGTCTGCCGCCGCGGCAGTCCCTCAGGTTGCCACCAGCGGACAGACAACGGCGTGTACGCACGTTGCGTCACAGACGGTCCTGCTATGCGCGCATCTCCATGCGCAACCTATCTCGAAGCTCAGGTGGCTTTGTATTGAGTTAAATGTAGACTGACGAATATCTGCCAGACAGTCTCGAGCTCAGCTACCCGCTCTGATACCAAACCTCCACCTCACCCAACCCATCTCTTCCGTTCCTTCCTCACCTTCCACCCCACTCAGCAGTCATGGCCGCTTCCCAAGATATCCTTTCGCCCAATGGCGGCGATATCGTGGACTCCATGGACCAGTTGAAGATGGACGAGCGACTCGGCCCCGACGGCGAGCTCGCCCCTAAGACGGACGAAGAATATGCCCAGGCTCAGCTGACCTTGCGCGCCATCGTTTCCTCCAAGGAAGCCGGTGTCATCATTGGAAAAGGCGGCAAGAACGTCGCTGACCTCCGTGATGAAACCGGCGTAAAAGCTGGCGTTAGCAAGGTTGTGCAGGGCGTTCATGACCGAGTTCTCACCATCACCGGCGGGTGCGATGCCATTTCTCGCGCCTACGCCATTGTTGCCCGAGCCCTCCTCGAAGGCGCCCCCGTCGTTGGTATGGGTGGTGTCGTCCAAAACAACGGAACTCACCGTGCGTATTGTCTACTCTCTTTCTCTTGGAAACGATTGCTAACGCTGGCGACTCCGATCAATAGCCATCAAGCTTCTCATCTCCCACAACCAAATGGGCACCATCATCGGCCGACAGGGCCTCAAGATCAAGCATATCCAGGACGTTTCCGGTGTCCGCATGGTTGCGCAGAAGGACATGCTGCCCCAGTCTACCGAGCGCATCGTCGAAGTCCAGGGCACTCCCGAAGGCATCCAACGAGCCATTTGGGAGATTTCCAAGTGCTTGGTCGATGACTGGCAGCGGGGCACCGGCACCGTGCTCTACAACCCTGTCGTCCGAACTCAGTCCTCCGGCTCTGGAAGCCTGGGCGGCTCCGGCTACGGTAACGGCGGCGGTCGAGACTACGGAAGCCCTCGCGTGATGCGCACCGGCAACGGAGCCGACTTCAGCAACGGAGGCTCGAGGCCATTCAGCCGCCGCTCTGATTCCGACGCTGCGACTCGCGGCCCTCCCACTCACGACGAGAACGGTGAAGAAATCCAGACTCAGAACATTAGCATCCCCGCCGACATGGTTGGATGCATCATTGGCCGTGGCGGCAGCAAGATTAGCGACATCCGCAAGACTTCCGGAGCTCGCATCTCCATTGCAAAGGTAAGCATCAGCGACCCGAGCTGCACTCCTCTTCATATCCACAGTCGCAACTGACACCCAATAGGCCCCCCACGACGAGACAGGCGAGCGCATGTTCACCATCATGGGTACCGCCAAGGCCAACGAGTCCGCGCTGTTCCTACTCTATGAAAACCTTGAGGCTGAGAAGATGCGTCGCAGTCAGATGCAAGACCAGGAGTAAACCAAGGACTTTCTAATAATGAGCACGCTGGCTGTTGCTTCATGTTTCTCGTACCACTTGTGAATGAGCTGTGTTTGGGCTGGATTTGGCGGATAAGGGCGTCCAGATCTGGTTTGCCGCAAGGCTCCTCTTTCCCCCGCTGGAACAGGGACAGGATTTTCGATGATTGCAGTTCATCGCCAAAAGCATCCAACGCAGCCACCGTCTGTTTTGTTTGTTTATCTTTTCCCCATTTTATTGTATTTTTTCTTCTCTTTTCCTTTTCTACTTTCTCCCTCCTTATCTCCAGTTATGCTTTCTCACGTGTCATTTCTACCTCCACTGGGCCGCCATCAAACCGATTCTATCTCTACTGCGCGGGTCGACTCTCGCATCGATCATGAGGCTACTGCTGCTCTCTACAGTAGCTCAGCCTCATGGGGAAATGATGGTCCCCCGAGCAGGGCTCTTTCAATGTCTGCAAGCACCAGGCAAGGACTCATCGAATATTTCTTACCTCGACCTTCGACTCTCACGCCTCTGTTTGCCTTCATCACCCGCGACGCCTTGTGACCGCGCAGGCTTGACATACATCCACCAATTCTCAACTCACGCCTGGGATCATGGCATCGATACAAGCGCATCGAAGTGCGCTGCCTGAGATGGCCAGTGTCCCTTACGGGCACGAGTCGTCCAAAGCACGGCTTCGCTGCTCGGCTGTCACACTATCACATTCACTCTCTCCTCGACTCTCGCTCCGCGATCCCTTATGCCATCCTTACTCCGCAAACTCGAAACCAAGAATACTATTACGCAAGCAACAAAAAAACACACCATCCTCTTACTCTACCACTCGCTGCGCGACGACCGACATGTGAACCAACATTCACGTACACATCATCTCCCACCCGTGCCCTCTTATCCTCGTCGTTGTTCTCCTTGACAGGGGATGACGACTCTCTTTTCTCTTTTCTCAAGCAGGAATCAGGCAATACCCCGTGGCATGCACGACAGGCATGCTATGCGCATGAAACGGATCTGGGATTGGGGTTGTCTAGATAATAGTGCATCTAGTCAGTCGTTGTGCAAGAGACTGAAATATATTTGGACGCAAGCTGGCTTGACTGTGACTTGGTTCCCCTAAATAGCTGCCGAGTAAGTCATGTCGTATTGCTTGATGTTGCCGGCCAGGAATGAAGCCATCCAATATGCTTAGTACATCCAAAATGATTATCATCATGGATAGCCTCCAGATTTAGGCGTTGCCGGCAGTAAGCCTCCCAAGAATGCGTCTAACCCAGATTGGAAAGTGTGCATCCGGCAGGCGGCGGCAGGCACCCCCACCAGCCTCAGGGTCCCTCCTTCCCCAGACGTCAAGAGCGTGCCGTGGCTGCGAGATGAAGCCAACTTGTCAACTTTTCGGTCTCTACAACTCTGTCTACTGAACCCTCGCACTCATATATATCCGGCACAATTGGCGCCGTCGCTCCCTTTTCTTCCCTCGTTTGGCTGTCCCTTTTGCCTGTTTGATCCTCCCTTTTGCTTTGCTCTTCATCTTCTCCGCGCGGACTCGTCTACCATCCACTGTCCTTAGTACTCCCGGCAGTAACGCATCAACGAAACGATTTCGCAAGCGCATCTCTGTGCTGCGCGCATCGACAACGCGCTTCTCCGTCTCTGCTTGAACCATGGCGCGCTCAAAGCAGCCGGCCGTTAAGCGCGAGTCGTCTTCCGAGTTCTTCAACAAGCAGTCTGCCGCATGGGAGGATGCCAATGGAAAGGAGATGAAGGCGACGAATGGGCACGCGGCTGCTGCGTCCAAGTCGGCGCAAGAGTCGGGCAAGGGCGAGGCGGGCTTGGTTCAGCTTGTAACTGCTGTCGCGGGCATCTACGCTTCCTTGTAGGTTTTTTTGCCTACCAGTCCCTCTATCTGGATCGCTTTGAGCTAACTTGTGCGCGCGCGACACCAAAAGCTTGACCTGGGCGTATCTCCAGGAGAAGCTGACGACCAAGGCTTACGGCCCGGCCGACGCACCAGAGGTGTGGCATTTCCCCGTCTTCCTCAACACCATCCAGTCGCTCTTTGCCGCCGCGGTTGGCTTTGTCTATCTCCTCGTCTCGACGCCGAAAGGCGCATCGGTGCCGCCCATTTTCCCGTCGCGCAGCATCCTCGGCCCGCTCGCGCTCGTCGCCATCACCAACAGTCTGGCCAGTCCCTTTGGCTATGCCAGTCTCGCGCACATCGACTACATCACCTTTCTGCTTGCCAAGAGCTGCAAGCTCCTCCCCGTCATGTTCCTGCACATTACCATCTTCCGGAAGCGCTACCCCCTCTACAAGTACCTCGTCGTTGCCGCCGTCACCACGGGCGTTGCCGTCTTCACCCTTCACTCGGGCCGCAAGCATAAGAAGTCGGCCCGGTCAGACGAGGCAAACGTCTCCTGGGGCTTGCTGCTGCTGGGCATCAATCTCCTCTTTGACGGCCTCACCAACAGCACGCAGGACTACATCTTCCAGACGTTTCGCCCTTTCAGCGGGCCGCAGATGATGTGCGCCAACAACATGATGAGCACCGTTGTGACGTCCCTGTACCTCATCGGTAGCCCTGCGCTCGTGTCTACGGGAATTGGCGAGTGGCTCGGGATGGACGTTGCTGGCAGCGCTGGCGAACTGAACGCGGCCCTCGAGTTTGTGACCAAGTATCCTGCCGTGTGGAAGGACGTCTTGGGCTTTGCAGCTTGTGGTGCACTTGGTCAAGTCTTTATTTGTACGTCTGCTCAAACTAACTTTATACCCTTCCTCCTCCTCTCAATAGCCCTTCAAATGCTAACCCTACATTCACTTAGTCTATACTCTGTCCACCTTTTCATCCGTCCTGCTCGTCACCGTCACCGTGACGCGCAAAATGTTCACCATGATCCTCTCCGTCGTCGCCTTTGGCCATCGCCTCACGCAGATGCAGTGGCTCGGCGTCGGCCTCGTGTTTGGCGGCATTGGCGTCGAGGCGGCCATTGCCAGGAAGGAGAAGATGGATAAGGAGGCTGCCAAGGCGAAGAAGTCTTCTTGATGAATAACCCGCGCAATAGAAGAGAGAGACAAAATTTACAAGGATCGTGATAGAATTCAGACTTCAAGATGTACATATTTTCCGGAGGGTTGGCCACACGTACATATATATATTGTCCTTGACTGTTTTTGGATATCTTTTACTACTCCCGGTTTCTTTTCCTTCCCTGCGTACAACATGGCGTTTCGCTGGGGATTTACAGAATAGCCCTGGTATATGGGAAGCGGGCTTTCATACAAAATAGAACATCAAGTATTCTGAACTTTTCGTGGGGACGGAAGAACGGACCCCAAAGGAACGACGTGGCCAGTAGTAGGGGCGACGTATGTCTGATGTAGTAATTCGATTTGGTGTATTTTCTTTTTTCGTCTTCTTCTCCTCCCCTATTCTACCTATCCTTATATTTTGCCTCCCTTGCTACCGTGGTATCTCTCTCTCCCTTCATCTCTGTCATCGGTAAGGGACTTGCATGGCCCATCCTTCTCCCCCCTCTCAATGCTCTCCAATGAAGACCTGCTTCTTCCAAGCGTCCACCGTCTTTGAGGAGGTTATTCCACCTCCTCTTTAATTTCCTGTGCGTATGCCAAATGCCGGAGGGTTGCAAAAATACAAAACAAAAGGGAAGTAATAAAATGCCGACAAAACGAGATGGAAACCAATGTACTCCCCTCCCCCACCACGTACCCAAGTTTTGCTGTTATCCAACAGCCTGTCCTTTGGAGATAAGAAAAAAGCGAGCGGAAGATATAAACACAAGAGAAAACATAGGTAAAGACAAATATGATAAGTACATGGGGGAAATAGAACAATTTTTTGGACGTATGTGCAAGAGGAAATGATGCTTGCTCTTTCCCTTTCTCCTCCGTTCCCATGAGGATCATGAGCCAACCACGACCAGCTTGAGGGATGTCTTGTAAGCTGTTCAGTCGGGTAGCAGCGGAATCGAGAGGGTAAAGCGACGACACGCGGAGGGGGGCAAAGTCAGGGTAGAATCACGAATGCTCCCGCTTCCTCAACGTGTGTGCTGATCAAATAGCTCTGTTGTACACGGTTGAACTCCTGAAAATGCGATAGAAATGGCACAGAGGCTGGGGTACAGCCATAGTCGGGATCCAATTAGAGACCATCCTTCAGCCGAAGACGCAGGCTTCGCCATTCTCCTTTTTAAGACGATGTGCTTTGTATATAGATGAATCGTGAGTGGTATGATGCTAGAAAATGTCGTAAAAGCATGGTCAAGGCCGATTATAAGATGTCATCAATGGACCGAATAATCGATGCTTCGCCCTTGGCAGGTGGGCTGCGCGGATCCGCTTGCGTTGGCCTACCGAAGGAGAAAAAGGAGTCCCGGCTGAAAGCCGTCTGCCTTGGGGAGAAGAGATTTTGCGGAAGCTCCTGTCGCTCGATGAATCTCATTCCAGCAATTGACGGGAAGCTCCCCAGGGAGCTGTTGGCCATCTCTTGGTCCCTGGGTGACATGAGGACATCATCGTCCGGGAAAATCGCCGAGAAGTGAACAGCTTTCTCGTTGGAAGTTTGCATGGGAAATGAAGACGAATAGTCCCGAGCACCCAGGGTCGAATAAGAGGCAGTCGGCTTCAGTCTGGGACCGCCCAGGGGAGCCAAGCTTGGCTTGGACCGTCCTTGCGCTGACTTTGGTCTCAAGGGGGGAGCCTGGAGCTTGAAAGGCGAAGGAGACGGCGGCGGAACAAGGTCCGTCCTTGATTGTCGAGGGCTTGGTTCTGGCTCATTGATAGAAGGCTCCATCTGCTTCGCTTTCTTTTGTTCCGGCTCCATGCGCTCCGCCTGAGGCCTCTCGAAGCTGTCTCTCCACGAAAATGTCAAGGGCGCCGAAGCAGGTCCCGGGGAAATGGTCTGGAGGTCATTCGAGTTGCTCGGATGGAGAGTCAGAGGAGTCGTGCTCTCGCTTCCCTGCCTACCCTTGCCGTTTTCTGCTGGGAGGGGCGCAGTGTGCGGCTCCTTGGAAGGCATCTCAATTGCGTCAGCGGACAGGGTCAATCTGTGCTTGGACGGACTCCTTCCAGTGCGAGGTCGATAGGGCCCAGAGCCTGGCGAGGAGCGCTTCTTCTTGGCAAGCTCCTTTTGGAAGTCTTGCAGCGAGTACATGAGCTTCATGTTGGGGCTGATCCAGCGACTCTTGGCCTGTGCTGCGTAGTACGCATCGTTGACGCTGAAATGGGGGTTTAACCAGAGGCCGTAGGCAATGATGAGACTCGCCGAACGGCTAGCTCCCTGCTGGCAGTGGACGAGCACCTTCTTGCCTTCCTTGGTGCGGTTCTCAATGGTCTCGCAGAGGTGCATGAGATCGGGCGCGATGTCGGTATTGTGATCCCATGGAATGTGGATGTACTCTGGTGTGCTAAGAGGATTGGCCTTTGGCGTCGTGGGCGTCTGCATGTCCGTGTCCATCGGGCTGCTGCCGTCAGAAGGCTGGAACTCCCATGCGGTAGCAAAGCTGGAGTTTGACACTGCCGTATCCGGAATAGGGCTTAAATTGGATGAGATTCCTCTGCCGCGAGCGGAAGGCCCGTGCAGTGAAGGCTTCGCCTGCTCTTGTTTAACCTCTTCTCGCTTGGCCTCGAAGGGATTCCGAACTTCGTGGGCAACGTTGATGACTACATCAAAGCGAGAGGCTTCTTCGGCCGTGGGTTCCAGATACAAATAGACATTATCGCCGTAAATGGCAATGGGACCATCAGGGTACCCAGGCGTTTTCTGGTCTTCATTATTCTCGTTCTCCCGAAAAGGCTCGTCAAAGTCGTTTCGAGACGCAAGCTGGGTCTTGATGGGAGTGTCCTCTTCCGTGATGGCAGCATCAAATGTCAAGTTCATGCTGGACTTCATGGGTCGCAAGAACTCCGACAGCCCTGACTCATTGCGCTCCAGGACCTTTGGAAAGGTCATTCCCCCAGCAGGTCCAAATGTGGATGTCTTCAAGGAGGAGGAGGGGAAAGACGGTGACGAGGTGGAATGCTTGAGCGCGCGGCGCTGCAGGATGGGAGGCATGCCTGGCGATGCCGGCACTTCCAACGACGTCTGCTTAATCAAATCTGAAGCATTGGTCTTGAGGCTGAGAAGACTGGGCTTTCTCTTCATGGCGGGAATGGAGGGCTTGATGAAGGAGGGCGAGCAAGGTTCCGATACCATGGACTTGGCCGAGGCTGCTACTGTCGGTGGCTGGATGGATAGACCCTTCATGTTTCTCGGCTTCCTCGGAGCGGGAGACGTCATGGGACGCTCCAATGCGCTCGCCTCGGAAATGCTGAGCAGTGAAACTGGGTTGGAAGGGCCACTGAAGCTTGCAGAGTGAAAGTTACCAAGCGGGAGCAGGTTGAGCGGAGAATCCGGTGACGAGGATGGCGACGGATCCGAGAGGGGTGAAGAGTCTGTGGTAGACAGCGTAGTCGTTGGGGAAGAGTCGTCGGATTCTGATGTCTGAGTCGAAGTACTGTCGCGATGCTGCTTATGGCTCTGGTCTGGAGCAAGACAGGCCTGGAGGCTCGGCTGCTGAGAGGTTTTGGGCGCCACCTCGAGAAACTTGGAGCCGACGACGGTAATTGTGTCGCGATCTACCATGGTCTCGGATTCTAGATCAAAGACAGACATGAAGGTCGGTATCTGGTCTTCGTATATCTGGCGCGCGGCGGCTGCGGGCATGGTTCCGAACAAAATTGCCCGTTTGCTTGTTTCGAAGACTCGGGTCTCTCGCGCGCATGAACCCCCAATGCTTGACACGTGAGTTATTGCGTGCTTGTGCCGACTAAACCAAGAGCTGAAATATTAGAGTGAAGCGGCTCGTTCGAAAGTTATGCCGCTTGGAAGAAAGAGAAAGAAGCGTCAAAAGATGGACAAGAGAGCGAGCGTCGAATGAATGGTTTCGAATGAAGGGAGTGTCGAACTGCGGAGAACCGAAAATGAAAATAGAAATCAAGAACGTAGCCAATGGACAGCACAGCTGAATCCGGGTGTTGACAGTTCGCGATACAAGAAAGGAAGTAGGCGACCAAGCGGTCGGGATTGTGGCCCGAGAGGCGTCGTATCAGACGGACGCAAGCAGCTGGAGGCGCGGCACTGGGCGTTTTGCGGCGGGTTTGAGCGGGCCAGAATCCGACACGAGAGGAGCAAGAAAGTAGAAGGCGAAGGCGAGGAAACGAAGAGCAGAAACGGCCTCGGGTGGTCGACGGACAGGACAATGAGGCGTGCGAGGGTCCAAATCGAGGCGAGTCGAGAAAGGGAGCTGCAAGGAATGGCACCAAAAAGTCGAGGTGAAACAAGAACGGCGCCTAATTAGCGGAACGGCCACATGCAGGTGGGAGGGACGGGATAGCCGCTGGAGCAGGAAAGAAGACCAAGGGCGAAGGGCGCAATGCGAAATGCGAAGGAAGAGAAGAAGGCGAAGGACAAGGCGAGGGAGAAGGACAGGGACAACAAGGCAGCGCCAGAGGGTGCAGATGCCGGATCCTGCGCGAGGGCGAGCGGGAAGGGGGAGAGGCTGCGGATGTTGCGAGGAAGGGAAGAAAGAGAAGAGAAGAGAAAGAGTTGGAGGACGAGAGAGCGAGTCCAGAATTTGGCGTTGGCGTGACGGTGTTTGAGAGGCTCGCCAGCGAACAAACGGCGGCTGGGGGGGCAGCCTCCCAGGTCACTAGCAGCTGGAGCAGTGCCTAGCACCCGGTAGCGGTACAGGTACCTGAGCTGGAAGGGGGGCAGCTGCAGTGAGCCAGGCGGGCGAAGCAGTTGAGCGCTTACCTGTGCCTGTATGCCCGTAACGGTACTTCGCACCCGGTGCGAGGGGTGTCTGCTATCGGCGCTACGGGGCCACAGGTAGCGGTGACCTTGACCGGCATCTAGAGCAGGGCTCCCGGCCGCTCAGCCGCCACGGCAACGGCGGCGTCAGACCAAGTACAGGCTACCTATGACCCGTTCATGGAGCTACCACGAATACCTGCGAGAACAGAGGGTAAGGCACGCTGAAAGTTACTCCGAGTCTTTGGTGATGCTGGCTACCTTACCCATGCATGGGTCAGCTTTTTTTCTTTTTTCTTTTTCTTGTCCTTTGCTCGTTTCTCTCGCCCTCCACAGCGTGTCTGGCAATCAATTACTGCTGCCTTTTGCCTGGCACTGGAGTCAATGGAAGTGCTAAAAGTAGACACGCGCTACCAACTGGAACCTGCTTAGGCGCAACATGCATGCCCTTCGAATGCGGTGCCTGTGCCTGTACCTGTACCTGTACCTGTACCTGTACCTGTGCCTTGCCGGTCGCCCCTCCGTCTGCGCACCGCATCCGCCTCTTCGCGCAGCCGCCCGACGGCCTACATACAACTACAGGTACAGTAGGGAAGCATTCAGCAGCGGAGAGAAGATTGGCAAAACTGAAGCTGCTCAACATCTCGCGGCGCATACAATACGTCTCCAGTACCACCGCCGCCAGCATGACCTGCTTGCGCGCTGCACGGCGCCGCTCCTCGTCCAACCAAGTCCGTCCAGCGTTTCCCTGCAGCGTCCCTGGAGTCCCTGTACATGCTCGTAACGCGTAGGGGTCGAACCCCACCTCCTCGTTTCGAGTGGTTGAGCGGAGGACAGGGATTGCGTGCGAAACAGCGCCTAGGCTAAATATAGCCCTGCCCAGCCCGCCAGGCGCCAACGGCCGGCCAATCACAGGCCGAGCGCCCAAATTGTCGTGCAGCGCGACTTCTTATTTTTGGCCCTTCTGGGTGGGGCCCCGTCGAGTCTGTCCGCAGCTGCTGCAGGCCAGAAATTTTCAGAAGAAGGCGCCTCTGTTCGAGCTCTTTCCGGTTGCTTGCACTGCACTGCGCTAGGTACATGTACCCTCACTCTTTGTTCTCTCTCTCTCTTGCTTGTTGCTTTTTCGTCCCTCAAGCTACCCTTCTTTTTTTTATATATCGGGGTTCCTCTTGACTTGATCTCTTGGCCTCTCTTCCTGCGCTCTGTTGGCCTGGCTGTTTCGGATCTCCGGACCCTCCCCTCCGCCTTCTGGCCCCGTAGCCACCAAGCTCCGTAACGCTGCCTCCCGGAGAACGGGGACGGTGACTCCGTATGGCAAACGGCTGCGGGCACGGAGGGCCAATAGTCTCAGCAAGTGCAACCAGAGGGCAGCTGAAGTGGCAAGAACATCATGTCATGCTTTTCGTCCGTCTGGCAACGTACCCGATAATGACCTCATCTCGAGACCATCACAGTCAAAGCTCTCGAGGTTGTTCAAGGGTTCAAGGGGGTACCATGTGGTTGTGATATGATCAGCCAATTCCACGCGTTTCATGCAAATCTGCTCACATCAAAAAGTGCGGTTCAAGCATGGAGTCCGTTTATACGCACTAATCTGATCTTGGCGTATGGGAGGATCTCGTCCAGGGCACGCATCGAGATCACAGCCAAGCCCTCTATCTTATCCAGGCTTCTATTTTGTACAAGCTGCTATTACTGTATGTATTAGATATTCACTGACAGCACCGTACAGGCGTAGGACTGCCCAGCATTACAAAGGTAGTCTTACTTGTCAGTATAACTCCGTACTCCGTCGCACAAATTCTTCTGTGTCATCATGATTGGCTCAGTTTCGAGATCCAACGTCTTTTCGTCCCTCCGTCCCTCACTCAACACCCAAACCAAGCCATTACACGAACTTAGTAAAAGCCACGCGCTGACGAACCAATTCCCCATTGCCTATAAATAGACAATATAGCTACATACGTACTCGTATGCCGTCTGTGTCAGTCAGTCTGTTTGAGTCAGTCAGTATCCATCGAGTCTCGATTAGATCTCACATAACCGCCCGTTCGGGACCATGCCACCACCACAGATCACCGCCGTGGCCGTGTGGTATGTAATCCAGTCTACTGTAGGTGCATGTAAGTGGTCAGCAGAGTTGGAAATAGCTTGCCATGTCGCCATGACTTGGTTGCTTCCCGTCTTCCGCCTTGCTTGCAGCAACACCGTTCAGTAAGAACGCAGCTGGGTATGAAGTGGACAAGTGGAAGGCACTGCTAATACACATATCCTGTCCGTTGGAATTGGACGGCAAGGTGGGATTGGAGTACAGGTAGATTGGCTCCTATTCTCTCCACACCAACCACCACTGTAGCATTCCATGACCAAAAGGCAAACAGTCCTGCCACATGAACCCATTGGACACCACAAAGGGCCTGAGCATCGAATCAGTAATCGGTTGTCTTTGAGCAAAAGCGCCGGGGCAGGGCCAACAAAGGGCTGGTGCACCATGCACCAAAAGGGCTCATCGCAATTTCATTCCGCTGATCTGCCCGTCAAATTAGCATCTTGCTAGCTGTAACACGAACCTGCAGATTATTAGACGGCAAGAATGTTCAAGGATACTACTAGCAGTCTGATCTTGTCCTGCTCGCACTGTCAGGACATACTGTAGTGCAAGGCGAGGCGTTGGGACTGTGGCCATTGAAAGTGCTACAGTAGACTGCGCACTTACAAGCTGCTCGCCGTTCTCGAGTGGTTTGCCATCGTCTCCGGCGAGCATCAGAAACAACGTGGACGAGAGGGACCTGAGACGCATTTGGTTATAGAATGCAGCCCAATTCCAGGGTGCGAATAAGCTACCGAGCTACCAACCTACGAAACGCAATCCAAGGGGATGAAACGTGGCTCCCCCCGGCGAGCATTTTGAAACAACGCCGTCGCGATTTGATGCGGTATCCTGACCAAGCTCTAGGTGAGAGAAGAAGATGGTGACGAGGCTGCCTGAATGTGACTGCTGGTAGCACGAAGCGGCTTATATCGGATATTGTCTGACTACGATACCAACATAGTCTGATTTGTGTAGGGATACGTTCGATGAGTTGGGCAACGTTAATTTTCGAAGCATAGGGTGCTTCGCCTCTTTGACACTTCCTTCGCGTAAATGCGTCAATTGTGGCTTTGACATCATGCGTACTGCGTACCAAGGTAAATGGGCCAAACGCACCTCTGCCTGGGAGAACTGGAAGCAAGAAATTGAACAGCAAGAGAGAGCAAAGCAAAAGGACAGGCTGTCGGCGGCCAAGAAAGGAATCTCTGCAGCAGGTCGGTCTCGACAAACGTGAAACACGAAGCAATTGATGCCGATGACCTGCAAACGGTACCAAGAACCAAGATCCAGGGTAAGACGATGGAACTACGTACCAGCAACGTGTCGGAGAATTCAGCATGAGAGAGTTGGAGAAGCTTCTTTGCCATCGTGCATTGGTTAGCATCCGAATAAAGCGCATGACATAGGGATCTCCGGCCATAGTATGCAGCGCAAGACGCTAGAACATCATCAAGCATCGCTTAACAAGATGCAAAGAGGTCATGAAACAAGAGCCCTGTTCGTCTCCTCGAGTGTGACGTTCGTTCAGCGCCGCGGGTTGTCGACCATTATCTGAGGGTGTGTTTCAGAGTTTCTCCAGCATCTACCTGGAAGAGATGGGGATTAGAGACATCATTATCGTCTTGAAGAACCAGACACGGGAGGGAGAAGACGAAAAGGAAACGAAGAGTATTGACAGTGTAACAACCAGGCAGGCGTGACGCCATGTGCGCTCGGTTAAAGGTCTCCGCAAGGGGCCCCGACATGCCGCCCCCGTGTAAGTTCGAGAAGATTCAACAAGAGAAATTTACCCCTGACGACTGATACACAAAAATGGCTAAAAGCTCCTACAGTAGGCCGTCGACTTGATGCGCTCCATCCTGTGGTTGTAGACGACCATGAAGTAGAGCAGTAGAGCGTTCATGTGGTGTCTGTGAGTGTTGATTTGAAGTCTTACCCACCTTGTGCTCTGACCGAGAACCGCTCACCGGTCAGAAGCCCCTGAGGTGGACGAGCTGCCTCACAAGATGAAGCAAAAGCAAACAAACTCCAAATTCGTTTAGTAGTACGTACTCCACATTCAGACACCTCGGTTGGCAGCTTGTCTGGCTGGCAGCAGAGCCAACGTCGCAGAAGCTTGTCCGAAGGAGACGCCCATCATCCGCCTCTAGTGGGATGTCGGCTGCACGAGTACTTGGTTGCAGTTGAACGGATACTATTGCACCCCAAGGTATGTGTTACAGATAAGGTAGAGCGCGCGCACAGGCGATCGGATCGTTCCAGATTGGCATCGAGGAAAAAGCAACTCTGCATGGAAATCTGGGGGCGACGAATCTCTGCTTGCTTTTCTTTTCTTTTTCCCCCCTCGTCTTACTCTTACATACCTTGCTCCAGCAGAGCGCGGCGAAGAACACACAAGTTGGGCAAAGTCTCCTTGCTTGACCAAATTTGCCAATCTCACCTCACTCGATTGAGGACAACGGCCAGCTTGGCGCTTTGCAATCACCAAGATGAGTTGGCCGCTCCCTAAAGGTATGTGCATGATATCCGGAGAGGCATCCTCAACTACATACCCTCCTAGTATTACTCCGCGGTGCAAATGAGAAATCTACGAGAACAGGATAGTTCAACTGAGAACCCTCGTTAGGCCTGATACGCAAACACCGGCTGATGGCCCTTGCTGTCCCGTCTTCGGGATGAAGCCCCTTTCGGTGTCTTATTTCCCATGTACATGGAGGTTTTGGTAGTCCAGTCTGTTGATGTACACATCGATCACCTACAACCACCAAAACCCAGGGCTTCCTCGTAAGTGACCTGAAAACTTTCTGATACTCTTGAGATTTCAATATCCCCCAAGGCGGCATAGCGCCATTTCCGCCGGGGGACCGATCCACCGCAATCAATGGCCCCCCCATGGCATCAATCTTGTCGTCGTGACGTTTCAAGCGGCTCGGTTATGGGTGCCCGCTTAAGTTGCAGTGGACCTCGACACAGTTCTTGTGGTTCTCCCTCTGGTTCAGTTCCGGAGTGACATCTGCGATGTTACTGTGAAGAATCTTCGGATGTGGCAGTCACATGCGGATGGAGAGAAGGTAACAAAGGTGCAAGGGAGAAATAGGCGCAAGGTAGGGCGAGAGACTATTGAAGACATCGCTGCCCGGCTGTTGAGAGAACAGAGAGAGACACGACTTGGACGAGTGCAGGGCAGAATCGGGGCTCTCGCAAGCGTCGTCTTTCCGTCGAGAGTTGTCCCTGTACGGGTAATACGAAGCATGTACATACGGAGCGAACTCATGTCAATCCAGGCTCTCTGCCTCGTTATGTATTATTTGATCGTATAAGCGAGTTTCTATGAGGCCTTTCAAAACGTGGTGGTGCGGCGCAATTCCAGCCCAGTTCCCTGCCCGGCATCGAAAAAGAGGGCGCTAACCGTTGGGAACCACTGACCACACAATCCCATCCAATCCCATGTCATCCCGGGTCTTCGATTGATTCGCGAACCGCCCGTCGTTCCGAACAGACGCAAGCTCTTTACCTTGCCTTGCCTTGCCTTGCCTCGCCTTGCCGCGCCTTGGGAGGGAGGAGCACCTACAGGTGTGGGAAGCGGGAATGGAGACAAAAGAGGGCTATCTAGCCGGCGGGAAGAGACGGGCAGCGCTGTCGAACTGCACGGCACCAGTCGAATCTCACATTCTGTGTGGCCTGCTGCTCCCATGATCACCGCCGTGGAACCAGATTTGCTGCCTTCCGGGCTCCATCTTGGTGCATGTGTCCCGTTATTCTAAGAGGTTGGGACGCAACGGACATGCATGGCACTTGGCCTGGCCAGCCAGCAGCGCAGCAGAGGCCCCACGACGGCGAGCGGGCGGCCGAATCATCCAGGCTGGATTTTGATATGTATACTAATACCATGTACAAGTTGATTCCTTACGTTTGTGATGCGCCATGCGCCCTGTATGGCTAGAGGGAGGTTGTTGAAAGAGGTGGCATCATTAGGTATCACTGCCTGGCATAAGTCAAGTCGAGGCTGCAAGAGAAGCTTCAGCCGTCTGCGTCTTGTTCACGAGCAGATGAATAGGTAGGTAGGTAGGTATCGGATAGGATACTTTGTACATACACGCATGCCCATCTCCAAGGCTCCCGTCGATTAGTTCGGTTCCCGCTTCTTCTGCGTCTTGTCATGTCATGATGCCTGCAAGCAGTTCTTGTGAATGGTATTACCATTACGCCCTGGATTAGCACTGCTGTTAGTGGTTGCGGCATATGGCGCCTGTTATGCTACCAACATGGACGAACCCACATCGCCAGCATCCGCACCAGGGCAGGGCAGGCCATGCCATGCCAGGCTTCTTCCGCCCCATGGAAGCCCATTTGCAGTCCTTCAATGTCCACTATTTCCTTCTGCCCTCTCGTGCCAGGGGGAAGAGCAATGCTTGTCTAGCCCACTTCATGCTGCAAGTCGTTGAGTGTCCAGGGCCGCTATTACTGTGCAGTTCCTACCAAGAGGACCCCCCCCTTCGCGTTCCCCTCCCTTCAGAGGTCGCTCACCGTGATTCCTGCTCTTCTCTACTATTTCCACTCTCTCATTCTGCTGCCGGCCGTGCTCCTGAGTGCGCTTCTTCCGTGTACGTGACTTCCCGTACTTCAATCTGCCCAGCTCAGGACATCCAAACGCGTCGACTTCGGCTTGCAGCGGGTAGCCGGCGGGTCTTTTGATATCCATCCCCCTTGAGGCGGCGACATCGACTCTCTGCGCTCAGCTCGCTTGTCTGCTTTTTTCTCCTCCTGCCTGTCTCGCGATTGCGACGGACCCCTGCACGGCTGCCATGCTATGAAAGCAAGGGGCGCCTATTTCCACGTCTCCAGCACACACCTTACTGTGCAGCCAGACTCGACCGCCAGAGGGTGCGAGCACTGGTAATTGTCGCGGCCGTCAAATTTGCTCCATGCAACGGACGGCTCCGGGCCACCTGAGAAGCACCAGCAGAGACTGTTGTTTGTACTCGTACGTTGCCTGCAGCGGTCATCAAGCTTTAGATGCTGCACTGCACGCCCGCCGCCGCTCATCAACGCCGCAGCCCCGACGGCGGCCGACCTGACCCTGCCCTGACTGAATACGGGCCATCAATTTTCCCCAATCTTGCTTTTTATTTGCTTTTTCCCATCGCCTTGCTTTTCCCCCTTCGCTGTGGCTGATGAGCGACGCGAAGTCCCAGTGGTCCATGTTCTTGTACTCGCTGCTCGCACCACCCAACGCTGCGCTGCCCAGTACCGGTACCTGAGCCAGGCAAGATGACGGAGACTGCTAGTTTCGCTGCGGCTCGTTCCACAGCCGCCAGCCTCCCAGGCAAAACGCTCGCAGGTGCAGCGCCTCCCTCCATCACCGGCCCCTCGTCGAACCTGCACTCGCATCGCCAGAGCCACAATTCCTCCAAGCTGCCGTCCTTTCGCTTTGCCGACATCAAGAACGCCCCGAACGCTGCCGCGCAACCGTCGTCTTCGTCCTCGTCCTCCAGGCAGCCCCAGCACCAGCACCAGTCGCTGCCGCTCTCCCCCCGACGCCTCGCGCCCCCTGCGGCCTCGATCGATTCGCATCTCGACCGGCGAGAGTCCAGGACGCGACCCGACTCCCTCAACAAGATCCTCGCCTCCTCTGCCACCGCGCGCAACCGCCAGTCGCTGCCCGCGCCCGAGAAGCCAGCCTCGCCGCCGCGCCCCAGTCTGCGCCCTCGAGCCTCGTACCAGACGTCAGTCAAGGCCATCGTCGAGCAGGAACGGAGAGTCAGGCGCCCCGTATCCTTCCCCGACGGCCTCGCCGACGAAGCTGCGCAGGCCAAGCTCTCTAGCCTCGCGCGCACCTCGTCGCTCAAGCAGAGCACCCGCCGGCTGCCGGCATCTCGCACAACATCAAACGCCAACGGCAGAGTGACGCCCGACGGCCCGCGAACGTCACTCAGCACTCGCCAGCCCGCCATCGAAGACGCCGTATCGCCGACCACACGAGTTGCCGCCGACCCTAAGCCGCTCGGTCTGAGGTTGCGGGCTCGGAACCTGCCAGACTCGCCAGCCTCCAAGCAGCCGTCCTTGGCGGGCCCTTCAGATGAAAACCAGGACCAGCCGCTGCAGCGCCCACCTGTTTCCTATAAGCCGTCGGTGAACGGCGCAGCCACTGCAGGCCAGAGCACGGCTTCGACGACCACCTCTCGCGTTCCGCCCTCTCGGGCCTCCCGATCCTCCGGCTCTCGCCACAGCTCCGTCGACGAAATGAATTACAGCTCTCGCTCCTCCTATGACGAAGATCGCTATGTCGACTCGACTGACGATCACACTCTCCGCGCCTCGGATGGCGATTTCTTCGACCAGCGAAGTCCTCCGACGTCCAGACACGGCACAAACGGTGACGACACGGGCGATGTATTCATGAAAATTGCGTCTGAGGAGGCAGCGCGCCATTCAGCAGCCGACAATGCCAACGACCCAAACTCTTCTTCGGTAAGTGAAGGAAACAACCAAAAAAACAAAGAAACAAATGAAGCCCCAGGAATAAGCGAAACCAAATTGCGATCCTTTCTGGCCATTTGAATGTCTAACTCGGTCTGCAGCAGTTCAGAGTCAATCGCACCAGCAGTCGGCGCCCGCTTTCCCAAAATGTCTCCTCTTATTACCCGATGTCTCCTCCCTCTTCAATCAACCGCAGGCTCTCGGACCAGCAGGATCGAGAGCGTAGCCGCTCAGTTCGATACGAAGATGAACTGACGAGCGAGATCGCGCGAAGCAGCGCCTACCGCAGCCAGCTCAGAGACAAGGCCATATCCTCTCGCGCCGCCGAAGACACGCCTTCAAGATCCACCAGCTCGGGATTACGGCCTTCGCCCATGACGCCCCGGTCCACAGGCCTCCATGACCAGGCCGTAGACAGCGTTCTGTACGGCCGAAGAAAGTCAACCGTGGTTGACGCCCCGGCTTCTAGCTCGGCACGCTCATCGGCGCACAAGGCGACTGTACTCGTTCAGAACCACACCAAGGCTTACAACCCATCGCCTCTGAATCGGTCATTTGAGATGCAAGAGGAGGACGATGGCGCCGACGCTGGCAATCTGGCGGAAGGAACCGAGTCGACTACGTCCACTAATGCGCCGTCCACTGTTTGGGACGAACTGGACGAGCTGAAATCGAGAATCCACCGCCTGGAGCTGACAGGAAAGCTGCCGCCCACCTCGGCTGCCGCAGTGATCAAAGCCTCGGAAGAGAGGCCGCCGACGGCGACGACGACCGTCACGACCATGTCGCTTTCCCCCCGGAAATCGGCGGCCGGACAGCAGACAGATGCTGGTAGCAGCACCACGTCGTCACAGCGAGAGGCACACACGAACCTGCACTCGGCTCTCAGCAAGATAAAGCAGATACTCAGCCCGGAGGTCTATCGCGCGCTCGAGACCGCGGCGAACGATGCCCTTGCGCTGTCATCCATGATGGGTGAGCCTGGCCAACCTGGTCCTATATCAGGCTCCGCCAGCGTTGTCGGAGGTGGTGGTTCCGGCATTACAGATCGTCAGCTCCGCCGGAGAACAGACAGTGTCTGCCGCAGCTTGACGGAGCTTTGCATCGCCCTTGGCGAGGGCGGCACCTCTCGCCCCACGACGGGTATCCCGCAGGTTGTGACCACGCAGCTCAGCCCGAACCCGAACTCCCACTCCCAGCTGGAACCCCCGCGAACCCCGACCATGCTCAACACCAAAACTTACTCGGTTTCCCGCCGCTCGAGTGTCGTGCCTGAGCAGGCCACGCAAGTCATCAGCAGTCCCAGAGCCACATCCAAGTATGAGGAGCGAAGGAACATGATCTTGAGCGGGAGCAACATTCTGACTAGTCCCCGGGCCTCGGCCTCCACTCCAACCACTCCCAACGAGTCCATATCCCGCAGAGCGTCGCTTATTGTGTCACGCGCTCGCCGCGCCGTGACCGAAGAGGCAGAAGATGGCCGACGATCATCCGCACTATTGCGCCGACGGGCAGCGGGCGATGAATCTGACGAAGGCGGCCGGCGGACTTCGTTCCTTGTCCGTAACCGTCGGGGCACCGTTGGTGAGGAAGACGAGGGAGCCAGATTCCGTGCTCCATCCCGGGCCATCACCGAAGTAAATGGTGGCTCTAGGGGTGCGACGAGGGAATATCTTAATGCCTCGGACGCCGCAACCCCGATGCCCGAAGGAGGCACCACGCCACAACCTCCTTCAGCCCTTAGCCGACGACGATTCCTGCAGCCTTCTCGCCTGACCGTCCCGTCTACATCTACTACGCCCTCCACTAGGAAATTCCTGGAGAGACCCGCGGCTGATGGGGGTGAGAGTGGACCCGAGCGACCCAGCGAAAACCGCCTTTCACGACATCTATCGGTCCAGCATGCCTCAAACCATTCTTCCGCCTATCACTCACTGCAGAATCGAACCAGCAGCCTGCAGTTTCGTCGGACCAGCACAGTCCCAGCCGCCTCTACAACAGCCACGAATGGCTTGAGATGACTTAAAAAACAAACGATAATACGTTTAGATTCATGATCTGTACCATACTTGATTCATTTTGACTCATCTGCCAGCGTCTTCTGTTTCTTGTCCTTTCTTAGTTGCCAAATTCATTCTATTTGCCATCTCTCTCTCTCTCTCTCTTTGTCTCGTCATTTTACTCCATCTGTGTCTCTCCTTCTGTCAAACTTGTCACTCGCTCATTTTTTCTTTATCTGTTCGAACCACTAACTTACTTATACGCCACACACCGCTTCCTTCTTGAACCACTGGCTTGACGACCTGATGACGGACGGCCTGCTCGACTTCCTGCACGGGGCCAGATTCTTCTTTGTTTTCCATTCTGCATGTTCTATTCACAACAATACTTGTATTACCTGGGCTGCTTTTTTTCTCTTTCCGTTGAGCGTACTAAAAGCCTTTTTTTCTGTTCTTTTCTTGTGAAAGGCTGGCGTGCTGTGGCCATGGCCACACGAATCCTATTTGGCGAAGAGGGGAGTTTTGATTGATTGCTTTTCTTGGTTTCTTTCTTGAGGCAGCGGACTTGGCTTTTATCTTTTTAGTGCTGTTTTCTTATAAGTCGTGGATCTGGTTGAAAGGGCAGGCCGTGAAGTCTTATTGGGGAAAACGGGGAGGGCGCAGAGTTTACAAATACCTTTTCGGTTGCCGGTTTGCTGGATTATCAGTTTCTTTGCTGTGCGTGGTTTGTTATTCTGTTTTTCTGAAAGGGGAGAGCGAACAAAAACATAGCATCGTTGTGTGTGCATTTTTTTCCCCTAATAAACTTGGCTATTTCTATTTAATTGCGAGTTCATGATGTCGGATGTTCGTTGACCCAGCTTTCCGAGTTCTTTTCGAATGATGTGACCTTTTGAGATAGAGGGTATGTGAGGTTTGGATGAATGGAAGCAGCTCTGAGTTCAGCTACGCCATGCTCCCTCCACCTTTGGTAACACGGCATTTGATGTTGATAATAGAGTAATATCTTCATCCGAGAAAGCTGCGATCTGCAGGTCTAGGGTCACGGAGGCTTGAAATGGCGCCGCCAGTGTGCAGTCAAAGCAGTCAGAATGTCTTTCCGTTGAGGTCGTACGTTTGTACGTTATTATCTCATAAGATGTCTGATACTTCTCGATGTCGCACAAGACACAAAATGTCTCGCAAAGTTTCCGAGTGTACGTAGTAGTAATAATATTCAAGCTTGCCAAGCTGTGCGCAGATTCTTATCCCTTTGGGGGGAGGAGGCACTTCTTTCATCTCCGAGGAACTGACGAAGCTCAAATGTTGTTTGAGATACGTAGTAGTGATGCCCGAATGATGATGGACTGAGACATGCATGGCGGTCGGATGTTGGCTGCATCTTCTTACCCAGTGAACCCCGGGGGTTTTTGCTTGAGTTGTGTTATGAGCCGGAGAAAGTTTCAAGCTGCGCTGCTTCTCTTGGATAAAAGTGGAAGTAGGTAGCTTTGTGGCGGATGAGAAGGGGGGGGAAGGGGAGGGATGGACTTTAGGTGGCATTGATGGTGGATGTCGATTTGGTGGCGGACGTGATGGAAGCTGAGCAATGATCGTGGGGTGGTTGAGAGGGAGAAGTGGCTGGCTGAAACAGAGTCTGAGATGTGGATGATATTAGTATTGACCGCTTCGATGAAGGCATCATCCGATGATTCTGAGAAGGACCATCTTATGTGTAGATGTGTCGACTTCTACTATATCGTTGGTCTATATAAGATGAAGAGTTGGCCCTCGTCTTTGTTGCGTATATTCAAGTCCATACTCACTTATAAGACTTCGCTATAAGTATATATTCATTGCATTGAGCTTTAATCCTCAGCTCGTTCTTCTCAAGCAAAAGAATGAGAAGCGCCATCCCGTGGGCGGCCTTGGGCCTGGGCTTGATCCCGCTCTCAGGGGCTGCTGCCACGCCCGCAGCGTCGGCCCCCCTAGCCCTCGTCTCGGTGACCATCCCCTCGGGCACCATCGTCGGCAGCGCAGCCAACGGCGTGGAATCCTTCAATGGCATCCCGTACGCCGACCCCCCGGAAAAGGAGCTGCGGATGAGGCCGCCGCAGAAGCTGTCGACTCCCCTGGGCACGTTCAACGCCACGCGCAAGGCGAAGCTGTGTCCCCAGGGTCCCATCTTCGACCTGTCCTTGGTCCTGAACCCCCCCTTGGCGGCCGTCGCCACTGAGGCTGTGGTCGAGTCGTTTGGCGTCCCGGCCGCCGACGAGAACCAGTCAGAAGACTGCCTGACCATCACAATCACCCGTCCCCTGGACACGCAGGCCAACGCTTCCCTGCCGGTGCTCTTCTACATCTTCGGAGGGGGCTTCCTCGTCGGCGGGACGTCGTCGGTGACCAACGACCCCGCCAAGTTCGTCAAGGCGGCCGCCGACCTCGGCAAGCCCTTCATCTTCGCGGCGGTCAACTACCGCGTCGGCGGGTGGGGTTTCATGCCCGGGGAGGACATTCTGAACGAGGGGAGCGCCAACGCCGGGCTGCTCGACCAGCGCATGGGGCTTCAGTGGGTGGCTGACAACATTGCGGCCTTTGGCGGAAACGCTTCCGAGGTGACCATCTGGGGGCAGTCCGCCGGCTCCATCTCCGTCTGGGACCAGCTCGTCATGTATGACGGCGATGCTGACTATAACGGCCAGCCTCTCTTCCGCGCTGCCATCATGAACTCGGGCTCTGTGACGCCTGTCGATCCCGTGAACTCGACCAAGGCGGAGGAGCTGTATCAGCATGTCGTCCAGGTCGCTGGATGCGATGGCGCCGACGACTCTCTGAGCTGTCTCCGGAATCTGACCGACGCCGAGTTCGCTGCAGCAGCCAATTCTGTTCCCGCGTTGATATCGTACGAGTCACTGGCTCTTTCGTATCTCCCCAGACCGGACGGCACGGTTCTGACGGCGAGTCCTCACGTATTAGCGCGGGAAGGCAAATTCCACGCCGTGCCCATGATCTTTGGCTCGCAGGAGGATGAGGGAACGCTATTCAGCCTCCTCCAAGGGGACATGGGAACCACGGACAAGATCACCAACTACCTCGCCGACCTGTACTTCCACAACGCCGACTGGAACCTCGTCCATGACTTCGTCAGCACTTATAGCGAACGCCTTGAAGACGGAAGCCCGTATCGCACGGGTCAGTTCGTGGGCCTGTTCCCCTACGCAGGCAGGAAGAGGATCGCGTCCATCCTGGGCGACATCGTCTTCACTCTAGTCCGCCGCTGGACGCTGGAGAACGTGGCCGCGAACCGCCCTGACGTGTCGGTCTGGTCGTCGTTCGCCTCGTACGACTGGATGACTGACAAGTTTTTTGGCTTACTCAAATTTTTTGGCACTCGGCACGGATCAGACACAGGCGTTTTCTTCGGCGGAGACAACTCGTCTTTCCCCACGCGGACCGGCCGGGCGTATTACATCAACTTTCTGTACAATCTCGATCCTAATGTCGGGCTTGATGCCGGGGTCGAGTGGCCACAGTGGACCGAGGACAAGGAGCTGTTGTGGTATAATGCGACGGAGAATGGGCTTTTGAAGGATGATTTCAGGAGCGACAGCTATGATTTCATCAACGAGCACATCGACTCACTGACATTTTGAGGCTCTTTGATGGCGATCGAGATGGCGGATGAAGAATTCATTGAGGAGGGGCTCTGCTATGCCTCGAGGAGTTGGTATACGTGTGGCAGTATTTTGTCGACTGATTGGATAGTAATCAGATAATAGCAAATTGCATGAGTCAATAACTGTCAAGCAATCAGGCTTCACTTGATGCCTGCACGAGAATTTTGGATAGCCAATGACGAGGCATGCATGTTGTGATGATGAGAAATTCAGGAGAGGGGAGGCACGTACATACTCGTACGTTGTAGGTTGAGGCGAAGTTGGCGATGCGCCTTGCTGAGTCACGCCGACCCAAATCGGGCCAGACCGTTGCCAGGCCTTGGACGTTGCAACTTCACTCACCGAATCGACAAACCTCCTATAGAGCTGTATGAGTGTCCGCTACAGCTATAAATTTGCAGAGGTCGCCAGCAGATCTGCTCTTTTGCTCCATCAATTCCATCCTCGACGACGCAGCTGTTCTCTGTCAAGTCTCATAGCAAAGCACCGTCAGAAGATCAGGGCAGGGTTTTTCTCACTGCCACCCAGCTTCACTACCTCTGCCCTCTCACATCTCATAGACGGCCAGGAGAAACACAAACGACACCCTTTCTCACAAGTCGCTAACAAAATGAGCGCTATCGAGGATGACGGCTCAAACGCCGCTGCTCACATAGCAGTCGAGGAGAAACTCGCAGACGGAAAGAGGAAGCAAAGAGGAGGTCGGGGAGGCGGCGGCGGCGGCGGCGGCCAGAGCAGAGAAGTGCTGGTCTCCAAGGCTCTGTCGAGGTTGTTGAGGCATCAGGCTGCGAATGCCGGCATTCAGCTCGACGCAGAGGGATTTGCCCCTCTTGATGAAGTGGTGGGTTGTTACTTCTCTTAAGTCGACGACAGGGGCGTGAAGGAAGAATTGTTATCTTAACTGATATTGACATGTGGGTTACGCAGATGAAATGGGGCCCTCTCAGATCTCTCAACATCACTTTTGCCGAAATCAAAGACGTGGTCGCCTCCAACGAAAAGCAGCGCTTCACCATGAAACTCAACCCCTCCATCTCCGTCGAGGAGGCATCGTCAACACAAGAGCCCTCCCACTACCTCATCCGCGCCAACCAAGGCCACTCCATCAAGATCGAATCCTCCGCCCACCTCGAGCCCATCACCCTCAAGGCGGGCAACGTGCCTCCGAAAGTTGTCCACGGGACGTACTTTGCCTTTTGGCCCGCCATCGAAGAGACCGGAGGGCTTAAGGTCATGGGGCGGAATCACATCCACTGCTCGACAGGGACGCCGGAGGAGGGCGCCGTGAGCGGGATGAGAAAAGACGCCGAGTTGATCGTCGAGATTGACGTGGAGAAGAGCTTGCAAGAGGGCATTCAGTGGTGGAGGAGCGACAATGGGGTGTTGCTGACGGAGGGTGGAGAGGGGGGTGTTTTGAGCACCCGGTTCTTCAAGAAGGTTACGGGGCGGAAGGTTGATGTCGGTGTGCTGTGGGAGGATGGAGAGAGGTTGGCGGGCCTCCCTGAGGGAATCAAGGTTCGGATTCCGTCCGGCAAGGGGCCAAGGGGAGGTGGGAGGAGAGGCGGTAGAGGTGGTGGAAGAGGGCGAGGAAGAGAAGATGTGAGGGGCCAGGAGGGCAATCCTAGCGTATAGAAGATGAGAATTGATTGACAGCTTCTAATAACGATTGATGATATCCTGCTAGCGACTGCTGAAAAAAACGTAGGCCATTCAAGATGCCTTGCCCGCCGATTTATACCAAACAAAGCTTCATATGAACCCCACAATCCGAGCACAGCAACGACGTTCCAACCTCAGGTTGACTCTACCGCCTTCTGTTCAGGAGCCTTCCCGAAAGAGCCTATGAGCCCATGCCGCCGATCTAACTCGGTCCTATAGTACTTGAGCAATTCTTCTGCAATGAGCTCCTTGGCCAAGTTCTTCGAAATCGCTCCCGCGACATGCCCTATATCCTCCGGCATCCGACTGGGTTTCTTAAAGACGGGCCGCCCAGCAAAGTACCCCTTCTTATCCGGATCCTCCCAAATCTGGTACTCTGGACACCCAATCTTGAGACGTACTCCTTCCCTGGCGACTTGCTCCAGGAGGGAGGGCAGCTTGTCGCTGTAGAACTCCGCGCTGTTGTCGGGAATCACTGATTCAGCTTGGGCATCAGCCACAGGTTCCATCTCGGGGATGATGTCTCTGCGCGATGAGAGCGGTGCTAGAGGCGCGCCGCCAGCGCCACCTGGAGGCACAGCCAGCGCAGGGGGGTCGATACTGACACTGCCGCTCGTGTGTTTGGTTTGGTCTTTTGCCACGGGAGGGGTGGCTGGTGGTCTGAGGGGGACGCCGCCAGAGATTGGGGGGAGGGAGACTTTCGGCAGTGACTTGGATTGGAGATATTCTAATGCGTGTTTGGCGGCATACTGCTTCGCCGCCTGAGGAGATGTGGTTGCTTAGCTCTTGTTCTCGCTCTCGCCTGTGCCAGATGGCTAGATATGTAGGTTGAGAAATGAGGCATGTGACGAACGAACCTTTTTGGCAGCAAACAGGGGCGGCTGCTGGCCTTCGGTGAGGCCATAGCCTTCACGGGGAAATGTCGTTACCTCGCCGTTTTCTTTTAGATGGCAAGTCGTCGTCCACCGCATCATGAAAACTCCCTTCAAGGGGACCTCCAGCCCTTCGTCTGTAAAAGTTGTACTAACTCCAGGCTTCTCTTTCTCTTTTTGTTGAATGTACTCTGCATGGTAAAAGACGGAAGAAAGTCAGACTCTTTCTCTCACACACACACATTCTCTCTCTCTATTGTACCGCGAACGCGAACTGCTTCTGCTTTTCAGGTGGGAGGAGGATGCTCACGCATGAGAAGGCTCACGTAGTCCCGGCCACTGACGTCCGGCTCGGGCTCGACGAAGTCGACAATGTGTGAGAGAGCCGCGAGCTGCGGCCTCGCCATGGTATCGCGGCCCTGTTGCTCCGCGCTCTCTTGCTCGGCGATCCAGGCCTTGAGACGGTCCCACGGCACGGAGAGCTTTTGCGCGGCCATGGCTCTCGGGGTTCTGCTGCTGTTGATTCTGCTGATGCTGATGCTTTCTTGGGCGGCGGATTCGATGAGGGCGGCCAGATCAGAGTAGAAGCGGGATGATGATGGCGATGATGGTGGGCGACGCTGCTGGGTGAGAAGCCTGGAGCTATGGCTGTGGCTGTGGCTGCGAGCGCGAGCGCGAGTGCGGGAGCGTCTGGAGGTGATGGCTGAGGTGCCCGAGATGGTTGTAGACGCTGCTGCTGATGTTGATGGGGAGAACAAGCCAGGGACGGGAGGGCGGGGAGGACGGCGCATAATATCACGGCGAGGAACGAAGCTGAGAGAGATGATGATGGCTGGATTGGACGTCCGAGAATAATCCCAAGCGGGCAGAGCCTTGCCGTGGGCCTCCCGCGGCTCAACTGCAGAAGCTGTTGAGAGGTGAAGCTCTGGGCTCAGGATTCACATTGATTGGCCTGAGCTGGTGAGGGGCTGGCGGCTGTGACCTGGGTGGCGCGTTTAATACATGTACAGGTTGACCCAGCCTTGAGGCCGCGCGCAGATGCAGAGGATCCCAATGAGGGTGGAATCATGAGGGGATTGATTCTGCGGGACGCCAGCGATGGGAGAGAGAAAACGCTAAATTGCTTGCAACTACTACTGCCAAAATGATGCTATCGCGGCATGACATGCGGTGCGACATGGCTACAGCTACGACTGCAGCTATCTACAGTATAGCTACTACTGCGATTCAGATCAAAAACTGCCAGGTAATTGAGATGGTTTTCATCCGAACGAACCCAACGGAAGCAACATTTCTGCCAGATGCCACCTCCCTTCTCTCCTCCGTATGTGCGTAAAGATACCCTGCAAAGTCGCATGCCCTCATGCCTTAAAGGCCCTCGAAAAAGCCGCCGTCTCCATTCTCGTCACTCTCGTCATTGGCGGCCTCTTGCATTTCCCGCATTAGCCTTCTTCTCTCCCGCCTGTTGGTCGGCTGTTTCTCCTTGTCGCCAAATCTGGACGAAGGCGCATCCGGCCCCTTAGCCGGCCTCTGCTGTTGCTTCTGCTGCTCTCTAGGCTGTCGAGCGGTGCTATCGTTCTTGTGTCGTGACTCGGGTGCGCCTGAAGAAGGAGCTGCAGGTCGCGGCCTGATTGGCGGCTGTCTGTCGTCAACCTCCCCGGTATCGTCTGGCGATCTGCGGTCGCGTATCTTCTCCAACGCGGCTGGTCCCTCGGCCAATGCTTTTTCAATGACTTTCCACATGGGCGGCCTTTCCGCTTCCAGAGCTGCCTTTGCGGCCGCTTTCTTGCTTTCCTCGGTCTCTTCTTCGGCCGGCTTCTTGGCGGCGGCGGCGTAGAGGCCGACGTACGTCTCGATATGGGGGAAGTAGCGAGTGTATGCTTCGTCGACTTCGGCGATGTGGAGGTCGTGTCGTATCTTTTCAGCCTCGGCCGCGTCGCTCTCCTGCTCGAGCTTCCGCTTCAACTGATTCACCAGTCGCTCAGCCTTTTTCCGTTCTGGATGAGACGAGTCAGTTAGTAAAAGGCAAAAGACAGCAGAAGAAGCTCATATAGCCTGCAGCCTTGACGCACCAAAAAATCGGACATGGTGGTATTTTGAGATCATCGCGCTGCGCTTCCTCCTGTATGCCTTGTCCTCCAGGATCTGCTTCTGCGCCGCCAGCTCCCTCTCCAGCTCGATGCGCACGTTGGCCGGCATGTCCTGGTTCTTGCGCAGGCTTCTCTCAATCGCCCTGATGCGCTTCTTGGCTCCGGAGTCCTCCTGTGCCGGGCGTTTGCGGCCATTGTATGACTTGTGCCTTTTTCCAGCGGCTGCATGGCCGCGACTCGCGCCCTGCGACTCTTCGACCTCGTCGAATTGCCGTTTGGTGCCCATTGGAGAGTCGCTTTCGGCGTGGATGTATATTGCAGCAGTGGTGTCGAACGGCAGAGGGTAGGAAGCAACTGTGATTCCCGTTTGATCAACTGGCAGTAGACGGAGGACACGAGAAATGCCGCCTCTCGACTCGATAATCGCTGCTTGTTGTCGCGAACCAACTTTTTCCAACTTCAATTGTAGGCGCATTGAATTGAAGCGACTCTAGAAGGAACCATACTTTTTCTTATCTTATCGGGGCAGCGGCTCAACCGGGACTAGCGTCTCTGTGCCCGGCGAACTGCCCAATCATGGGCCGCCTATTGCTCTCTCCAGCTTTCCCCAGAGCTTCTGTTCGCAGCTGATTCAATTCAACTGCTGCGCTACAGCTGCATATGAAGCTCTCAACTGGTGAACCAAGTGACGCCTCGATACTGCGACCTCAGCGTCTTCTTCTAGCCCTTGAATGGGGTCCATGTTCTAAAAGCATCACTTTTCCGCCCCCGTCATCCCGGGATGCAACTCGGGACAAGCTACATCTGGAATTCGTCTCTTCGCCCTACATCACCAGGCCATGGCTTGAAGCCGAACCACGCCTGTGATATGAACCCGAATCAACCCGCGAGCTTGGAGCCATCTTCCACCAAACGAACTCAATAACCAAGTATCGTGGTGATTCCAACAACTTTTGAGGCAAAGACTTCTTTACTCGGATCCTCTGTCAGGGCTCGGCGGCAGAACACTGTGACGACATCAGAAGTTGGATGAGGCGTGCCTCGTGTTCGCGGCATCAAAGATGGATCGCCCAGAGCCAGGACTCGTCAAATGGTCCCCCAAGGCCTCCATCGACAGCTTTGTGCACATAAACCTGCAACATCGCGTTGTTCAGCTCTATGAGCCCACTGGCCACGCCCGCGCAGGGAGGTTCGACTATGCCAAAGTCAGCAGACACGATGACTTTCCCCCTCTGACGACGTACGATTGGTCCCCTGAGAATCCAAGCCTGCTGGCGGTTGGAACTGGGGCCGGCATTGTGAACCTCTTGAGGATCGATGACAGCTCTAATGCATACGTCGAGCTGGGCCTCAAGATGGCTCGGACGTGCCAGGCTGTCTCCTTCAACACAACTGGCCTGTTGGCGGTAGGGTTGGACCGTGTTCGGATGGATCAAAGTCTTCAGATATGGGACGTGCACCGCTTGTCGTCCGTGACACCTCTGGGAAAGGGGTTCCCTGAGAATTGGGGCAGTCTTTCGGAACCCAAGAGGGTTGAACCAAGCGTGTCAGTCTCTAGTATCAAGTTCTTCGAAGACAGTCCTCAAGTGCTGGTGGCCGGCATCAAGGGCCAAGGTGTCAGGATACACGATCTTCGTGGTAAGTCCAAGTCCATGTGTGGAAGTTTCAAGGGACGTTATCGCCTGGAAACCATGCTCATTCCTCGCATCAAGATCCAACTGGTGTCATCACTTTCCCCACCAAGTGCAACAACAACTTGGCAATCGACTACGCTGATCAAAACTATTTTGCATCTTCGGCACTCGACCACCCCGGCGTCATGATATGGGACCGTAGAGCAACCTCTCGCCCCGCAGCGTCTCACACGTACACCCAAGCGGTTGAAGAAGACGACCTGCCCTGGGGTGGAGCCTTACGCCTCGATACCGTCGTCGACACTGATTCCGATTCTTCTATGGCTGAGGAGAAGCACTCTCTCATTCGCTCTCTGCGTTATTGCCGTGACCATCGCGGTCTGCTGGCTGTCTTATCCCGCACCGGACAACTCAAGGTCCTGGAGACCAACAAAGAGCTTCCGTCATCTGACGCCGTGCCGCACGAGGGCCCTGAGCTTCTCAAGGTACAGCGATCCCACGAGATGGACGTTTCATACCGCGAAAACTCTAGAAAGAATGACAGAATCGTCTCCTTCGATTGGGTGACGCTCGGCTCGGCCGCCTTGCGACCTAGGCTCCTGGTACTGCGGGCAAACGGCGGGTTCGATATCTTGGAGCAGGCAAGTCGTACGGCCGATCATGTCTTTAAGCTCGTACCCTGGCAAGCCCCTCATCGCGGCCTCGAAGGTATGGTAGATTTTTCAGGAGCAGGCATTGTCCTTTTCATGTGCTAACGCCGCGATTAGAGAACACTCCATACCAGGATCTGATGCGGTTTGAAGCCACCCAGGCTCCAAAGATGCTGGCCCCCATCATCATAGAGAACAACTTATCTGATGTTCCCATTTTCGGGCCGGATAGGGTGAACGTTGAGGCCATCATTGAGAAGACTCTGGACCCAAAGACGCCAATTTCAATCTCTGTTGAACTTGCGAACCAGATATCTTCACCTTTGCCCGAGGCCTTTACAACGGCCCCGACAATTGCAGAAAAGCTCCGTAGCCTACGCAACTATGTACGAGAAGAGAGCAATGTTCCGGATTCGCCCGCAGAAGGCCGGCCCCACGCCAGCGATGTGAAGCGGCTGAATCATGGCAAACCTGGCTCGGCATTGATCAGCTCCAATGGCATTGGATCTTGTACAGAGATCCATGAAGCGCTCCTCGGCACTCTTGCGTCGGCATCTGGACTTCCCAGGGAAGCGCAAGTCGTGGTGGACCACGTCAAGCTCTTTCGTGCAAAGGAGAGATATCTGTTCGATGCTGTCACCAATAGGAACGTGATATCTGACGACCCCTGGAAGCGATTCGTCTGGGACTGGATTGGTGGTCAGTCTCACAGCATGCCCATGGCATTATGCGCCTTTCTTCTGTTTCGCTAACGATCTCTACAGATGCGGAACGAGCTGCAGACGATGGCGCGTTAATGCTATCTCACATGGATCTCAGTTACCTGGGAGTGCATGCTATATGGACGAATGATCTCGGTGAGCAGCAGCATTGACTCTTCTGAAGCTGTGGCATTCTAACAATCCTTCTCATCTGAAAAGGCCGGAATCCCACCTCTCGTCTGTCTCCAGGTGCCCACGTTCCCGACGCCTATGCATGGGAACGTTCCATCGGCGCATATTGTAAGAAGCACCAGTTGCCCAAATTTGACGGGGTTGCGACGAAGAAACCTCATCATCGCCAGCTGTGCCTTGAGATATGTGGCTGGGGCGATGACCAGAATCATGATCCCAGCGGCCTGGACCGGGAAGCCGACCCGGAATATCCAGCCGGCATCCACACAATGGCCGCTTCCCGCGCTCTCTTCAGGGGCGATACAAAGCTGGCCGTAGAGATCCTGAAGGAGGCCAGCCAGTCACATCCGGAGCTGCTCTTTGTGTCGTTGGCCCTGCAGCTCATCGGCCGCGAGGGCAGACAGCTTCCCAAGGAGAGGCTGGAAATCGACGAGGCCGTGGCGTCCAAGACGGATCCGTATCTTCGGGCGATATCATCCCTGATAGCCACGGGCGACTGGACCATCATCGCCAATCAGCCCTCCCTGCCCCTTGCCGATCGAGCGTACGTTGCGTTGCGCAACTTCTCGGACGAGCAGCTCACTGCGTGGCTCAACGAGCAGGTCTCGCGCGCCGTGGCAGAAGGAGACATCGAGGCCATCTGCCTGACGGGCATCACCGACACCATGGTGGACATCTTTGCCCGCTACGTCGAAAAGTTCAACGACTTCCAAACGGCGACGCTCGTCATGTCCATCTGCGCGCCGCGGTACATCGACGACATCCGCTGCCGCGCATGGCGCAACGCCTACAGGGCCTACCTGCAGCGCCACCGCTTCTTCTTCCAGCGCACCAAGTTCGAGGTCGAGTCGACGAAGCGCTCCAAGCGCGAGGGCGTCCCCGCGCTCAAGCCCTCGTCGCGCCAGATCGCCCTCCGCTGCGTCTACTGCGACGCCAGCACGTCCCTCGCCAACCACCACAAGGCGGCGGCGGCGCCCATGGTGCCCTCGTCCGCCATGGAGACGCGCAACCCCATGCTGGCGACGAGCATCAACGCCGGCGTCAGCTGTCCCAATTGCGGGAGGCACCTGCCGCGGTGCATCCTCTGCTACGAGGTCGTCGGCGTGCCGCGGTCGGACCGGCCCGAGGAGAGGGAGGAGACGCGCATGGCGAGCAGGTTCCCGACGTTTTGTCTCCGGTGCGAGCATGTCCTGCACTTGGACCACGCGAGGGAGTGGTTTGCGAGGCATGCCGAGTGTCCTGTGCCCGAGTGTCGGTGTCGTTGCAGTTTCAGGGCGAATCCGGAGCTGAACTATCATTAGGTAGGCAGGTGTTAGTAGGATCAGTTTGATGAGATGTATAGCGGGGCTACAACTTGGTTAAGGAGGTGTTGTATGTGAAGTCAATGGAAAGGCGCTTTTTGTTTTCGAATGATCATGTATGTATGGGTGTGTGTGTATATGTATATATAGATATATATATATATAGATATATATATATATATCATTGCTTTATCGCTTAACGCCAAGATCGCGCTCTTGTGTAAACCATTGAAGCCGACACGATCCCTCTCCCACACATGAAGCCCATAATAACAAGCCGAGAAAAAAGAAGAAAGAAGATAGAAATGAAAAAGCCCTCGAGCCCATGCTCCCCTTTGTTTCCCAACCAAAGTCCCGGTCAAAAGACGTGAGTCTCTTCGGCCTCTGTTGATTTTGTATTTGCATATGAATTTGTGCCCGTAGAAAATTGTGCCGTATGAATTTGTGTTCGTATAAATTTGTATCCGCATGAAACTTGTGTCCTCATGAAGCTTGTGTCATGAAGTGATTGTGTCGTCTGAATTTTATGTCGTGGTACCCATCCAGTGAGGACGGAACTTCTCCCGCAATATGCATCAACTCCCGTTATGTGCCACAACAATGCTTTTCCCCCTCCTCTTTTCTCCCGTGAGTATAAGTTGTATGTATCTCTTCATGGGTATCATCGCCAAAAGATATATAATGTGTGTTGTATCAAGACCTGTTCCAGGGTCTCTTATATGCCGCGCCAACCCCCATCCTCCAACCAAGAGAAAAACGTTGGGAAGTATGCAACCACTCCCATTCTACCTTTACTTCTGTTTGCCTATATGCTCCCTGCACCACGGGTGATCCAGCACCTGCTCAATAGTAAACCGCTTGGCAACGTCCCGGTTCAGCATGCAGCGGATCAAGTCGATGCTGTCCTCGCTGATGACAAACGGGATACGCAGGTCTCGGTCCATGATCTCATCGATACTGTAGAAAGGGTTCTCTTTGTAGACGATGGTGTAGAGAAGGATGCCGAGAGCCCAGACATCTTGCTCACGGCCACCATAAGGTTTCCCAGCCAGGACTTCTGGTGCAGCATAGTCTTATGGGAGCATTAGCACTTTGTTACAAGGGTATGGACAAGTTGGCAAAGGGGAGAGAACGGAGGAGGGAAATAGATAGAATAGAAACTCACCAATTGTGCCCACAAATACATCAAAGGGGCCGCTTCTGATGTATGCTGCACTTCCAAAGTCAATGAGCTTAATGTTTCCCGCGCCGTCGAGGATCACGTTCTCATCCTTGATGTCACGATGAACGACTTGGGCCCTCGTATGTAAGAAGTGGACGGCTTGCGCAACCTGAACAAAGATGCTCCGGCATTCGTCCTCGTCCATGTTTGCACGAAGCTCAATGTAGTCGAACAGATCCATGCCAGGGAGGCCGTGGGGAGCCATCTCGATATAGTAGTTGACGTCGTCTTCAAAGAAGCCTTCCATCTCCACAATATTGGGGTGTCGGAACTCGGGTTTGCGCAGATAGTTCAAGACATGGATCTCCAGGGGGACGGTTCCGAGCTTCCTGTCTCGAGTCCAAGTATCGACGAGAATACGACGCTTAGTCACATATTTCAACACCACTTTCTTGCCCGTCTTTTTATGCCGAGCAAGTTTCACCTGACCGTAAGCTCCTTGGCCCATATCTTCAAGGATGGTATAGTCGTCAATGGTGGTCTTGCGATCGGACGCATCGTCCTCGGCCTTGTCTGACTTCGGGGTCTCCTTGGGCGGCTCTGTTTTGGCAGTCCCCGTGAGCTTCGCAGCAGCATCGAGTGCGTCGAGCGCAACATCTTTAATCTGCTGGGGGATTGCGGAAGCCATCGCAACGATTGGTTGCTTGACGTCCTCGATCTTGGGCTCGTCGGAGTCTGAAGGTATCTCCATTGGAGTGTGGGCAGGAGTCTGGCCTGGTGAAGGTTGGTGAGGGGGGGTTATAGCCACAGGATCATCAGGAGATTCCATGTTCAGATGCAGACCAGACGTGTGTAGGTGTCGTGAATACGTAATCCACAGGGCAAAAACAAGCTCTGATTGGGAGACAGATGCTCGTCTGTCGCCTCCCTCAGCCGTGTCCGAGTCGCTTTCTTCGGCCATGTCGACGTGCTTTTCGCTCTCAACAACACGCATCTGGACGTCGATTTTCAGCTCGGAGCCGTCGCGATGTCTTGCGGGTATACCCTCTGGCTGCAAAAAGGCTGCGGCGGCGTTGGGACGCTGTTCTTTCAAGGCGAAGAATGCTGCTGCTCTGCGGAATCTGTGCTCTGGAACTACCATGCCGTCGAGCAGCTGAAGGCCGTCTTCCTCTGTGAGAGTAGCAAGGATCTTGTCAAAGTCGGGGATGAGGTTGTAGATGGGCATGCCATCGGGCTTCTCGTAGCCAAACAAGGCCCCGGAGAAGACAGAGTTTGAGCTTCGGATCTTGAGCGTTTCCGGCTCGACCACGACGATGCCAGCCATATGGGGGAACGTCGACACGCGTAGTTCAAGCTTTCCCCGGACCTGCTCGATGGCGCACGGGATGTTGGACTTGTGGGAATTGGGGCACGTGAAGTACCGCCTCCGACTGGTTTGGGCGAAGTCAATCTCGCCCTCATTGGGGTCGATTCCCTGGCGCGGAATTCGCGGGATGAGCTTCGCGACGTCGAAGCCCGGCTTTATCGACTTGAAGCCCCAGATTGGCTCAGTTGCTCCAGTAACAGACTGTACGATGCCCTCCTCGTCCAGAACAATGTGCGCCACATCTTCGTGAATTTCCTCAAGCACCCAAATCAGCCCCACGCGCTTCTCCTTCACCCAGAGGCTTGCTGATCCCGTGGCGCCGTTACGCTTTTGAATCGGAACCACGTCACCGCACAGCAAGACGCCGCGCGAGAGATTGTTGCGATGGTGTCCGCTGGTGCGTGTAGCCGGTGGGTTTGGATCTCCGCTGTGAACCGTCTGGGCGCGTCTCGGTGATGCCGCCTGAGATGGCGGAGTTCTCGAGTTGGGCTTGCTGAGGAGCTGAGCAGTGATGCCTCCCCTGCCGCCCAGCAACGCGGATGCAGCAGATGCAGCGGGAGTGGCTTTATGGTTCCCATCGCCGTCCTCTTCCAGATCCGCATCGCTCAACTGTAAAAGTCTCCGCTCAAGCCACGCCCGCCTCTCTTCTTGCACAACCTCCAGAATACCCATTTTCCGGACTTCAGCCTTTGTCACACCAAAAACCAGACATGCGAGATCGTTGGCCGCTAGGATTGTCCACGGTGGTTTCGCCTCGGTCGTGAAGATTGCCTGGGCGGCTGGCACCCATCTGTTTGTGTGTCCGTGTACTGCAGGGCCCATCGCGGCCGAGAAGCTCTTGTGTTGTGCGGCGGCCGGCTGGGTTGTCGATACCGGAGAGCCCAGCGGCTCTTCATACAGGGGTTCACCGGGGAGGAACGGTTGGGACATTGTATCCAACAGTTTATCTTGCAAGGCCATGCCCATAGTGTCTGTCATGGTCCGCTTCAGGTTCGTCGGCCTAGAGGCACTGGGAAGTGACGGTTTGGCAGTAGCTCCACCATCGTCAACGTGAGATTTACTGCCTTCTGACTTTAAGTCGGCAGTTGAAGATCTTCGCAGTTCAGCAGTCCCGGCGGGCACCGCGGACGTCTCGTTACGTCGAGCAAGCTCTTCCTGTAAAAAGGTATGCGTGTCATCAGGCGCCGTCGTCGATTCTGATATGGACGCTCTCGGACTAAACTCTTTCTCAAATACATTTTCAGCAGGCAGGCCGGCCGGGCCAGTCAGTGGCGGAACAACAATGGACGAAGGGTCAGGGTTTGGTAGGTTTCCAGCGCCTATGACTTGCGCCCGCGCGAGAAGTTCCAGCATGTGCTGCGCGTCGACATCGCCCGTAACTCTTGCTTGGGCGCTGGCGAGGCCGGCTTGGGTCGAGGTCATGGAGAGGCCCATGCGGTCCTTCATGAACTCGAGGGATCGCTTCAGGACATTCTGGCGGTTGTGCAAAAAGTCCTCCGACTGATGCGCAAAAGAAAAGGAGTGCAAAGATTCGGACGGAAATCGCGACAAGTCCTCAGAAAAGCTGGGGGAGTTGGGAGCTCCCGCAAAAGGTGGAGTGCTGTAGGTGCTGAGCATTGCGGTCATGGAGGTAGAGCGGGTAAGCGCAACGACGGAAGGGCTGCGAGAGGATGCATTTGAGCTGGGCAGAGTTGGCGCTCGGGAGGGAGGATGCTGCTGTCGTATGCGGCGCAGGCCAGAGAGGCCCAAGCCGTGCTCGTGGTCGGCGATCGGAGATGGTCTGATTTGAGCCTGCGGTCAGCAAACAAAACGCGAGCTTCTACTGCTGGGCAGATACGTGGAGCGGCAAGACGCAGCCGCCGCCGCCAAGAGACGAACCTGGTGATGGGGTCATGGTCCGCGATGCCGGCCGACGAGGCTTCAAAGGACATTCGGTATCGACTGCGATCGGCCGGGTCAGCTGATAGATGCAGGTTGCCCGTGCTGCGGTTCTTGGGCAACGAAAGCGCCGGCATGGGCCGGTCATGCCCTCTGTCGTCATCCCTCGTGCTGCTGTCGGTGCCTGAAAGTCGAACGGGCATCAGTCACGCTGCTCTGGGCGGATTGGCTTCAAGAGTCCAAACATACGGTTGTCTTGGGGGCCGCCATGTGTCTGAAGCATACTTGTAGACCTCAGTTTGCGCGCCTCTTTTCGGTGGAGTGTTGTACAACGCGGGCTGGGCCTCGGGCAAATGGGCGAGAGGGGAGGAGGAGAGGGCGAGAGGGCGAGAGCGTGAGGAGGCGTCCGATCAAGCCTGCCCTCACCAGCGATTGCTTCTTCGTTTGGCTTCGGCCAGGCTTCAACCAGGGTGCAAGATTCGTCGACAGGCCGACTTGACGGCACAAACAGGCTCTGGAGCGGGAGCAGTGCTGCGTCTCGGAGCAGCGCGGATGCTGTGGGAAAAGCAGAGGATATGAATCGAGTGCCGCGGACTGGATATGCGAATTCGGGCCAGGCGCTCAGATCGGGCTCGGCAGTGCTGGAGGACGAGATTTGCTACCACGAGGGAGAGAATTGAGGTCGGTTTGGACGATTTGGCAAATCTGCGGTTGGGCGACCCGGACGGTGGTCAATTTGGCGCGAGGGGTTACGACTGCAAGTACAGCGGCGCGAGAGGGGTGAAAGGCGCTGGAGGAGCCACTGCTGCCCACAAATCACGACCTACGAAATCCTTGTACAGTTGAGTACTATATCTGCCAGAGTCTTCGGCATGCCAATGACAGGGACGCAAAGTTCTGGTTCGGTGCATGAAGAGCCGAAAATACGCCCTATCGTGGGTGATTCAGAGCACAGGCACTATATTCTGGGCTGAGGTCGAGGTGCTCTGCCTGGCTATAAGCTCCGCGAGTCGTTGACGTTCATTTGTCATTTCTTTCCTCCTTCTATGGTCTGGTATTACGCAGAATTTGATATTAGGCGCATCGGCGGCGTAACGGCACGTCCTGCTGGAGACGACTAATAGACCGCTAGCAACGAATAGCTCCTCGTCTGCGTGGCAGCACAAACACACGTGTTGCTCATGCTCTTTGTTTTTCTTCTCTTCAGTCTTTTCGTCTTCAATCTCTCTTCGAGTAATATCTACATAGATAGCGAGTACGAAGTGCGAGGCATTTCAGCATTGCCTTCCCTATCCCCGAGGACGCCATGCAAAGCTTCATGTTCATGGTGGATGGCGCCACTTGAACCTTGCGTCCCAACTCAGATGCGGGTTATTCTGCAAGGAGCAACGCCAGTCGATGAAGATCGACTCGATGGAAGAGCTATGTACAGGTTGGTATCTGATTGGCCAGGTGGGCACCATCCGATCTCTCTCCAGCTACCGAAAGTACGTGTTCCGTACATGTAGGTACTACTAGGAAGCATCTGATTACCTCGCTCGACATGTGAGATTGTATACATTCATCCGGACCTCATGTCTGCTAGTTCGCCAACTAAGTTCGCTACGACCAAGTAATAACTTGGAAATCAGCCACAATTTTCTGTTTACAGATAAAGCCTGTGTAGGCGGTGCCTTGCAATCAGGTTATCGTTCACTCATTCGTAGATGGCGGTGCAATCGACCGAGAACATGAGGGAGTGAGATTCTATCGTCGGGAAAAGTACTCCGGGCTCCAGCACACGACAGGGCCGTTATGATCAGCTGCTACACAAGATCTTAGCACGCCGGCTCCTGTTACATCTCAAGCTCCTGATCAATGTGCTAAACAATTCATCCAAGGGCAGATGGGAGAGATGGCCCGAGACATGCCCTATGGTCAGCCGACGCGCACATCTGCCGAAAGCTGGAGGCGGCTTTGCACACATGGCCTATTCCCCGACATGTTTATCTTGAACATTGTGACTATTGTGGTGATCTTGAATCTGGGGTTGAGCTACCCCATCATATGGCATCATATTCCGACCGTCTTGATGTCCTGTTGATGACACGCAGACCACACAGTGATTGAAGTTTTGCTTCCAAATCAAGTTGTACATACAGGCATGCTGCAAGTACTCTGGAATCAGCCCAAGAGAGCCCAACGTCTCGATACTGCTACACTGAAGATACGCATTGATCCCCGACATAGCATTTATCGCTCATACATGCCACTCCATTTGTGCCCAATGCGTCCCCTCAAGAATCTTCACGGCCGATGCCGTATCGCCCGACTTACACGCGGGAGCCGTTGCCGTATTTCTCCCCAATCAGTATCTTTTGGGGTTATGGTATCGGGTACCGGCGGTTATGCGATATTCAGAACATTGAAGGCAGCATGCATGTACAGAGCAGAGTAGAGACCTCTCTGATTTGACAGGCAAGGTCGGCACGACGTCAGCCAAGCGACTGGGTGAGCGGCATAGATCTTATACGGAATCTTCATGCTTGGCTTTGCTTAGGAACGGTCACAAGTGGCTGTGAAACACTACAGTATGTACATCCAGCATGAAGCATCTGCAGCATAGCACAGCATCCAGACTTACAGGAGGAGGATCAGTAATTCCTTACCTATCAACGCAGAGATGATAGCCCCTACACGTAGTCCCTTTCGCCATGAATGCTAGCGTGTGCTAACGCTGTCCGAGTCGTCTCACGACCAATACTCAGGCACCATCTGGGACCCCTTTTGCCACCCGGCTCAACTCCATGAGCGATATACGAGGATGGCTGGAATAACACGAGGCATCTCCGAATGCAACGCGATCGTCACATGGCTGGCCCGGCCTTGCGAGTGCCACAAGATGCGCTTGCATGTCGGCACTGGCCGCAACATGGCCGGAGCGCATGTACCTTCATGTTGTGTCCGACCATCGCACCAGCATGAAGACGCAAATGAGGTACTACTGTCAAATCTGTGCTATATGAAGAACCTGAATACATGTAATAGACCGTTGTAGATACCAGACCTTATCCGCCCGATCTTGCCTCAATCGTGCAATTCTACAACTACAGTCCAGTGCAGGGGCTTCGTGCAGGCTAGGTGTGTTCCATAGCGCTCAACAGCGCTGCTGCACAGGGGGCCACAGGGGCCGGTAGCGCTGCAAATGCAGTGGGGTTGCGCTGCCGCAGGCAAGCAGGCAGGGTCTCCATGCAGCGCTAACAGCCCTTGAGCCGCTTGGAGCTAGCGCTGGCGTGGCCCGTATCTTATCGATATACCCCAGCTTGACGTTTGTTGGGCGCTAGACCGCGAACATTCAGTTGCTCAATCAATCAATGGCAGTGAACCTCGACCTTACCGAGAGACGTCCGCGAGTAATGCGCCGGCATTCTGTCACTTTCACTCGTCAGTCAAGCCATGACGGATTCCGGAACCAGCGCCCACGCCATCCCTCCCAAGCCACAGCCTGTGCCTCTGCCTCTGCCTGTGCCTCTGCAGCACTCTGGCGGTGCATTTCATTTATTTATGCTCGCGACCGAGGTGGGGGGACGCCGACCGGAGACCAGCCCTCGCCTGGGCTTGACCTGAGCCGTCTCTTCCCTGACGGGCGACGATGCGTCCAACACGCCACCGACCACATTAGGGGTTTCCGGAGGCTTTATCTTCTTCTTCTCTTCTTCTCCCCATCCTTTCCCTCCTTTTGCTCTCTTATCTCCTATCCTCGTTCCTGTGATCAAGAGCCCGCCGCTGCTCGGGTGGGCATGGGATGCCGATTTGCTGCTTGCTCTCTGGACTGTGAGCCCAGTGCGGTCACGCTGACCACCCCCGCGGCCGCTTTGGTCTGTGGTAGCCCGGCTGACCTCTGTTGCAACCTCCCGCGTGCCTCAACGACGGCATCGAGCAGACTTCTTGTGTGATAGCTGCTGCTTCGAGTCCACGAGCCCATTCTTCGCCTTCAGCCACCGAGTCAATTCATTGAACAAGCTCGATAGCCATCATATACGTCTTATCTTCAAAGGCCTGCTGGTAGAGGGATGCTTTGACAGGAGCCTCGACGGCCTTTTAAGCTCTCCTCCCAGGCGGACACAGGTCCCCCGCATCGCTGCCCTTCCTTCATCGCCAAACTCTAACAGCTTCAATACGAACATAGATCCGCCGAAAATCGACGGTTCTGTTTTCTCTTCCGGATATTACGGCTCGGACTTGTGTGTTAGGACGACGCCTTGGGTGGAGGACATACGCAAAAAAAAGGGGGAACAACCTATACTCTTCGTCCAAAGAAACCACGAGAAGCACTCGAATCTTGTCTAGTCAACCATGGCGGAAGTACTGGGCGTCGTGGCAGACGCTCCCGTGTCCGCTGATGAGGGCGGCACTGCTCCGCCTACACCACCTGACGTGCCCCTGAAGGGTAAGAACCGCCAGCGAATTCTCCGCGGCATCCAGCGCATCTCTTCATCGCCCTCCCTCACCGGACTGGGGCGATCCAGATCCGTCAGCAATCCCTACAGTCTCCGCTATGGTTCCATGTCCTGCGTCAGTCTGTCCACGGCTGGACCCTCACAAGGATCTCCGAGCGGCAGGTCTGCTACGCCCCAGCCATCTCCCCTGGCTATGACGAACGGTTCATACTTCGACTCTCAAGCTGGCAAAGGAGTGTTAGTGTTTGAAGAGGAAGAGGACGACGGTACCGACAAGTTGCCAGCCGTTCGAAAAGTCGCCCTTGGGCCTGCCAACAGCGCACCCGCCGTTTCATCCCTGCCGTCCGAGCTGAAAGGACGGGCCAAGGCTTCGGAAAAGAAGAACTTCTACTTTTGGGACGGCATCCCTCACGAGGTGCGGGTCCATATCTTTGCTTACTTGCGGCCCAAGGAGCTGGTGCGGATATCCAGAGTCAGCAAATCCTTCTACAGCTTCTGTTTTGACGGGCAGCTGTGGACATCAATCGATGCCTCCGAGTTTTACCAGGAAATCCCGGCTGCGTCACTGGCGCGCATCATCGCCGCTGCTGGCCCCTTTGTCAAGGACTTGAATCTGAGAGGATGCATTCAGGTGGAGCATTACAAGCGCACCGAAGTCATCGTAAAGTCGTGCAGAAATCTGATGAATGCGACCCTCGAGGGGTGTCGAAATTTTCAAAAGCACACGCTTCACAATCTCCTCAGAAGCAACGAGAAGCTGGTGAACCTGAACCTGACGGGACTCGCGGCGGTGACGAACACATCTTGCAAGATTATTGCAGAATCGTGCCCTCAGCTTGAGAGCTTCAATGTCTCATGGTGCCAGAAGGTCGAGGCTCGCGGGATCAAGACCATCATCGACGCTTGCACAAAGCTGAAGGACCTCCGTGCTGGCGAGGTGAAGGGGTTTGATTGCCTTGCTACTGCAGAATCAATCTTCAACACCAATCGGCTCGAGAGGCTTGTACTCAGCGGTTGTGTCGAGCTCAATGACGAGGCATTGAAGATCATGATGCAGGGGGTTGATCCCGAGATAGATATCCTCACAGGTCATCCCGTGGTTCCGCCTCGCCGGCTTCGGCACCTCGACCTGAGCCGCTGCATCAGACTGACCAGTGCAGGTGTGAAGGCGGTTGGCCATGTGGTCCCGGATCTGGAAGGACTGCAGCTCTCGGGATGCAAGTCATTGACCGACGCAGCGCTTGAGCCAATTCTTGCCTCAACACCGAGGCTAGCCCTCCTCGAATTGGAAGACCTCGACGAGATCACCAACTCGCTGCTGTCTGAGCATCTCGCCAAGGCGCCATGTGCCGGCAACTTGGAGCACCTCTCATTGAGCTATTGCGAGAACATTGGAGACCTGGGGATGCTCCCTGTCATGCAGAAGTGCATACGGCTGAAGAGTGCCGAGCTAGACAATACCAAAATCAGCGACCTGGTCCTTGCAGAAGCTGCCTCGATGGTCATCAAGCGTTCCAAACCGGCTTCCGCGAGCGAGGTGCGTCCCAAAGTAACGCTACGGCTAGCAGTATACGACTGCCAAAACGTCACATGGACAGGCATCCGAGAAGTCTTGTTTAGGAATGCTCAGATCAGACCAGCCGCAAATCAGCCCGGCGGCATTACTTACCCGACCGAGAACATCGGCTTGAAATGCTTCTACGGCTTCCAGATGACTGTCGACGAGCATCAGAAGAGAGTTCTCCGGGGCGACTTCGCGGCCGCTGGTCGGCTGGAGAGAAAGTGGGCAGACTACATGCAGGCAAACGAGGAAGCTGGCGTTGGAGGAGTCGGCTACCGAAGGCGCCGGCGCCGAGCAAGGCATGCACAAGCTCTCCATGCGGACGAGGAGGATGGCGGCGGGATTGTCGGCCGCCGCAGGGCGAGGACACTTGGATCCTGCTCTGTGATGTGATGTCCCAGCGATGCTTATCACGAGAACATGCCATCATCTCATGGATGGGCCTATGGTTTTGGACATTCTATCCATCTGCTCGCTGGGAGACAGGATCGTTTATCGATCTTGTCTATTCTATCTCCTTACTTCCTTTCCTTTCTTTTCCATTATTGGTTTCTTTGTTTGGGTTGCTTTACTTGCATTTTCAGAAAGCCACACGGCACTGGTGTTGATGCTTCCGGGGGTAGAACAATACAGGAGATTACGGAGCGGGCGATGGGCATTCATTTTGGGCTATCCCTTTTCTTGGCATCTTACACCTCTTATCACTTTCCGTCTGGGCAGAACACCCAACTTGCCGGCAGCGGGTAGACATTGGGCATGACATGATGTTCGCTGGCCTTGGGCAGGTCCCCCCCTTACTTCGGGCCTATGACCATGGAACAGGTTTTGCTCGGGACACATTATCTCTTGTTCTTTCAAGCACAGGGCGCGATCTAGAACTTGCCAGCAAACCGTCTACGACTGTCCTGCAAGCTCCGTTTTTTTTTATAGTCTGATGCAGATAGATTGATTCTCTCATGTAAGAAATCATGGTCATTTGATGCCTTTTTTTGCCATGTGTCAGTCCGTCTCTGGATGTGTATGTGCGGGACTGGCGGTCAGCTGCGACTTACACAGAGAGACAGTTAGGACAACGGATACGGTACCTATTACTGTGCTCTTATGTCTTCTCCATGTGCGAAGACTTGATGCAGGGGAGAGGAAACTTCGTATTTGCGAAGGCTGGAATATGCAAGGACGGGCAGCTTTTGGTGTGGCGGATTGGGGTTCAGGCATGAGGAGGAGATGCTGCGTCTCTAGGTGAAGGAAGATATGGTCCGTTAGGTACCGATTTGATGTCTCAATGGGCACAAAAGCCAACGTCTTCTCGAAGACGCATGAGTTGTTTCTATTCTAAGTATCTGGAAGCCATCAGTGCTCTGCTAGCACACTCCTCAGCACACTCCTCCCCCTCCCCCCTTTCCGGCAGAGTATAGCGTGGGTGAGAGACTCTATGCAGAACTTACCACGTAGCATGAATTCGCTACCAAAGTGCACTTGGAACCTAGTTCCTCTCCTCGGCCGTCTTTAGCGGGAGACCCTTGGATCTAGATTCCACGTGGTTGTAAGGAGGGCCCGAGTCTTTCTCCAGGCTGTGCCACTACTACAGATAACTCTATTCAACGCCGCTTTTGCCTTAGTCTCCGAGGCCTTTCTATTATCATCTTGGTCTCGAGACTTGCTCTTCATTCTCTCGGGTACTTTTGCCATCAAAAGTGCAAATCCGCCATGTTGAAGTCGATGGGAGACAACAACTTACATGCATCCGCAGGGACGAGAAGCGGCTAAAAGGTTAAAACAGGGGCCGGCCGCACTGCGGACTACCTTGGATCTTTTGACGGCGGCGACGACACGGTTTTAGCTGTGTGGAGAATTCTAGGTATAATGGAACGAATGTTGTTGGTCGAATAATAGCAGTATTGCCATTGAGAAAAGATGAGCGAGCGGTTGATGTGGGTGAGAGTCGAGTTCGGCGTCTCTACGTTGGGAGGAGACGAGAAGACAGGAGAGGGAGGGTTTGCTCCTTTGCCCAAAGTACGAAGTAAGTAAGCAACTGGCGATCGACCGGGCTGGAACCATGTATGAAGCATGTACGAAGCATGTATGAAGCATGTATGCACCTCGCTTAGGTGCCATCTTGCTGTGCTGTCCTTTGCCCTGGAACATGGGACGCGATGATAATGTAGTGGCAATGAGATGGCACCGGGTAGTGTGCGCGAGTGTGCGTGTAAATGTGTGTGTAGATGCAATGCAGCATCGAGCGAATTGCATGGATGGACGAAGTAGGAGGTGCAGAGGCGATTTGAGCTCTTCACCGGCGTGGAGACGCTCTCCTCTCCCCAGTCTTGGGATCATGTACGGAGCACCTACTCCGTGTATATATGCATTCGTATGTACCTGCTGCAGTAAACACACTCGCGCCGTTACATTCGGGTCCTGCTCGCAAGGACTTACAGATGCAGCATGGATGAGAGCCCCTGTCTCTCGCCTCGCATGCTTTGGTCCAGTGGCCAGAAGAAGGTTCATCGAGGTCGAGATACCTGAGGAGGCTAACACGTGTGTGCGACGACAATGCAATGCAGACGCAGATGCAGACGAGACGCAGATGCAGATGCAGATGCAGATTTCTGGCTGCCTTGGTTCGTATGTCTGTCCGTCAGTGCGCATCCTTACCATATGTGTCTGTATATGCGTATATATGTATGCACCTGTATGTGTGAGTGAGTGTGGCAAGCCGTGCTGCTGCCTTCCAACTTCTGATTTGCCGTGAAGATTTTCTATCGCCTCGGCAGGACAGGGAAGGGTACCAGGTAACTTCTATCGCAGTATGAGTAGGAGCTCGCATTGCATGCCCTTGTTGTTGCGCATGAGTGGCTGCAGAATCCCTGCGACCGGTGAAGCAAGCGAGCGCAAGGTGTCATTGTTTGCTTTTGTTCTTCCTTGGCCATGACTTGTCCTGGATTCGAGCATGCAGCCGACTATTCGCCGCCATTGATTCCTGATATCTGACCGGCTCAACGAGTACGGACGCTCCGTGACTGTGTCTTGGATGCCATTGACGATGTCAGCGCTTGAGGCGGATGTTAGTCTAGTACCTGGTAGTGTTGAAGTAGTACTAACAGACACTCACTGAGCACATTCAAGACCCTCGGCACAGGCCACAAAAGTACAGCAGATTGGGGGTTCGGTTGTGAGTCGAACCGCCTCTAAAAACGCCACATATCTTCAGTTTGTGAGTTGTTGAAGAAAGCCAACGACTCTCCGTTTTGCCTTGCTGATCAATGGATGGAATGTCACTGCTGGCGCTCGGCTAAGTCTACCAGAAACGGCAATGCCAAGGGTACCCAGCTCGCAGCTGAAGATTTGCTGTTAGCGTTAGGTACCGACCAAGATGCGAGTACAGTGCTCGTACTTTGGAAGTACATGGACTTCACATTGTTCGTCCAGACGGAGACGGGCTGTGCTGCTATTTGATGGGATATCCAACTGTGCTTCCGCGGAGGATTAGAAGTGAACCCCTTTGTAGGCCGTGGTGCAATAGTTCTCAGTCTAATTCAGGCGTGGCCTTGATGATAGAGTTACACGACACGCTTCTGTCTGCTTGTAGAGACCTGCTTTTGGAGTGGTACAGCTTCATGCGCCTCTGCTTTTGATAGCGCCGACAGGCTGAACAGTTGAACAGTCACGTAGACATTTGAGGTACCTGAGAGTACGCGCAACTGTGTGAAATACTGGCAGGTGTCCCTGCAATGATTGTCCTGCTCTCTTTCCTCACCAACGTCGATACCAAGTTACTTTGGAAGGTACTACTACCCTGAATCCACCGCTGGCATTCCGATCTCTGCTCCGTAAAACAGCGCAAGTTTGGCACCCGTCAAACCGCCGAAACAGGCACAAACCCCTCTCTCTGATTCGACATCTTGGTCATCAAACTCCTTCATCAACAGCCTCATGCTAGCACCGGAAGTCCACGAATAAGCATTGAAGCTAGTATCTTGAAAGAAGAAAGGCCTGCCATTGAGAATCTTGTCCCACCAGCCGCAAAACACAGGGGTGTGTCTTCCTGGTTGGTGCCCCCACGGATCTCAGTCTGGCTAATAAGAGAAAGAGAGCAAAAAGCCCCGAGGCTCGGCAAGGGAATAGGCGTGTCGGAGTCAGCGTCGTACTGCAAAGTGCAGACTGCGCTTTGTCCATTTGAGCGGCTCTTGTGGTCAAACTACGACTTCTTTCATGGCCTGAGCAACCCCGGATCCGAGATTAGATTCCGCCTCAAGGTGCATCATCTCGCATACAAAGTACGGATACTCAGACGGCCAGGCGCCAGCACGGATAGCTTCTCGGCTCGTTGTCACTCCTCTCTCACCTCCATTCGGCTACTCCGTACCCAGGGGATAAAAAGCAAAATACCTAGAGCAAAGAACATGCCTCTCGAGACAATCTACGTCGTTCGCCATGGGGTAAAGTGTTGCCCTCGATGCCCTTGAAATTCGATGCCCTCACACCCCCCTCCTTTCACACTGCAGACAATGGCGTCACGAGGCTGAGTGCTTCCTGTATTGACCATTGCTATTGTCAACGCCAGTTCCGGTCTAGTTGGTCCGTCGACCACACCACAGGAGTGTACTCAGCTTCGATCCCATCACCAACAGGAATCCCTGTGGACCCGGCCCTCACCGCCCACGGCGTCGAGCAGTCGTGGGAGCTCGGCCAGCACCTCATGACAGTCGACCCCCCCGTAGAGGCCGTGTACTCGAGCCCCTACTACCGGTGTCTGCAGACCATCACGCCCTTTGTTGAACTTCAGCAGAAACGGTACTCCAAGGGACGCAATGGCAGCAGCGACGGCAGCAGTCCTGCATGTACCGTGATCCGGCCCGAGTATGGGCTCTGCGAGTGGTTTGGCTCTGCGCCGTTTGAGCATCCCGGCCCAGCCTCACCGTCGGTGCTGAAATCCTTGTTCCCTGCCTTTGACGAGAGCTACGTGTCGGCTCAGCATCCTCCCAGCAGGGGCGAGACGCTGGCTCAGCTGCAAGCCAGGCTTACGGCCACGATGCAGAGTATCATTGATCGCTGCGACGCTGAAGATAGGCGAGCCGTCGTACTGTGCACTCACGCCGCCGTCGTCATCATGTTGGGCCGTATCCTGACGGGAGTCTTCCCTGAAACGGTGGACGCGGATGATTTTCGTGCCTTTACCTGCGGGCTGAGTGTCTATCGCCGGAGACTTATCAGTCGAGATGAACAAGGATCGCAAGGAGAGGGAGATTTGCCTGAGAAGAAGCCCAACCCCCGTACTGTCGTTGGAGCTTGGTCATGTGAAGCCAACAGCGACTGCAGTTTCCTAACCTGTGGCGAAGAACGAGGCTGGTACGTACGGCGGAAACAACAGAATAAGAAGACAAACAATGCAACGATCCGTGAGCTATGCTGATATGCTGGTTGTAGGAAATTCTCGGGAGACGAAGAGTTCCCAGACACGGGGTCCATGGGCCAAGACGCATCAGAGTCCAAGCTGTAGCAAGCTGGCGGGCTGGTCATGCGTCATGCCCCCATCAAAGCTTGGGATCGCCAGCAATCTACGCAGTCGATGATGCGATTACAACTGCGTGCCAGGAACGAAGTACGGAGTACAAAGGACAGGGTCTGAGGAAACGTTGAGGGCCGTCCATTCACCGACATCCAGGCCCTGCCGGGGTTGTCACGTTCTGCTTGCGCTCACGGGCTTTCGTGATGCATGCTATCGGCAGAGTATTATTAGATTTCGTCACGAGAATCGCACCGCGTGGCAAATTGCTGCTAGATAAGAAACGACATGATCACCAAAACGGCCGTGCTTGGTGCAACCCGCGAGTCTCCCCTTATTAATTGCCTCGTTGGGCCAGAACTTACCAGTTGGGCTGATCCGTTTGAGGCCGTCAGAGCGGACAACTCGCTGAAGGCAAGCAGTGTGCCGTTTCTTTCATCCATGCACATGCAGTCCTCTACACCGCGTCAGGAGACCCCTCCCTAGGAATTTGAAGCTTCGGATCGTAGCCCTACCGAGTCGGATAGATGTTCCTCCCCAGACCCTCTCCTGGCCCTTGCACTGTCGTGTGAGCGGCTCATTTGTCACTCCTCTCCTACCATTTGTACGGGTATCTGGCAGCCAAGGCACGATCTGATGCTGCGCTGGCACTCGGGAACCGGACGAATGGTCCCGTCGAGGACTGGAGACAGTAAGTCTCAAGGCACAGGCCGTGTTGCAATTTTCCAAACCCCCCTGGCAAGTTGATGGGCCATGTCTCATATGCCAAACAGGGACCTTCATCTATTACTCGCCAACTGGTATCCAGCTCAATTTACGAAGGAGTACACCGTACTCCGTAGTCGGTGGCCAAATGCCCTCCCCACTGGCGGCTTGACGTAGGGAGAGAGGCAGTGACAACGCCACGAAATGATATCCGACGACGCTTGTGTACGAGGTACGGGGTATCGGTGAGATTGGTATCTCTTTGGGGGAGAAGGGGAGTCCCAGCGTCTGGAGAAACAAGGAGACACCCTTGTGACTGATCTCCCGCTTTCTTTGCTTTTTCGCACAGACTACCGAGTAAATTGGGTCCAACGTCCAGCTCAGCTTGAAGAAAAAGGAAGATATCCTTTCTCAAAGGGACTATATAGCCCCATCAATACTCCTGACGGCAATATGTAGTAGATTGCGATGTGTGGAGCAGGGAAATGTGCTCGGGACGGGCATGTAAGCGCCGTAAAGACAAGTATCCGCGGAGCTCTGGATGGATGGATGAATGAATATTTTGATCCGCACTCAGTTCTATCCCCTGCCTATTTCTTTTTCTTTTTGATACGAATAGTTTCACTGTCATATTGAATAGTTTCACGGCATGGACGGCTCGAGGGAAAACGTGGCGTCCTCGGTTGCCGATCCCCCGTAATGGCGTCTCTATGACTGTTACTTTTCAAATTTGGGGGAATAGGAGTTATGAAGTAAGGCAGGACAGGACAGGACGTAATACGGCGAAGAGAGGGTTCACTTCTGATATATGTTCAGTTGTGCTGTATGTCCATTTGTGATGTATGTTTACCTATGATTTGCATCACCTGTACGTCTCAGGTATAATCTGTTGAGCAGCGAAGGCTTTATTATTGGAAGAGCAGACAATTTCCTTTGGAAATACATGCTCTTATCTGCATACAGATATCTACAGAGATTGAGATACAGATTAGCTATATTTGCCAAGACGGGAGCAGAAACGCCAGCATAATAGTCTTTGTCTTCGTGAGCTTATCCTCAGGGCAAACGCCTCGACGGTGAGTGACACGGGACACTTGGTGACGAACTGCTCTTCACAACTCGTGCTTCCGCCAAGGGCGACTACGAAGCTGAGCTCTTCTAGCGGTAACCGGGATAAACACCCGGGTCACTGGAGGAGAAACCTGGATACTTGTCAAGCTGAACTGAATGAAAATTGCAAGAAGAAAGTGATAATTGACAGAAATCATTGCTCCTTGCGTCCTGCTATGAAGACCGGCTGCTGCACTATACGTAAAGATTGGCGTCGAATATTGTCGAAATCTGTAAACCTCCAAGGGTCTATACTACAGACCTACAGGGTACTTTTCCGCTACGTACTATCTTCCCAACCTCCCTGAAGGACTAAGCGGCAAAAAGGAACCTTTGAGAAAATCGTGGCTGAGATCTGTCTCTGTCCGTCAGTCGACGGCGGGCTAGTAGCATGTGTGTGTTTTTTCTTTTCTTTTTTTCGGTGTCTCTTGGGTCAGGACTATTTGGGTCAAGACTATTGCTTTCTCTGCCGTGTCTCCCAACGCAACCTGTCATTTTGCGGGTAGTCTCTTCTTCCTACCATTGATTGACTATCCATCTTTCTTTCGGATTCACTATCTTGTTGGAGCGTAACCAGGGAGGATGAGCGCCACGCCGCTCTCCCAGCGACTATCGTCGACGGCGGAGAGGGGGGCTGCAGCTCCGCCCTTTGAAGGTATAGGGAGGATAGACCTTGCCATACAAACATACGGTGTAAGTGTATGCTTAGCTGGGAGCCTGGGGAGATGGGTAGATGGCATGTGCCTCCCAATTGCAATACGACTGTCGTAGGGCATCAGAGAAACGGCATCGTGTAGCACCAAAAGCCATGTACCAAGTAGCTTCTGCCATGCACCCTTCCAAGTTGGAGTTCTTTTGTGCCACGACGGCAAGGTGCTCACACCTTCACTGCCTCAGTAGTAGTATGCTCTGCAGATAATGCTGCAACTATGTGATGGCCCCGGCCAATTTGCAGCGCTTGGAGTTGACGTGGAATCGATACCTGACCTGGTGTCGTAAGAAGTCCTCCAGGTTAGGCAGTAAATATACCAACTGAAGTACAATCTCTGGTACTATAGTAGTTATCTCGCTTGGTGTTGACGATTCCTCTTCCGAACGCCGTAGACGTACAAGCAGCCGGTGCAAATCTGTCGTATGTACTCGTATGCACGAGACCTGCAATTCCGGGAAAGAGAAAACAAAAAGCGACAACAAGGACAAGGCCTGCAGTCTGGTCTAGTCCGGTCTCAGGGCGCAAATCCTGCTGCTGCTGGTGCTTCTGTATCGGGCCTACGAGCAGCAGCAGCAGCAGTTCGACGTATTGTATGAATCGCTGCGGGCTGCCATTGGACGCTCCCATGTAAATGTACATGACTTGTACCCGTCGAGATGCATCAGAATGTTGCAGGGCAGCAGCACCAGCATCAACTGTAGGAGGTATTAGTGAGTATGGAAGTATGTATGGTCCACGACAGCACATGCTTGTAGGTGTACACACACACTCACATCACCCTTTTGGGAGCCTTACATGCAGGCATCGTATGCAAGTGCGTCCATGGTTGGAGACGTGTGTGTGTGCAGATGCCAATAACGAGCCACTCCATATTTCCCGGCTCAGAAAACCTGGTCCCCCCAATTGCCTGCAAGCCGGCAGAAGCGGAGCCCTCTCTTCTGTTCATGCGGCACCACATCCCGATAGGCTGCAGAGGGGCGATTGCATGCACCTGGAGCTTCACCGGTCCCAAGCCATCAACGCAGGTTGCTGAGACATGGCGGCAATCCGGAAGCGAAACCGGTTGCCGAAGATCGACTGCTGCTGAGACTAGTAATGCTGCTTGAAGGTGACGCTCCCTTTCGCCCTCCTCTCCCTCTCTTTTTCTTCTTTTCTTCCTCCCTTTCACCCGCCCCCTGCTCTGGCGGAGGAACAGGTATGTATGTAGGATCTGGTTGACACCGCCTGGAGAGCTGGAAGGGAGATCAGCAATGGTTTATGCACGTTGTTCGTATCGACCGGGTTCTGACTTGGAGTCGCTGACAGGGTCTTGGGTTCAGGGCTGTCTTGCCTTGGGCCGGGGGATAAGAGGAGCTGAAAGCTTATCGACAGCGGATCAAATCCATGGAGTTGATCTTACTCAGTCGGCCTGTTTACCGGGTCTGGGGTTTACAAATGAAATGCTGGTACCTTGAGGTATGTACAGTACGTATCATCATCATCATCATCCCGCCCACCAGGTGTTGCTTCTGCGTGTAAACTCTCCTCCAATCGGACTCGTATACCGAATTGAAGGTACATAATGTTTGCTTCGTGATATCTGATAACATATCAGCCTCTTTGAGAGATCATCACTGCAAACCACCCTCAATTGCAGTGGTAGGCCAGAGGTACATGGCGAGGTATCCCAGATCGCTGGCATTCCGCACCCTTGATTGTTCCTTCCCCGGCTGCTGCAGCTGTCCACTGACCGGTCAAATGCAAGAGCAGGGGAGCATCGGCCAATCAGACGCCGGCGATGGCTTACTCGATGCCCGCTCCCTCATCCGGTCTAGCGCCGACCGGGGCCTGATTGGCTCACGTCTCTTCATCTGTCTTCCTCCTCTTTCACTCCCTTGCGCCCAAAGATTCATCTCCTCACACAACCTCCTCTCGACAGGCAGGAAAAAGCAACGATCGCGAGGAGAAACGCCCTCTCTTCGAATCGTGCGGAGCTGACGCACCCGCGCCACAGTCATTTTCTTCTGTAACATTTTGCTCGTTTCTTTTTTCGGCCTCCCCTCCCTCGCCCGTCGTTTCTTTTTGCTCCTCTAGTGCCAAGCACCATCCCCTTGATGGCCTGTGTGAGCAGACGTTGTCTGACAATGCCACCACTTTCCAGTTGTTGTCCACAGCAGCTGGCACTAATGCTGCTCAAACCGCCATTGCAACGTCTCGGCCCAACGCTGCCGGTGATGATGATTATGATGCTGTTGACAATGAGAAACGGATACTAACGCTGTTGAATGTTAGTACTACTGCCTAGTATCAGGATGGCCAGAGAGAGCCGCATGTCTTGTATGGTCTCGTATGGGAGGGGCGGCGCCGGGGGAGCTGGGACCGGGCGTGGGCCACGGCCAAAGACCAAGGGCCGCCACCAATTCCTTCTTCACTGACCCTCTTCGCCGACAAGTGCTTCGCGGAGAGGCGCAAAGTTCACCCGGCACTGCACGCCGGGCTCAGCCGCGAGGCAAGGAGGTCCGTTCTTCACTGCTTTGGACCTGGCCTCTGGCCTCTCCGCAGCTGCCGTCTCCCTCTGGCGCCCTGCCCTGCATCTTGCTTCATTGCTCCCAGACACACAGGAACCCGGCGTCGCATCTGCCTGCAGGAAGAAACAAAAAAAGAACCGGTTCCGCTAATCTGAGTCTTGGGAGTGGCACATTTGCGTCCAGCTGCTGGCAGTTCACCACTGACTTGGCCGTGGCATACCCCCCCTGATTGCGGCAGCAGGTCACTTCTCAGATCTTGCTCGGCCTTCCCTCTACCGGCCCCGGATTAGCCACGTCGAACCTGGACCTGCTCCCCTGGCCCTCCTGCTCTCCGTCGTCCAAATCTTTTATGCAAAGCCGCCTGGCATCGACGCCCAAGTTCTACCAGCTGCCACGCCTCACCTGCTTGCCAGATGCTGGCCAGCTGTTGCCCAATTAGATATGTGAATCCTGAGGTCTCGAATGTTGCTTATTCTCTGCGTGAGCTGGTCGCCACCGTCTAGACTGGTCTTTGAGCTGCAAACTTATGCAGCCGGCCTGTATCATCACGGAATCCAGCTCGGTAGGGGCTGTCGTGTTGTTGTGTCTCTGGACAGAGGCCGTCTCCATCGCATTTCCGACCTCTCGGGTTTGCTTCTTTGGGGACTACTTGCTTTGCGCAAGCATGTAAGCCGTGAGCAGAGCTCGTCGTCTGACACTGTGTGTGTATGTGAACGTGCCCAAAGCCATGTTGTTGGTCCACGCAGCAGATTGCTGTCAATCTGGGTGCAAATTCCCCCGGCTTGGTGGCAACCCGGCATCTGAATGCAGCCTCCCTGGACGAGATGATAGCCGTACCTGCGATACGACCTCACTTGTGCGGCCACCGAAGAAATACGTCCGATGAAGCATGGGGTGCGAGTGCTAAAAGAGGTATTGAGGCGGTCCTGCTACTGCATATTTTTCGTGCGGGTGGCGCCTCGTGGCGAGGGTCCGTCTCGCATCATCTGCTTGCTACCTTTTGATGGCTGCTAGCATGCACACAACGACCAACACAGCTGTGGATATGCTCAACATCATGGTGGTGCTATTGGGAGATCTCTTCAATGCCACCTGGTCCCTCTCTGGTCCCTAACAATCTCCACAATCCGTCTATGCGTCCTGCCGGATTCTTCGCCGTTGGGAAGACAAAACCAAGGGAAACACGCCATCTCGATACCAACACGAGTGGCTTACATACCTTAGCTGAGGAGACAACTGGCGTATGGTCCTTTTGTCTTTGGGAGCATGGATATTCGTTCATAACCGGACGATTAGTTTGGCCACCAGCGGGAATCTTGCGTACTCGTACGGCCGTCTCATTCTCGGTCTCTCATCTCTTTACCTATTGTCATCACCCTTGGTTCACCACCCCAGCTCAGCCCTTCGGCACTAGCCTTGCCTTAGAGGCGCATTGGTTCATGTTGCCACGCCACATCTGTCTTAGGAAGTGAATACTCCCCGAATCTCTCTCTTGGCCTTGCAAGACGGGCTTCACCCTGCAGAGCATGAGCGGATACAAAGCCGCCTCTGATGGGGCCCCCCGACGTGGTGCCAATTTTGGCACCCCTGCCCTCTCAAACCGCCGCAGGTTTGGATGTGCCGTCCTTTTTATCGATTCTGCGGTGATCCACTGGAACAGGGCCACACCTTGTGTGTTGGACGTTGTCTCGTGTGCAGGGTTGAGGACAGGGCGGACAACGAAGAGACCCCTCCCCTCCAAGAAGAGAGGAGTGGGAGTCGCTTGTACCGCCCTCTCTGGAGCCCATCACGGCCGATCCAGCCATTGGTCATGGCGGTAGCAAAGCGCCTTGGTGGAAGGCCGTGGCACAGGCCTGATCCCCCAGGGTCTGAACACACTCCAAGGCAAAGCGCAGCAAGTACAAGAAGACCGTGCTCCTCGTGTTGACCCTCACTCAGTGTTATCCTCAAACCTATCCACTCTTTCCCTTCTCACGCAAGTCTTGTCCGCCTACCCTTTTGTTACAGTCTATATCCCTCGTTACCGCGGACATCTACCTGCTGGAACTCTCCCTCTCATCCAACCCGGGCCTTTGTGTCTTAACTGCAGCCTCTGTCGATTTGCCCATTGTCTTCAGAGACAGCCCTCCGGTACCCAGGAACTCGCCCATTGTTTTCGCTGCTGTCTTATACGCCTTACTCGAGGGTTACTCTGAAAGATGTTCCCTGTGCAAGAGGTTCACGACCGTCGTGGTTCTTCTCCGGCCACAGCCAACATGCTGGGCATCGCAAGCATGACGAACAGAGAGGGATTCTTTCCTAGAAAGCTGTCCACCGACTACCTATCTTCTGTTCCAAGATCTCTTCTCCACCCACAAACCCCTCCAGACTCAACCTCTGCGAGTCCCATCGTCAAGCCGGAGGGTATGTGCTGCGCCTTGGTCATCGGACTCGACTATCACGGTCCAACCCGCAAGAGTACTCGACATGAGACAGCTAACGTATTCCATTAGGATCCTTCTCAGCTGCGTCAAGTAACGTCTCCCGGGAGTGCTCCCCGATGCCTCGTTTGACTCGCCTAAACTCATACGCCAACCCGCCTCCCATCAAGCTGCCGAGCCTTAGGGAGTTCGATCAAGGTGTGGACGCCATCGCACGATCGTATGGATCAACACGGTCTTGGACCCCTCCCTCGCCTCTCTCCAGCCTCCCTCCTCCCTCTCCACTATCCAGCCTTCGTCGTGGCTCCTTACTTCCCCAACCGCTGCCGTCGATGCTGGCTTTCTCGATTCATGAGCCCACGTACCCAAACTACGCCATTAGCAGCGACTTCTGCCCTTCAAGGCTGGACGGCTACCCTAGCCCGCCTCCCGACAGCGAAGGGCGGCACATCAACCAGAAGTACACCCAAGAAGAGGGCGACTTCATCATCTATGCCTGGCACGACAGGAAGCTGAAGTGGCAACGAATCAAGCAGGAATTTGCAGAGAGGTTTGGCCGCACACCAGAAAGGACTGTTCAAGGCCTCCAAGCCTGGTACTACCGTATGAATCAGCGCATTCCGGTCTGGGACAGAGATGGCAATCTCATCTTTGATAACGATGATGACTTGGAGCCGAGACACGTCAGCATCAAGTGCCGTGAGAGAGACAGCCAAGACCGGCCGATGGAGCCTATGGGGCTTGCCCAGCGTTACCCCGACCGAGCTGTCTTTTATGACTGGGTAGACGACGAAACAAAGATGAAGTGTATGGACTGGGGTGAGTCTGATTCTTATCAAAGCCCTCATAGATCTGCAAAGGATGCTAACCGACTTCTCAACTGTAGCCAAGAAACGCCTCCATCAGCTCAGGGAACGCAGGGAGCGGCGAAGGAGAAAGGAGCAGAGGCGTCTCAAGATGTGAGCGACTTGCCTTTTCAGACTCATACACTTAGAAGACGGGAGAAAGGGAGGCGTCACTTTCGAGAGGGACAGAGCGCTGTCCATGCTTTTTCTCTCTCGTTGAGAGCAAAAAGTATGGTCGTGTACTACTACTAATCGATCTCCCCAGCGGAGACGGCCACCATTCACTACATCCCTTCTTCTCCTTGCGTCAGCCGGCAGCAGTTTTCTTTTACGACATCATAAACGGCTTTTTGATAATTTTTCTTCTTTTATTTTTCTCTATGTTCAGGTCGAAGTCTTCGTGCTTCAATGAGGGCACGGGTTTCAAGCATCAAGCATCGGAGGAAAGCGTTCTTTTGCATCTTGAGGTTTGCTTTGTTTTCTCTTCTTCATCATTCTCGTTGTTCTGCAACCAGTTTCATTGTTCTTCTTCGTCTTTTTGGCTTTATTTCATATATATTCTCCCCATGTACTAGTATTTATTACTTGCTGCTGTTATTCTCACTGCTTTTGCTGGATTCTGATGGCTGGGGCCGGCGAGCCCTGTCGTCGCTTTTATCTCTATATTTCCTGCATATATCTAGGGGCCTTTAATGAGGAGGTCATGATCGTTATAGCTGGGCGAGGGCATGGAAAATTGGTCGCTTGTTCATTGGACGGGGAATTCGTATATGAGCCAAAAGAGTTGGCGAGATATCATGACTTCTTAGTATATCTGGATCTACACAATCAAATCTACATTGGTAATTCCTACTCGGACGCTTCGTCTTGTTCTTGATCTGTGATTCTACTGCATTCTACTTTGTACTCGTTCTGGCAGTTCGTGTGAACGCCACCCCCCTCCTCTTTCGTCTTGTAGTCTGTATAACTCTTGGTTTTCTTCTACTATTTGGGTTGCCCTGCATTGGACGCGTGTCGCCGAGAGCTATCCCTTGCGTCTCACAGCAGCGAGAGTCACCGGCAGCCAAAAAAGTCAAAGACCTAGACTAGCTTTCTCTCTGTTCGGTGACAAAGGGTACCAGCAGCGTGCATGTGACCCCGGATGGAATTCCTTCATTCTCACCTCCGCCTCTTTCGTTTCCCGCCGGCTTCTTTCTTGGCATTCGATGAGAACTAACAAATTTTTGTTTCTCTCTTCCTGATAGGATGAGAGAGCAAGCAAACTAAATCCCTCCAAAGGAATGGCCCGGCAGACGTTTGGACGTGGCACTTGGATTGGATTGGATTAGACTGGCTGTTTGCCTTTTTGATGGTCAATGATTTGCAATGAGAGCCTCTACATGTGGAAATCCCCAGAGGGGGTGTGTGTTATGTCGTGTATCGACTTCTTGTTGTCGATCAAGCAAGCGCTGGGAAAGGAGGGGGAAAACATCTGCAATGTATTCAATCCAACCAGCAGAGAGTCAAAGACAGAGCCTGGCGCTTGCTGGATCCGTTTTCCTTTCTGCGCCACAACCCCCAGAGCGCTTGCGTGAGCTCCATTCATGAACCGAGAGCAAGGAAGAGGAGGAAGAGGAAGAGGAAGAGGAGTAGCAGAGCGGTGAGCATACAAAGCATGTCGAAAACGGGTAGTCAGGGGGGCGTGCAGGAATGTGTCGCCCAACACCCAGATACACACAACGTGCTTCGTACACGTACATTACATATACGGCATATATGTGCACAACAACAGTTCCAATTGGTTGGGGAGTCGCAGCAGATACTTGGCGTTTCCGCGTGCGTTATGCCGCATCCCATCACGATTCCCTTCTGTAGAGCAAAGAAGAAGAGGAAATGGCAAATAATCTGCAGACGGGCCACGTGGGGGGTGTCATCTCGAAGGGCTCGGGTAGTGATGATAGGCGGTTGTTACACGGCCCCGTTGTATGTTTGTGAGTTTCTTCGAGGAGGAGGTGAGGGGCTCCCTGGTGGGAGGCAGCAAGCTTTTGATCGGAATGCTAATGGTGATGATGACAATGACGAGGGTGATGACGATGCTCGGCGGCTTTTGGTTCGATAGCATAGCAGGCGGTTGGCCCAGAATGAAGGGGAGAGAGAGACAAGGGGGGTGTCGGATGGCGTGTTGTGGAATCTGCGGTGCTCAAGGAACAGACGAAGAGACAGACGAGGTCTTATCGCAGCCTATCGAAAGGCGGCGTTGCGTTGCATGAATTGTCGAATACGGTCCATCCTTGCGTCATCATCGTCGTCGTCCTGCCCTTCCATGGCAAACTCGTCGCTGTCGTATTCGTTGTCGTCGAACTCTTCTTCGTCTGAGGCATTGGCGTTCCGGTACATGTAGGCGTGGCGGTCGTACTCATCCTCAGTATCCACTTCATCCTCTGGGTAATCTGCCGTGTAGTAGTTTTCCGCTGTTGTAAAGGGTCAATGGAGAGGCTCTTGTCTCATGTGGATCAGATCAGTGTCTTGCATGGCGGTGGCTTACCATTTTCGTCCTCGTCATCTTCTGCATACTCATCATCTTCGTCTTGGGGTGGCCCGTAAAACAGCATGTTCTCTTCTTCTCCATCCAAAACCAAGAGGCCAACATCAGACGGTAGCACATTGACGTCCATAGTGTGAGCGGGGATGCGCACGTATTCCTCGATGATCCAGTCCGCATCGTCCCCTTCTTCCTCACTCGCATCAGCCATGGGGGTATCTGCCGTCTCCCCGGCCGGGCTATCTGGCGCTACAGCAACAGCCGGATGGCGCTCTTGATATCTCTTTTCCGGGGCCTTGGGCCTGAATCTGGGCTTCTCCGCCTGCTTCTTCTCAACCTCCATGGCGTGTAAGTTTGCACCAATCTCGTCCAGTACCCATTGATTCATGTCAGCGGTAATCTTGTCCATGTCCTCAGTATGGCGGTTGATCAGCGACTGCGGGAGAGGATGGCGGGCTGGTGGCTCCTGGGAAGGATCACGCCGCTTTGCGATTCCAGGCTTCTTGAGGTGTCTCTGCTCGATGTGCTCGTCGGAGGTCGCCACCACCTCCTGAGAGGGGCCTTTTGTAATGACTGCCTGGGCATCTCTGATGACGAGACTCTGTCGCGAGGATCGTGGGATAATCTTTTTGCGGCCTGTACGCTCGACAAAGATGGTTGGCCCATGCCGCGCATGTTTCGAGATTCCTGCGCTGGTCGGCCCTTGGGCGGCGGACGCCTGCGCCAACATCGCCCGCGATACATGGAACTTGCGCTGTTCCGGAAGCTGGCCATCGTCGGATCGCTTCGCGGTTCCCCGGATATCGCTTGTTGAACTTGAAACACGGCCGTCGCTGTGTGTTCTTATCGGCGAGGGACGATCTTCCGGTTGCGAGACGTGGATGACGGGTTTGCCATCGCTGCGGCTCACGGCCGGGCCTGACGGTGCGGCCTGGGACTCTCGTCGCTGATACACCCAATTGCGGTCGCTGCGGTGGCGCTTGGCCCCTTCTTCGAGCTCTACGCGGTGTTAGAGGAGCGGCGCACTGAGGACGTCCATGTCAACGGGCGAACTGACGGAGGAAAGTGACGGGAGACTCGTCGTCCCGTTTGCGCTTGACCCGGATGAGCTGCGGGGGAATCGACATGGCTGAGGCCTTTTGAATGTGGAGAGACGCAGATGAAGAAGATGCCGCTTGTATGTCTGTCAAATCAAGCAAAGGAGCAGTTTGCAATGAGGACAGCGCGGGACAGCAATACACAGCAAAGTAACAAAAAAAAAATCGAAGTCTGAATATTTTGGCGTAGTCATCATTTTGGAGGTTGCTCCCCAGTTCGGGCTAGCAGGTGCCGCCCATAGCGGTACAAGGGTAGGTGCGAAGGACCCGGCGTGGCATGACAAGTGACGTCGCGGCTCGTTACACTGAGGCATGATCCCCTGACTGGTGCCTTCTCCAAATAGCAGACAAGAAGAGTTGACCTCGAAGTCTACCTGATGAATAATGATAAGTTAGTACCTGTAGTCCAACATCATTCTTTTCCATATACTATCTGCAGGGTCAACGTCCAAGCCCATAGAAGTTTGATGCATCCCTCGTGGAAACTCAAGAACAAGGCGGTTACATAATATCAAACGGCGTCCCCTCAAAATATACTTCACCAGTCAAATCGTCCATCTCGCCCACCTGAGGAACCATCAAATAACCATCAGGCTAAGCGTTTCTAGCACCAGCTTCTCCGCACAGCGTTCCTTGCCTCTGATTGGCCCGACCCCAAATCCATGATATCACCGCTAGGCCTACCTGGGCAGTACCTGCGCGGAGGTTCCGCCTGCATCGTCCCGCATTGTCCAAGGAACCTGGAGCCGTGGCTGTTTTGCCGCAGAGCCACGGAGCAACGGGCCGTATCCAAGACCTTCGTGCTTCTTGCAGGCATTCTCTCGACATGCTGGCTTTACCCGGGCTGGTTATGGTTACTTTACCTCACAGACACGCTGCATTGCATTGATTGCGTGACTAAAAGCGAGCAGATGGGCGAAATAAATACCTCCCCCAAACGCATTCGCAATGCCGCTCCCCTCCCGCCATATTGTATTACTAGTAGTATTCAACGCTCGAGGCTTGCCTTAGGCCGGACGCGAACGCCTTACGCGACGCCCACGTCACTACCAGGTGCCACTCGCCAGCCATGACGATTCTATGAGCCGTTCGGGATCCAGAGCCGCCCTCCACCACCGCCTCTCTCCCGGTTCTCTCCAGCAGGGAACTTCCAGGCAGCTGCCAGTAGCCTCTGCCAGCCAATGATCCAGCGTCACGGCCCGGGTTCCCATCCAACCATCCCCATATCTTGATCCCTCTCGGAGCTGGGCCTCCAGCCTTGGTGAAGGAAACAGAAACTCGGACCTGAACCCCGCATAAGAAGAGGCTGATCAGCCCATCGACCCCTTGTTTTTTCTGCTTCTGCCGTATGCAAGGAGAGGAATAGCAGCAAGCAGCTCGTTTCCTCTACCACTGAATCAGTGGCGCGGTGCCTTCAATCCTGCAGCGCATAACAGCTCACCCCCCTGCTGGGCTTCTCGATTGGAACACCACAGCTTGACGCCGGTGTCAAGTACCAAGTACTACTGCGAAGCTCTTCATCTCTACAGACCCCCACCGTGTGTCGCCCAGCTTCCTCTTCCTCTCCAACCATCGCCATGTCGTCAGCCGCCGTTCCTTATACCGTTACGTTCCACCGCCCCGGGACTGAGCCCCCCGTGTTCCTGGCTGGTAACTTTGCGAACCTGGAATGGGGGCTCCAGGAGATGGAATTCTCTCGCAAGGACGGAGGTGAATATTTCTTCGAGTCCCGCGTATTCGGTGAGCCTGGGAGGGAGTATCAGTTCAAGTTCAGGGCTGGCAAAGAGGGGCCCTGGATGGTGGATGAGAATAGAGCCACCGGTGAGTTGCCCCGTCGCCTTTTCGATATCATCATCCATCATCATCATCATCTATCCATCATTATCATCATCATCACCGTGATTATCGTCCTCGGTATCAGTCTGACTTTTGGATGTTCCTCCAGCTACGGACGAAATGGGCAATCGCAACAACGTCCTCAAAATGCCCAAGAACTACGTGCCCAAGCTCAAAGGGGAAGAGCAAAGACGGACCTCAACCCCCATTGAGCAAGTGGCCTCGGTTGCAGCCGAAGTGGCGGATACAGCTGCAAAACTCGATGAGGTATGACGAAACGACCTGTACATATCCTTTCTCTTCTTTTTTTGCAACGCAGTAACATTCTAACAGGCATCGTAGCAAGACGACTCGACCCCTCCCATCAGCAGGTCCGGCGGAGAGAGCGAAATTGATGAAGAACTTAAAACCCCCTTGTTTGCCCACGAGTGTTTCGGCGCATACAACTATGTGGACGATGCCTTGGATCACCAAGCTCTTGATGATGATAAATTGCGGCGGGAATCTTCGAAGCCGAGGTTCGACGAGTTCAACATTGACGAAGTGGATATCAATGATCCCACCATCGAGCAGTTTCCGTGCGACAAAACGGCCATCTTCAGCACTCTACGCAAGATTCAGTCGAGTCTGGCAGAAGACCAAGCCGTCATTGATGATACACAACCGTCGCCTCGAATGGACGCAAGAAGGTTCAGCGTGGATTCTGATGATAGTGTCCTGTCTGCAGGTTCTCTCAGCCCAGCCACGGCAAGAAAGAGGGAGAATCGCATGTCAACCAGCAGCGGCCGCAACAGGTCTCTTGTATCACTGGGCTCCATTGCCGAAGAGCCCAAAACACCGGGTCCCGAGGAGGGCGCCCATCCAGTGGCCACGGCCGGCTATATGAAGAATGACACTGGCTTTGGTCGTGCCAAGAGCCCCGCGATTGAGCAAGGCGAGCATCTCATGATGAAAGGAGCTTAGGTTGGGGAAAAGCATGGGATTATGGTTAAGCAAATCGACTCTACAACGGGACAGCAGGACAGGAAGGGCGAGACATGACGCCGGTCTTCATACATAGGATGCATTTTTCTCTACTTTGCAAGCAGCCACTTCTCTGTGGTATCTGTCATTTTCTCATTTATATTTCTTCAATTATTTATATTTTCATACTATGCTTGTAGGCAATGAAGCACAATGGACATTTCGTCTCTGGTTGATACTTTCGTGGAAAATGGATTGCACCGGGGAGTCTGTTTCCCACTGCTCATTTGCAACAAAATGGACTTCTTCACCGGACCCTCCTGTCTTCCGTAAGGAAATCTTAAGGTAATCGATGGAAATTACTCGAAAAAGATCAACCTGCGCCTTTCCGTCTTTGAGATCGTGAAGCCGGGCCCCAAGTGCCGCTCATCAACGGGGCCGGCGCTAGCACTGCCGATGCGACCCGCGCCGATAAGCAGCGACAATCAGTACGATAAAGAAAAAAAGTTGCAAAGCTTCTGCATCTCCTCCATCAACGCCAATCTCACCACATCGAGACATTTCAAGATGCGTCGTGCAGCCGCAAACTCGGTCTGCTTACGCTGTGTCTACACAATCCGAAGCCGGCCTCTTACACAGCCCTCACTGAGCCCGTCAATACTTCCCTCGGTGCAGCCACAGCCATGTCTGGGCCAGCGCTCCTTCACGCAGCGAGCCAGGGACAGGCCCTCGCGCATGATCCTCGCCGACCAAGTCCACAAAACACCCCGTCTGGGTCGGGATGACCGCAAGCCGCGCCGAGAAAGAATCGCAGGTCCCTTTGCCGGCATGAACCGGACGGTAGCCAACATTGACCCCAGCCGGGCGGCGGCAAGAGCTCGCTCGGTCGATCGCAAAGACTCCAAAGACGACAGCAGGCGGCGGCCGCCAAACGATAGAAAGGCGCTCAAGATGCAGCGGGCACTGGCGTCGGTGTCCTATAGCAAACGCACGTCGCTGAAAGAGAAGATGCAGAGCTACGAGTCGTTTGATCAGTTTGACCTTCTTCCTGCGGTCAAGACGGCCATCGGCGACGAGGTCTTCGCAGGAATGGTTGACATTCGTCCGACACCGGTGCAGCGGCTGGCGATTCCGGCGCTGCTGGGACAAAAAGAGCCAGGAGAGAAGAGGGCTCAACAGGAGAGGCAGTCGTCGTTCCTGTTGGCGGCGGAGACTGGATCGGGCAAAACGCTTGCCTATCTGCTGCCGGCCATTGATGCGCTGAAGAGGGCCGAGGCCGAGGATCCGGAGATTCAGGCCTACAAGGAGCGTGCTCAAATCGAGAAGGAGCGTCAAAAGGCCGCGGATTTCAAAGGAAAGCCCTTTGAGGAGCCTCATCCCACCATGGCCAGGCCAAAGGTTGTCGTGCTGGTCCCGACAGCCGAGCTGGCTCACCAAGTCGGGCTGGTGGCCAAGAAGCTGTCGCATGCGGTCAAATTCAAGACGGAGATCTTATCATCGAACCTGAAGCCCCAGCAGATCCAGAGGAACCTGTACGGACCCAAGGGACTCGATCTCGTCATCTCGACACCTCATCTGCTGGCCTCGATTGCAGATTCCGACCCCAACATTCTTTCTCGAGTCTCCCACTTGATCATTGACGAAGCCGATTCGCTTTTCGATCGGAGCTTCTCTGCCGTGACTTCAAGCATCGTGGAGCGCTCAACGCCCTCCATGAAGCAGCTCATCTGCTGCTCGGCAACGATCCCGAGAAAGCTCAACAACTACCTGGCCACCAACTATCCCAAGATGGTCAGAATCACGACGCCGAACCTGCATGCCATCCCCCGACGTGTCCAGCTCGGCGTCATCGACGTCTCCAAGGATCCCTACCGCAACAACAAAGACCTTGCGTGTGCCGACGCAATCTACACCATCGGGCGAGAGGCCTCGCAGCACGAGAACCTGCTGAAGGACGAAATCGACGTCCGCCGCATCATAGTCTTTGTCAACGAGCGAGAGAAGACGGAACAGGTCGCCGAGTATCTCCGCTCCAAGGGAATCGATGCTCAAGCTCTGCATAGAGACACTCCCGAGAAGCGTCACGGCGAGACCCTCGAGACTTTCACCACGTCCGAGCCGCTGCGGATCATTGCGCCCCCCAACCCATCGCGGAAACGATCTTTGGCAAACGTCAAGGTCCTGGTGGTGACTGATCTGGCGTCCAGAGGCATTGACACTCTCGCTGTTCGACACGTCATCCTATACGACGTTCCCCATACTACGATTGACTTCATCCACCGTCTGGGGCGGGCTGGAAGAATGGGCCGACGAGGCAGAGGCATTGTGCTTGTGGGTAACGATGACAGGAGGGATGTTGTTGCTGATGTGAAGAAGAGCATGTTTATGGGTCAGGCGCTCATCTAGACGGTCAAACGGGATTGTGAGTGGACTTTGAGTGTATTATTTGGCATATCATTATGACGATAAAGGGAAAAGAATCTGGCTGGTTACGGCCGTGTATGATATATATCGACGACTCACTAGAGATATGGGGATGGACATCTCTGATGTGTAATGTATCATGTTACAAGGACATATCTCCAGCACCTAAGGTAGTATGAAGCAAAAGAAAACTGAAAAGTGTCCAACGGTAGTTGTGTTGGTCCATCGTTGGTAGCGCACCCGACTGCGGTAGATCTTACTAGTAGAGCGACGAGGCTGAAATCCCAAGCCGTCACCTTATTTTTCTTCGTGAGTAGTGCCCCACCCAAGCTGTCAGCCTCGCGTATCCTCCACTTCCACCCGCGTCAGGACGCGTCAAGACTTTAAGCTAAATTTAACCCGCAGCCAGTATTGTTTCCCAACCACATTACTATGACATCGCGATAACAGCAAAGCATTCTTCACTTTTTTATGCACCTTGGCCTTGAGATCGGACATAACGATTAACGGGCAAATCTTTCGTGACCACGTCTCATCAGCAAGCTTCCACCACCTACAGCGTGAATTCTCCTGCCACCTCCCCTTCGCGCGCACTTCCCTGCTGCCTGCAATGCCGCGGCCGAGGAGGGGACGCGGTGGTGCAGCTCGAGGAGCAGCCAGAGCCGCTGCACAGCCTCCAAGCAGCAGCAGCCCCAGCATCGCAGGCGATCAGAAAACAGAGACCAGAGGACGCCCCAGAGGACGCCCGAGGAAGAATCCGCTCCCCGCTACACGGCCCAGCATCAGCGAAGAAGACGCCATCCAGGCCGCAACCCGCACCCGCGACGAGGCGCTTGAGAAGCTCGCCAACAAAGATGCGACCACAACAAGCGACGAGACGGCACCACGCGCAAGCTCGCGGAGCTCCATAGAGCTCGGGCGATTCACCGCGACGACTACGCCTGGGCGCAACCGACGAGACACGAGCGGGCTGGATCTGGCCGACAGCGTTTTCGGCGACTTGGAGGACAGCTTCGCGGAGGGTAACATTCCCGGCTCGGCGCGCTCGGGAGATATTTCGAACATGTCGTATAGCGCGCTGCGCTCTCAGTCGCGTCGGTCTAGTTTTGTTGGGAGAAACGACCCCCCGATTCGACCCAGCAGCCGCACTGGGAATACCCCGAGGGTTGGCTCGTCTTTCAACATTGGGCTTTTCAAGAGGCGTGCGCGAGAGCCGAGCATTCTCGGGGGCAGCAGGATAGCTCTGCAGGAGGAGGAGCCTCGGGCGATTGAAGATTCGGAAGCGGACAGCGAGGATGACTTTGAGCCCGAGGCTGAATCCACTCCCCTGAACAACAGGCGCCGCACGCAGGGGAAGATTGATAGCGAAGAGCCGGAGGTGCCATATGAAGCCGAGTCTTCAAACTCGAGAAAGCGCAAGAGTTTGGATACGCAACAGAGCAGAGCACGGCCTGGAAAGGTGTCACGGACAGAGCCTGGTCCGTCTAGGCAGCCCGGTGAACGGGACTCATCAGAGTTGCCAGATGCGCCTCCGTTCTCGCAGCATGATCAAGTGGATGAGACGAGCGACTCTGAACTCTCAGAAATGTCTTTGCCGCGAGACCTCCCGGCAAGACTCCCTCCACGTCCAGTCACACCGGTCAACCTAGAGGAAATCGCAGCCCCGCCGGCGAGCAGCGGTTCAGAAGGGCCAGAGGTGTGGCCAGACATTCGGACGCTGGCCAAGAAGCGCCGCCGACCTTCCGTCACCACTCCCACGCGCCTCGAGAACCTCTCAGACATGTCCTCTCCCCCATCACTGACGCACTCACCCAACTACGACACGGCCAAGACCGGCAAGCCCCGCGGACGGCCACCACAGCGCCAGCAGCAGGAGTCCCCCAAGATGACCACGGCTGACCTTACGAGCTTGTTGCCCAAGCGTAAGTACAAGAAATCGCGCGATCCGCTCGGCCTGGAGAGCGACGAGGAGCTCGACACTTCGGGATTGGGCCACGAGGATGACGAATTGTCTTATCTGGACACGCAGACTGCGCGCAGACGGAAAAGGGGCCGGCCACCTACCAAAGCTCGCTCGGCTTCTCGCGGCGGCAAGCGGACAGCATCATCATCGGCTAGGCCGACGTCCTATGCAGCCAGGTCCCGTCACTCGTCGGATAAGGAGAATGCAGAAAACGACGGTAGTGGGAGCGAAAACGAAGAAGTGAGCAGGTTTGATCCTCTGGCGGATGACACGTTCAATGAGGCTGCTGGGGGCTCAGCTGATGCTATTTCTACCGAGGAGCTGAAGCAGGCGAGCAACAAGTTCAAGGAGGTGGACAAGTGGGAGCTGGATTTTGAGGAGGTGGCTGAGCCGTCTTCGCCGCAGGATGGGCGATGATGTGCCGGGCGTGGTGATATCGGTTCGCCTGTTATGCCTGGTTGCCTTTGGTTTCTGTGCTATGGTTCTTCGTTGGGGCGCTGGGTCTCTCTTTTCTTGCATGGTTGATTCTTCTTACGCTTTCACGCATTGATCAAGACACATTTGAGGGAGTGGCGCTGGTCTGGATTGGTCGGTTGGTTGGATGGATGGATTTGTACTACCATTGTTGATATCCGTGGTCTGGAATCTTGTTGCATTATCTCTCCCCTTGCGATGGAGAGCCTGCTGGGGAGCTTCTATGCTCCCGTTTATCTTATGAACAAAAAAAGAAGAAATCAAAAGTTGAGAATATATCCTAGGGTTCATGCCCAGTACCAGAACGCCCCCATGCCTCATATATGCGATGCCCTCTCACGCCCCTCTAGATGTTTGGACTAGATTACTGTTTTCCTCTTGTTTCGCCTTCCCTTTTGGTGTCCCGCATTGATCCCAATCACTGCTGCCCTGCCAGTGACACTGCTTCTATCCTGTGTTCGACAACGTTCAAGAATGGATCCAAGGCATTGGGATCCCGTAGAGCGACGGTGACATCATCCGGTAGCCTTCCTGTCCTCCGCAGCGCCTGGAACCAGAAAAAAGTCATCAGTATATGGAACATCCAGCGTCAAAATCGCGGCACCATCAAAACTCACATTCTTTACGTCGTTGAAGCTGGCCTCCTTGGATGTATACTCGCGCAGCACCTCGTCCGTCTCGAAGTCAACGTATATCCGCGTATCCCTCAACCGCACCAAGACGTTGTCCAGGCGCATGAACAGCCTGCACAGCAACAGCATGCGCTTATCATGGACCCTCAGCTTTGCGCTATACAGCGAGATCCCGTTGTCGTCTAGCTCGCTCTCGTACAGCACGACCTCGTCGAAGAAGAGGATCGGGTCGCGCCGCTTGAGCAGCTCAATCGGGATCTGCTTGTCCGTGGGCGCAAACGCCACGCCGCCGTCCACGGACCCGGCGTACGCCGTCGAGTAGCTCCAGTCGTAGGGCTTGACCACCTCCTTGATGTTCTGTGTCGTCTCCTCCCGCGTGCTCTCCCAGTCGCGGGCGTAGGCGACGCGCAGCATGTGCTTGTCCGTCTTGTCGACGGCGTCGAGGGCGTCTGTGGTGTTGAAGCTGAGGGTCCAGTTGGAGGGCGTGTGGGTGATGGAGACGAGGTTGTCGCCGAAGATCATCTCGGGGACGGGGATGCCGAGCTTCTTCTCGAGGGCGTCGATGGCGGCGGACTTGGAGATGGGGAGCTTGCGGGTCGAGATGCGGAAGCGGTTCTGCGTGTGGGAGGACGTTGCGGCGGCGAGGGCGAGGTCGGAGGGGGAGAGGAAGGGCTCGTCGGGGGCTGTGATGTGATTCATTTTGTTGGTGGAGAGTGGGTGGAAGCTGGTAGACAGCTTCCCGCTGACTTGAGTTTTGGCGGTGTAAAAGCTTTGGTGGTGTTGGTGTAGGTTCGAGATGGCGATGACTTTAGTGGTTGTAAGTTGGAGTTGCGAAGAGCTACCGCTAGTGGGGGCCGAGGAATTAAGACGGCGGGGTGGCTTGACAGAGACGAAAGCGGTAAGTAAATATGAAACTCGAGGCTGTCAACAGAAATAGAATAAGTTTCGCGAGTGGCTGATTTGGTGTAGGTTTTCCTCAAATTCAACTTCAATCAAATCATGAGTAACGACCTGACTGCATCTAGAAGTTTGTGGTTGAAACTCAAGTTCAATTGGCTGCCGAGGATCTGCATCTGGCATTAGCTAATCCACGCAAGGGCATGTGGCTGAACTCACTCCAGCTGGCTCCCGTTTCCCTGGCAACGGGGAACCCCGACCAACAAATATAAGGTATATAAGGCACTTACCCCCGTCTCTACCGCAGGAGCAGCCATTCTCGCACACAACACACCAGTCTCGTCACTTCCACCTGCGAACATCCAGCGCTCACTCACATATTTGCTGAAGCTGCTATTTGCACACTACCGCTATCACATAGCCAGTCACTCGAAAGCAGACCAAGCAAAATGTCTGTCCGCACGCTGGAGACGCGATTGGAGACCATGTCCGTCCAGGACGAAAACGACCTCGGCGAGGGCACCAGGCTGTACACCAAGACCAAGGTACGGGCAGTGTCCACTGCAAAGACTCTGACTTCACCCCTTGGAGATGATATTAACTTCGGCTTCAGGTGACCGCGTCAGCGAGCAGTACCGCCCGGGCAAACGTCTACAAAGTAGCGCTTCAGTCGCAATCCAACAACGCAGTCTCATCTGCCACTTATCCCTCGGCACCAGCGCCAAGGAGACCCATCAATCCTGCCTCGCCCGCCAGAAAGGCTCTCCCTTCTTCCTCATCTCGAGTTCACGAGGATAGGGAGAAAGAAAGGGAGGCGAGAAAGGAGAGGGAGAGGGAGCGGGAGAGGGAAAGGGAAAGGGAAAGGGAGAGAGAAAAGGAGAAGGAAAAGGAAAAGGAGAGGCAAAAGGAGAAGGATGTCGAAGAGGCCAAGCCAGCCCTGACTGAACAGCCCGCCGCGCCCAAGCAATTCCATCTTGGCATGTTCGAGATCGGACGGCCACTGGGCAAGGGCAAATTCGGCCGCGTCTACCTCGCCAAGGAGCGCAACAGCGGCTTTATCTGCGCCCTCAAGGTGCTTCACAAGAGCGAGCTGCAGGCCGGAGGCGGCGTCGAGAAGCAAGTCCGCCGCGAAATCGAGATCCAGAGCAACCTGCGCCATCCAAACATCCTCCAGCTTTACGGCCACTTCCACGACAGCAAACGCGTCTTCTTGATCCTCGAATATGCCGGAAAGGGCGAACTCTACAAGCACCTGCGCAAGGAGACCAAGTTCCCCGAGTGGAAGGCGGCTCAGTACGTCGCCCAGATGGCCTCTGCGCTGCAATACCTTCACCGAAAGCACGTCATCCACCGCGACATCAAGCCCGAGAACATTCTCGTGGGCATTCACGGGGAAATCAAAATCTCCGACTTTGGCTGGAGCGTGCACGCCCCCAACAGCAGGCGCAAGACGCTGTGCGGTACGCTGGATTATCTGCCCCCGGAAATGATCAAGCCCGGCTCTTCGGACAACTACTACAACGAAAAGGTCGACCTGTGGAGCCTCGGGGTGTTGACATACGAGTTCCTTGTCGGCGAGGCTCCTTTTGAGGATACCCCTGTCATGACGCAGCGGAGAATTGCCCGTGCGGACATGCAAATCCCCAAGTTCGTCAGCCCCGAGGCTGCTGATCTCATCAAGAGAGTGAGTTTCCAGATTATCCGCTTGAGAGTTTGCTCAGCCAGCTAACATGCAAACAGCTCTTGGTCCTTGACCCCGAGAAGCGAATTCCTCTTGACGAGGTCCAGCGCCATCCTTGGATCATCAAGCACTGCGTCAAAGGAGAGCGAGCTACCAATCGCGAGAAGAGCTGCTGAGCTACGACTTGATTCATACATACCCTCGATCTGTTTTTTTGTCTATGGTTGACTGTTTGGAATTGTGAGGAGTTGAACGGTCTGTGGAGTTTGGGTTTGCGAGATTGGTCTGGTATAATAAGGAGGAGTCGACGGAGTTTCCTTTCCGCTGCTCTTTCATTTCTTCTTGGGTCTTTACAGGCGGGAAACAGCGATCAGTCGAATTAGTCTTTGATTTTCGGGGTATCTTTGAATTACACTGAAAGTTACATACAAGCTGAGTGTCATACGCCAGAGCTGCGCTGGTGCTATCACGTTTATCGTACATCATAGGGTCTATATCTACAAAGCATTCGATTTTCACCTGTACACCTCGTCAAACGGTCTTGTGTCGGAGAAGCACGAGTCCCAGACCTCGTTGACCACTTTTGTCGCTTGCACGTCGTCTTTGCATCTCGGCCGAGCCATGACTGATTGGATGGCCCTTTTGCGAACGCAGTTTTGAAACTGCTGGGTAAGAGACCAGTTGCCGCGGGTGAGGGCTTCTCTGGTCCAACGGCACTCCCCGCTGAGCATCGATGCGCGGATCTGTGATTGGAAAGGATGTCAGTCCCGGTACCAGAGTGACTACCAACTTGCAAAATGCATCCGGACATCCAAAGTACTGACCTCTGTGCACGCAGCATGCTTCAAGTCCTTGTCACCCGTCCAGTCCACCTTCCACCTGAGATGATCCCACGCATGCACCATCTCATGCGCCAGCGTATCCTCCAAGTGCTTCCTATCCCGAATCTCGTTTGCGCAAATCAAGATGCCGTGGTTCGGACTGAACCCGCCGGATTGGCGATGCACCTGGCCGTCGTCCTCGAGGCGGGCGGGACACCGGCGGCAGAGGACGTTGGAGGCGTCGAGCTTGCCGTTGAGGTCCTGGATCTTGCCGGAGAGGAAGCGGACGACGGGGGAGTAGGTGAAGAGCCAGTCGCGGTAGTCCTCGCAGCGCTTGCAGTCGCGCTCCTCGTGGACCTTGTAGCGCCACTCGCGGTAGTGGAACTGGCCCTCGGGGGTCATCTGGCCGGAGAGGATGCGGAAGTAGTTCATCCACCACTTCATCTGGGGGTCGAAGCCGGTCCGGGAGGGGTCGTTGACGACTTCTTTGGGGGCGGTAGACGGGGTGGACGACGCAGCCGGAGCCGGGGGGGTTGGTGATGATGCGTCTTGCGCCATGGCTGTGAGGGAGGGGTGTGTGTGTCTCTAAGATCGAGATGATGCTGCAAGGGTTAATTTGTCGGTTATCTCAGCATGAGTTAATAGTAGTGAGCTGGGTGACTGAGACAAGGGGAGCGATTTCTCATGCCGCTGATGGATGATGTGATGGTGCTGGTGCTGCCTCACCTCATCCCAGGCTGTTGTCGTCCAGAATTCTGCCGACGGGAATTGACAAAAGCCCAGGGCGGTGAGGGCGCTTTTTCTCTCTCAGCAGAGCCGGGCTTATCTTATCGCGCTGATGGTCACCGCCAAGCGCTGTCATAGGAAGAAGCTCCAATTGAATGCAGCGACTCCGAAAAGCGGGACGCAGCTTGACAGCAAGCAAAGAGATCAGACCAAAACTGGACGGCAAAGGGGGCCGCGATCTCGGCGACTTGAATATCAAACGGACATTTCCTGCATGTCACTCACTGACATCCTGAGCGAAGAGCTGATCGATTTCCTATCCATCTCATTGCGCCGATTAGTTTACGTGGTTACAGCACAGGCTGCGCGAGCAGGGGGAGAAACAGGCTGGCAGAAATGTCTGAAGATATTACTCAGAGTAAGCAACGGCCTTGCCCATATGTCGATCCCGATCCATTGTGTCTCAGTGTGCTTTGATGCGCTGGGATGCCTGGCCGCGTTCTCATTGTATCGTAACGCGCTTCCTGGGTTTTCCGTCTTGCTTCTTCTTTCATGTTCATGTTCATGTTCCGTCTATTCTTCTTCTTGACTTGCTAGTCTCACTCCAATTCCTGCTCGCGACGTGTTGCCTTCAGTCTCGCAATTCTCCGTAACTCATCCCACTAACGTTTATATCAATAAGACGACGGCGTGTCGGCCATGAGGAGGCCAAAGCCGCTGACCGTTGTCATCAAGCTGGGTGAGTGCGACAACTCGAAGGTGGACGGAGGCTATCGAAGACGGGACATTTCTCTGACGACTCATGAACCAAAGGGACGAGTTCAATTGTCGACGAGAACACTCATGAGCCTCTTCTCCCAATCCTCACCCTGATCGTGGATACGGCGGTTAAATTAAGAAAGGATGGCCATAGAGTGGTCATTGTATCTTCCGGAGCCATTGGTGTCGGTCTTCGACGCATGGATGTAGCAAAGCGTCCCAAGCATCTGGCTCAGTTACAGGTACGGCCTACTCTAAAAGACACCAACTGGGCTCGGCCATTCTAACATGCTCATAGGCATTAGCAGCAATCGGCCAGTGCCGACTGATTAGCCTCTGGGACAGCTTGTTTGCCCATATGGCACAGCCAGTGGCCCAGATTCTGCTCACACGTAATGACATTGCGGATGTATGGTGCAAACACACTACCGTCGTTGGAGGAGAAGAATGTCCCTGAGCTGACCTGTTCTCCTTAGCGAACACGATATCTCAATGCTCAAAGCACAGTCAACGAGTTGTTAGACATGGGCGTCATCCCCATTGTAAACGAAAACGATACCCTTGCAGTTTCCGAAATCAAGTTTGGCGATAATGATACCCTTTCTGCGATCACTGCGGCCATGATTCATGCCGATCTCTTATTCCTCATGACGGACGTCGACTGTTTGTACGACAAGAACCCGAGAAGCAACCCCGATGCGAAGCCCATCGAAATCGTGGAGGATATTTCGGCCCTCGAGGCGGATGGTATGTTGTGCCCCCCGGGCACTCCTTACGAATACAGTTGCTAACAGTCGAAATAGTCTCAAGCGCCGGCTCAGCCCTAGGCACAGGCGGCATGAGCACCAAGATCATTGCCGCAAGGCTCGGGACATCGGCGGGCGTGACGACAATCATCACCAGGTCGTCAAACCCCGGCAACGTCCTGAGCATTGTTCGCTACCTCCATCATCAGCCTACCAAGTCATCATCATCATCCGTTGCGCTGAATCTCATGGCTGCGTCGGAAACTACGGACGCGAGGCCAGCGCCGCCACTGCACACACGATTCCTGGCTTCAAACGACCCCATTCGGGACCGCCACTTTTGGCTCCTCCATACCCCCAACCCCCATGGCACGCTGTACATTGACGAGGGTGCCCACAAGGCCCTCCTCACCAAGGCTGGCCTGCTCCCCGTCGGTGTAGTCGACGTCGAGGGAAACTTTGCCCAGCAGGAAGTGGTCAGACTGGTCGTCGTCAACCGGCGGTCGTCTCCTGCGCCGGATGGAAAGCGCTGGGAGGGCTTGGGTGTGGAAGTCGGGCGAGCGCTCGTCAACTATGCTGCGCCTGAAATCGCGAGGATCATGGGCCACCAGAGCACTGAGATCAGGGGCATTCTGGGCTACGCGGATAGCGAGTATGTCGCACACAGGTCACACATTGGGCTGTTCCGGGGGGAGAGCAGCGGCACCGCGACGCCGACGAGGGAGTTGCGCTCGCCAGCCATGTAAGGGGAGAGAGAGACTGGGTTGAGGTTTTCTATAGATTGACGTCTTACTTGGTAAAGGATATAAAAAGAAATGGAATTTAGCCTTGAGGGCTCTGGTTAAATGGCAAGTTGACGTTTAAATTGATGTGGTGGACTTGGATTCCCCTGATTCGATATGTAATGAATGGCTGCAGGATGGTTGCATTTTGCCAGGTTGAGCTCTCACATATTGCCCAAGTGAGGGACATGCTATGAGAGATGGTATGAGAAATCTTCTTTCGTACATTATCGTTGTTTCCATGTCTGTCATTTGACTTGATAACTTCATCTCAAACCGTCGATATCAATGTTATCCGGCTGCTCATGTAGAGTCCACATTAGCGTGTTCCCAGCGGAGGGCTGCCGAAGCCGGGCGCTGGAAAAATAAGAGTCAATCGGCCAAGATCTCGGGCTTGCTGCAGGTGAATCCCGGTGGACCTCGAACCGCTGGGAGTCACACGCACAAACTTTTGCGCCTCTTCCCCTCCATCGGGTGTCAACCCCACCATCATCACCTTCGACCATTCCTGCAAACCTCGGGTGGATGAAGCCAATCCAGCTGCTGCTCTCGTCCTCAGCAACTCTCGCCCGCCTCAGACTCGGAGTGACTGTGACTCGACCTCGCCCTGCTGCAGCGCTGCGCCGTCGCAACCTGTCAGTCTCTTCCACGCTCTGCGCATTCCAGCTCTCCAAGCCGCAGAACCCCCCCAAGACCGGCGCCATGTCCTCGTCCGCGACCACGCTCAAGGGCCAGCCCCTCGACAAGACGGTGCTCGATGCCATGCTCCGGCGGCGCATGTTCTACACGCCCTCGTTCGAGATCTACGGCGGCGTTGGCGGTCTCTACGACTACGGCCCGCCGGGATGTGCCCTCCAGGCCAACATTGTCGACCTGTGGCGGAAGCACTTCGTCCTGGAGGAGGACATGCTCGAGGTGGACTGCACGGCCCTGACCCCCCACGACGTCCTCAAGACCAGCGGCCACGTCGACAAGTTCGCCGACTGGATGTGCAAGGACCCCAAGAACGGCGAGATCCTGCGAGCCGACCACTTCGTCGAGGCCATTCTCGAGGCCCGCCTCAAGGGCGACAAGGAGGCCCGCGGCCAGAAGGTGGAGGAGAAAGAGGTCGACCCCAAGAAGAAGAAGAAGGCCAAGTCGGCGGCCGCCGTCAAGCTCGACGATGCCGTTGTCCAGGAGTACGAGGAGGTGCTTGCCAAGATCGACAACTACGACGGCCCTGAGCTCGGCGAGCTCATCAAGAAGTATGACTTGAAGAACCCCGAGACCGGCGTGCTGCCCTCAGATCCCGTTGCCTTCAACCTCATGTTCCAGACGTCCATTGGCCCGAGCAGCAACCTCCCCGGATACCTGCGTCCCGAGACTGCGCAGGGCCAGTTCCTCAACTTTGCCAAGCTCCTCGAGTTCAACCAGTCTCAGATGCCCTTTGCCTCGGCCTCCATCGGAAAGTCATACCGAAACGAAATCTCCCCCCGTGCCGGTCTCTTGCGTGTGCGAGAGTTCCTCATGGCCGAGATTGAGCACTTTGTCGACCCCGAGGGCGGCAAGAAGCACCACCGCTTCCACGAGGTTGAGCACGTCGAGCTGGTCCTGCTGGATCGCCATGTCCAGCTCTCCGGAAAGACGGAGACGAAGAAGATGACGATTGGCCAGGCCGTCAAGGACGGTGTCGTCGACAACGAGACTCTCGGCTACTTCCTGGCCCGCATCCACCTGTTCATGGAGAAGATTGGCGTCGACCTGTCCAAGATGCGTTTCCGACAGCACATGGCCAACGAGATGGCCCACTACGCTTGCGACTGCTGGGACGCCGAGCTGCTGACTTCCTCTGGCTGGGTGGAGTGCGTTGGCTGTGCGGACCGCAGCGCCTACGACTTGTCGGTCCATGCCAAGAAGACTGGCGCTCCGCTGATCGTTCGTGAGCGACTCGACGAGCCCAGAGTCATTGAGGAGTGGCAGATCGACATCCAGAAGAAGAAGTTTGGACCCCTATTCAAGAAGGACGCCAAGACGGTGGAGACGGCCCTGGAGGCCACCACGCAGGAGCAGCGCGAGAAGCTGGCCAAGGAACTGGCCGAGACTGGCAAGATCACCTTGGATGTGGAGGGTGTTGCCGATGGCAAGGCCGTCATTGACAAGGACACCGTCGCGATTGAGTTCCGCAAGCGGGTTGAGAACACTCGTGAATACACGCCCAACGTCATTGAGCCGTCTTTCGGCATCGGCCGCATTCTCTACTCTCTCATCGAGCACAACTTCTGGACCCGAGCCAGCGAGGGTGGTGATGAAGCCCGTGGTGTACGTTTTCCTTGTCTTTATTCCCATTCCTGGTTGGAATTCTTGGGTGTTCATTCACTAACAACTCTCTACTTTGCAGGTGCTGTCTTTCCCTCCCCCCGTGGCCCCGACCAAGGTTCTCCTGGTGCCTCTGTCGTCCAACCCGCAGTTCAAGCCTACGGTTAGGAAGCTGTCTCAGAAGCTGCGAAGCCTCGGCGTTTCCAGCCGCGTAGACGACTCGTCTGCCAGTATCGGCAAGCGATACAGCCGGAACGATGAGCTCGGCACTCCGCTCGGCATCACTGTCGACTTCCAGACCCTTCAGGACGGCACCCTCACGCTGAGAGACCGTGACTCGACCACCCAAGTCCGAGCCGAGGAGGACAAGATTCTGGATGCCATCCGGTCACTCGTGGACGGAAGCAAGACGTGGGCGCAGATTGAGACTGAGCTGCCCAAGTTCCAGGGCCAGGAGATTGATGTTGCCGTTCGATAGATGGATCGAACTTGTGACAGAGATGTTTCGAGGTGTAAAAGAGTTATAGTCAAGGACCGATTACATGTCCTGCCGGATTTCTGTGCGGAAAGATTTGAACGCTTCAGACAGAAAGATTTAGAGAAAGAGAGGACAAATCAAGTACATGTTTTTTCGGGCAATGTTCATATTGATGCTGAAATACCCATGACAAAGGCAGCCCTTGTATAGGTACTCGATACTAACTGCAAGTTACCCTGGAATCTGCTGGGTGCAGTGGTATAGCCGACATCCCGTCATGTTAACTGGGCTTTTGCTTGTTGATCTTTGTTCGACTTTTCGCACATGTCTATCAAGGTATTAGAGAGGCGTTTCAACGATTCTTTTCGCGCGCGCGTATCCCGACGTGTGCTACGGAAATCGAGTAATGATACGAGTTGGTGTTACACGTCTCATTCTCTGCGTCTGAACCCCTCCTTCACCTCTGATAGCACTCGTGAGTCCTGTTGTCGAGTGTCTTTCTGCATTTCTACGTGCATATGCATCTGTAGCACCTCGTCCTGTCATTTCAGTTCGCTACGAGCATCACAGCTGGTCGCACCCAAGCCTTTGGGGAGGAAATGGAAGTGGGATGCGGCATTGAAATGATGCGAAAAGGGTTACTCCGTAGGTTTAAAAATTTCGGCATCTTATTATTTTATCGGGCGCGCTGATTGGGGTTAAAGGGGACATGGCAAGGCAGTTGGGAAAAAAAAGAAAAAGGGTTGGATATCAGAGTTGGCTGACTCGTTGGATTTTGCGCCCGCCCCTTTCCTTGGTAGACCCCTGTCGATTTCTATTTCGACGTGATTTTGCCAGTGGGCGCATGTATGTATGAGAAGTCAAAATGGGATGAATGAGTGGACGAGGAGAAACCAAGAGCAACGTGTTGTTTGTTTCTCTATTCACGTCACAAGTAGGATTGTTTCCCTTTGCATCCATATGCCCTGTATGGAGAGTGTGTATGTGCGTAATTTGTCAAGGAAAAAAGTCGTTTCTTAGCCCTTCATCCTGCGTCCAGGAGCTTCTTTGTTTGGAGCACGAGCGGAACCGCATGAAACATTGGATGAGGAAGATGAGCTGCTCTGGGGGGCTGACAGGGTAACAAATGTGGATTGTTGATGTCACGAACTACTTAACGTACGGAGTACATACCCTTTGCTTCAAGGCGAGGTTTCAAGGCGTATCATCTCACAGAGTTGAGGTTTGATACGCTTGTTAGTAGTATTAGTATTACTTTTCCGTCGGCAAAATACGATATGATATGGATCGTTTGCAAAAGTGGGAGATGTACGGAGAGGAGATTGGCAGATGGGGGGGTTTGAAATAGACATGACTGCTGCCGTGTTGGATGGCGGATCTTTTTCCTTTGCGGCGGGTTTTTGAAACACAGGGTGAAGTTGGAGATGGTAAGTACAAACAGATGCGGGCATCTGTGTAAGGTGTGAGTGAGGGGGAGGTGGAAGTGTTTGCAGGACGGGGTTTCTATTGGCATCTGCAGCGCTCCGTGTTGGTGCGAGGAGAAGCAAACGCATGTTTGTCTGAGCTTGTGCATGCAGAGGTACGGGCACAGGCACATTGACGTCTGTCCGTATTCATCGCGGGATGCAGGATTCTCACAGGATGGAAAAGCACTGGCCCTCCGGTGCTCTTTGACGATGCTCCCGTCATCATCACCAACTGAAATTGACCGGTCCTTGGTGTCCCGCCCCGGCTGCGTCTTCTGTAACAGTGATTTCAGGTGAAAGGGCCCGGGAGACAGTGCCGTGTTAGGGCCTAGCGGCTGTCCTGTTAGCTGTGCCTGGCTGCGATGGAGTCGGGCCCGGGTGCTTGCAGCCACACAAGGATGAGCAGGAACCTGAACTCAACCAACTGCAGCTTAGCACGGCTACTAGGTATTTCCACTGTTATAACCCCTGGAGCCCCCCAACAGGGTGAAAGAAAACACCGCCGGTCTACCACTATAAATTTGTATGTGATGGGCGGCGGTGTTTTCTTTCCACCCCTTGCCCCCTTCTGAGCAAGCAACCCCCCGAATCCCCTAAACGGGCACACCATTGAAGCAACCCTCAGGGGGTTTCCGCGCCTCACCTCGACTGGTGGCGGCAATTGAATCCACCTGCAGCAGCTGCTGTGGTTCCATTTGCTTGGCAACTGACCCCACTCTCGTCCACCAGCCCACTTGCCCACCTTCTTGCTTGCTCGACGACCTGTGGCGGGTGCGGCCTTCCGCGCTGGGCCTCGTCGCGACCTTCCCCACACTGGTGCTGTTTCTCCATGTCCTCACCGGGGCTGGTAGTTGTACGTGTAAGTAAGGTACCTTGCATGCGCCGGCACGGGCGCCGAGGGGGGGAGCGCAGCGCTACCTGGGACGCTCGTAGTGTGATGGTTGGCTTTGCGCGTACTACATGCCTTACCCCGTCGCATTTGCATCAGCTGCAGTAACGGTACCTGGCCGCACAGGTTGGCGGGATTGCTGCCATGGATGGTCTCGGCCGGTAATTAAGAGGATGTATCAAATGTACCTCTACAGGTGCCAGTTGCAGGTTAGCAGCAGCCGCAGCCGCCGTCCGCCTGGGAGCCACAGGCCCGCGAGCCTGTTCCAAGGCCGGGCCAGGGCGCTGTAGCGGCGGCGGTAGCGTGCAAATGCAGCAAGTACCTGCCTATAGGCCTCGTTCCTGAGTGGTCGAGCCCCCGGCCAAGCAGAGACCTCACCTCAGCCAGAGGACCCCCAGCTGTTCGTGTCGCCTCAAATCTCCTTCTTCCCACCCCATCCTCGCTTCTCTCGCCGTGCGGCATCGCTTCTTTTCCCCCCTTCCTTTTTTTCTTCTTCCCTGCGTTCGTTTCTTTGACAGGAGCTCCGTCTGCGTCAGGCCGCAGTGGAAGAGGAAAAAAAAAAAGAACCAGGAAGAGAAGAGACTCCAAGTCCCCATACGCCATACTCCGCACAGCGCCCGAACCTCGCCTGCGCTTCCCGATTCCCTGCAAAGCTGGTCCCTGACAAAGAGGCCTTCAGCTGCGTCCTGCACGCGCGCGATAATCCCCACCGACCGTCATTGTGCGATTCTTGCGCGCATTCAGTCCGAGTGCCGCCTGTCTCTTCACTTCTGCCTCACTTCACGCTCACTTCCGTCTTCTCCTCCTCTGCCTGCCCCGCTATCTGCGTCGGGATACACTGAAAGCAAGCGGCCCAGTCCCTCGCATATTCCTCGATACCTTACACTCTCGTTATTCTCAGCCGACCAGGAGCGAGCCTTGTTTCTTCCCCCGTCTTCCTTTCATAACACATACCGTACTGCTTGCATTGAAAGCGCACAGGCGATTTAGACAAGGACAGCATTAAACAGGATACCCAAAGCATTTCTCTCCGCTGTGTTTTTCGTCTTTTATATATTTCAGCATGGCTCAGCACAGGTACGTACGTTGTCAGTTTCGCACATCACTCCGCAGCGTCACGGGCACGGTCATTCTCCATAAGCGCGACTGGGTCGGTCCAGGGCATGGCCAGCGACAGATGGGAGTCGGCAGAGGCTACCTGTCCCCGTCTGCTGTCCGCCCCTCACGACGACCCAATACCTACTGGGATTGGGTGCCAGAGCTTCTATACCGCCAGATGCTTGTGGATGGGCGTGCTTGTTGCGCGAGGCGGTCTCCCCCCCCAGGAGGACCCTGTCGCTCGAGTCAAAGCAGCCCCTTCATAAGTATAATATACAATTTGACCCTTTTCGACGGGCCCTCCCCCATCCGCCCTGGCCCCTCGTCGTTCTCGCCCAGTCCTGATGCTGAGCAGAGCTCAATGTCAAGTCAACACATGCCGTCGACGACAAGACTTATGCTGATTTCATACCTGCCATTAGTGTTTATTCGGCCAACCAGTTTATGAATCCCGGCCCTGCACCCCAGCCTCCCGACAGACCGCGTCTCAACTTGACTCCTAACCCTAATCTTCCGGGAAGCATGGCCAACATGGCCATCTCCCCCATCCGCAGCACCGCGACATCTACATACACGGGCTCTACGATCTCTCTCCCCATTGCTCGCCAGCAGACGAACAACATGGACGGAATGGGCGGCGTCGCTGTCAGGAAGGAGGGATGGGCATCGATCAAGGAAAACAAGAACCTTTTCCAACCTTGGAAGAACAAGTACTTGATCCTCCGAAAGGAGGCCATCGACTTCCACAAGACAGAGGGCGGCAAGGTGGCCTACACCCTCCTCCTCAAGGACGTTGTCAACGTTGGCAGAGTCGAGGCTGCGGGCACCATATTTGAGATCAAGCGAAGAGCCGACGGCCAGTCCACCAGCCCTGGTGACGACGATGGCCAGAACAACAAGGCGCTTCACGTCAAGGTCAAGACCGAGGACGACCTGTACGAGTGGATCGACTTCATATACGGCGCCTGCCCTGGCATGGGCGGCGTGAGCAACCCGACCAACTTCTCGCACGCCGTCCACGTCGGCTTCGACCCGCAGACGGGAGAGTTCGTCGGCTTGCCGCCGGAATGGTCCAAGCTGCTCAACTCTTCCGCCATTACTAAGGAGGATTATGAGCGCAACCCCCAGGCCGTCTTCGAGGTCCTTGACTTCTACACCACCGATCTGGCCAAGCAGAATGACAACCAGTTCGGCGGCGGCATGCCGCCAGGAGCAATGCAGAACAAGCCGATGGGCATGGGTGGCGGCGGCGCTGGAGTTGCACCTCCTCGGCCCCCTCATCCTGGCAGCAGCGGCTCCCCATACAGCCCCGGTGGTCAGAGACAGCAGCAGCAGCGACAGCCGACGCAGACTTCGTCGCCAACCTACACGTCCGCAGCCGATGTCGCCAGAGAAGAACAGCGAAGGCGGCAGCGCGAGGCAGAGGAGCGCGAGCGCCGCGAGATGGAAGAATACAACGCGTCTCTTCCCAAGAACAAGGTGCCCATGGCTCAGCAGGAGATTGGCGGTGGCTATGGCGGCTCCGGTGCCCCATCTGCTGCCGACCGGTTCAACCCGTCCAGGGCAGCTCCTCCGGCGCCCAAGCCCGCCCAGCAGATTAACGGTCTGAAGGCTCAGCGACCGGCACCCGCTCCACCGACTGCAGGCTCTGGACGGCCCCCCGTTGTCCCCCAGTCCAGCTCAAGCTCTGCACCAAGAGCTCCGGCGGCGCAGCGTAACGAGAGCCCAAGCTCGCGAGCTCCCAATGGTGGGCAGGCGACCCAGCAAAGGCAGCCGCCAGCCCAGCAACAACCTGCCCGCCTGCCCGCCTCTGTCAAGCCTCTCAACGTCTCCAAGGTCAACCAGAACCAGGCGCAGAGCGAGCCTAAGCCAGCCGAGCCGGCACCGCCCAAGCAGCAGACTCCTGCCGAGCGCAAGCAGGATGTCCGCATGTCCACCATGTCCGAGAACGAGGTCATGGCCAAGCTGAAGGAGGCTGTTTCCAAAGAAGACCCCAATCTCTCCTACTCCAAGCAGAAGAAGATCGGTCAGGGTGCCTCTGGCTCGGTATATGTTGCCAAGATCAAAGACACCGCCGTGGGCGTGGCTCGCGAGTTCCTCCGCCAGCAAGGCCCCAGGGCCCAGGTGGCCATTAAACAGATGGACCTCGCTCACCAGCCCCGAAAGGAGCTGATTGTCAACGAGATCATGGTCATGAAGGACAACCGCCACAAGAACATTGTCAACTTCGTCGATGCCTTCCTCCGGAACAATAACGCTGAACTCTGGGTGGTGATGGAATTCATGGAAGGAGGTGCCTTGACTGATGTCATTGACAACAACCCCTCAATATCCGAGGAGCAGATTGCTACGATTTGCCACGAGGTATGCACACACACTCTCTCTACAAGTGCTTTGTGTTGATGGCGATGCTGACAATCATAATAGACCTGCCGCGGTTTGCAGCACCTGCACGCCCAGAGCATCATCCACCGTGATATCAAGAGTGACAATGTTCTGCTGGACGCCCGGGGCAATGTCAAGATCAGTATGTGTCTTCTCCCGCCCCTATTGATGGAACTTTGAAAAGAATGCTAACAGTTGTGCAGCTGATTTCGGTTTCTGTGCCAAGTTGACGGAGGCCAAGTCCAAGAGAGCGACCATGGTCGGAACCCCCTACTGGATGGCGCCGGAAGTTGTCAAGCAGAAAGAATATGGCCCCAAGGTCGATATCTGGTCTCTGGGCATCATGGCGATTGAGATGATTGAGTCCGAGCCGCCATACCTGAACGAAGAGCCATTGAAGGCCCTCTATCTCATCGCCACCAACGGAACCCCCCGCCTCAAGAAGCCCGAGAAGCTCAGCAAGGAGCTTAAGGCTTTCCTCTCTGTGTGTCTGTGTGTCGACGTCAAGAGCCGAGCATCTGCGGACGAGCTTTTGGCTCATGACTTCCTTCAGCACGGCAGCGGCCTCGCAAGCCTGGCAGAGCTCCTGGCTTTCAAGCGCAATGCGAAATAAGCGGGACGATGTTTGACTTTGCGAGTATGAGTGAGAAAAGGAGAAAAGAGTCCTGTCAATCTTTCGATGTTGATGGTCTCCACGTCCCCTTGCCGTGCCGTTACTGGCCGAGCAGTGGCTGGCCATGTTAGCCCTTGAATCATGTTCTTTTTGGTGCATCGGCGTTTTTTGGTTGAGCTTTATTCTACACACTTCTTGTTCTGTGCATGCCTGCGAGTCTGCACGGTTCCCCCTTTTTTAAGATATCTGCATGATTTTAATCGAGAGACGAGGCCCACGGGGATTTCCAGGGACTTGGATAGAAAGTCGAGTCTCGGGGAATAGTTTGCTTCCTGAACGACTGTTTTCACGACGGGGGTGGCTGCCACGGCTTCACGCTTTGTAGATGTACATTTTACATGATATAGAATGAATAAACGGGTGCTGTCATGAGTCTTGGCTTCAGTGAGAGTGTTGTGATTTGGCCCTTTTCCATGACTAAGTGATGGATCACCACGTCTCTTGACGCACATATCAGGGGCTGCTATTCATTTCCAAGTACAGGTACGAAGAGGGCCAATCCAGGTTTTGTTTCAGAGAATGATTCTGTGCTATGGCAGATCACTCCCGGGAACCACGTAGGAAAATGTCATTGGCGGGGGGACTGGCGGCAAAGCTGTCGATGGTTTGAGAGGGGTGGAATGCTGTGGCCAATGGGGTGATGCGGAGAGAGATGACTCGCGGGAGGAGGTTGAATGGGGGCTCTTGGTCTTTCGAGGATCGATGTCCTGATCTTTTTGTGATGTGTGGATGGGAGGAGATGGGGTGGATGTGAGAGGTGAGAGGTGAGTTATCGGGAATTGATTACGTGGCTGGGGTTTATGGGATTGTGTTTTGGTTGTGGTTTGAGAGAGTGGAAAAAAGGCTGCTTAACTGAATCCTCAATTAAAGCTATATTCTATAAGGTAATTACCAGACAAGGATAAAAGAAGGGTTAATCTTGAATAAGGTAGAAGAAGATGACCTGTGTTTTCAGCTGTCACCGTCTTTGAATGGCCGTCTTTGGATGGATTCCAACTTGGAGAAGCTTGTGTGTTGGAAAGACACCTTACAGACAGGTAATAGTAGTAGTACTTAGTACCTCTCCTATGTGGTCCGAGTTCGTGTGTACTTCCAGGTTCCGGCGTTTTGGTACATGTAGAAAACGCGGCGGATAGTGGTGAGTCTGTGCTTTTTCGGTGGCATTTCGTCCCTTGCAGCAGCTGGCGGCGGAATGCATGTACACACACCTATTGATAGAGGATGCGGCTGTGCGACTGCAGGATGGAACATTACAAATCTTTCACGATACTATTGTGGTCCTGGCTGAAAAGTGAAGAGAGGTTTAGAGTTTGTGCTACTGGAGATAATCACTCAGGCTAGCTGACAATACCCAGCCATGGTTGCTTCGTTGTGAGGAGCATTGATGGTGGTTTTCAACGGAACGGATGGATATAAGGCGGCAAAATGCGGCAACATCCGTGGGCACGGGAGAGGAAGGGCTTGGCTTGTCAATTGGGAATCATCGGTGCGGAGAGAAGAAGTGAGGTGAGCCCACAGTGACACACATTGATAGAGGCCGGAATGGGGTCAGTGGGCTGGGTGGTGCTGCTACAGCATCGTGGACAAATAGGACTTGACTCGACCTGTCTGCTTCGTAATCAGCCAATAGTACTTGGCACTTCTATAGAACTGTTGGGAAGAACGGAGGCGGAAGAATAGAAGAACGAAGAGAAGCTACTAATGTGCGAGGGAAAAGGGGACAAGTTGCAGCAAAGAGAAGCTATTGGCTTGTTGTGAATCTCACCATCGGGCCTCCCATATGCAGGGTGTGCATGAGGCGGACAGTTAGTACTCGTAGCAGCGGCACTCGTTAGACCATGGCCAGACAGCGAATGGCAGAAACTAGAAGCAACACCGACAATTTCCAGCTGTCAACAATAGCTCAGGATCCAAGCACGGAGTTCAGGTACGAAGTGATCGTACATACCCTTGCCCCCGAGGCTGGCTCCCGCGTTTCAAAGACCTGGATCTATCGTCACATCTTCGGTGATGTGTGTGCGTGTGTGCGTGCGTGTGCAGCCTTTCTCTTCCCCCTCCTCGTAGCGCTTCCGCTGGTGGCTAGACTCGATGCGGCAACATCTCAGGGGCAGGCCGACGCACACAGGATGCGGTTGCAAGACCACACATCAGACAGAGAGGCCAATTGTCGCTGTGCTGGAATAAGCAGGCTGATTCTCTTCTGTTGAGCAGCCATGACAACTGCTGACGAACACTACGGGTTGCCACAGTGCAGGCTGTTTTCAGTCTCAACTTGCCTCTCACTCAAACCTTTGTAGTTGAATGCAAATAAGCATGCATCTGGAGAAGTGAGCAGATGCTGAGAGCAAGTTCAATTGCAGTTGAGATGGCAGAAAGAGGCTGTTCGTAGTACGAGTACCGTATCGTTGACAATATCCACACTCAGTCGATGAGGTTCTGTGTACGGAGCAGACAAGTAGCCACCCCGCCGCCTACGTGCAGCAGCTTCGACAACTTGCTTGCTTGCACGACTTCCCACCAGCGCCAGTACTCTGCCCGCAGGTAGCCGGTACCCCGAGTCTGACCACCGCCAATCGCCGCGAGCAGCAGCAGCAACGTCGACTTTCTCGCAACTTCAGTCTCTCCCCTTCTGGCCAGCCAGCCAACCAACCTCAGCCGCAGCCTCAACCTCAACACCAGCGAACTTGCGCCCTCAATGCGGCCTGTACTATATTGATCGCGCCTCTGCTGTTTCTGTGTCGTCTGTTCTCTACTTGTTAGTATAGACAACCTTACCTGTACTGCGTGCCCGCCTTCTGCCCTGCCCGCACTGCTGCAAACCCCCGGCAAGCGGCAATTCCTCGCTAAAAGCGAGCTTCCAGGGTCGCCCGACTTTCCGCACAAGCACACGAGCCAGCGGAGCACTCGCCAAATCCTCGCACCTCATCCAGTCCACCTCCGGGCTTCTTGTGCCTCCACCCTCTCACCTGTTCCTGTTCCTGTCTTTTTTTCCTTGCTCGCGGCATCATATTGTAATACAGGCATCCTGCATCTTCTCTTCTTCCACTTCGGCTGCATTCTCTTTTTCCTTCTCCTGTCCTTTTTTCCCTTTTATAGCTCTCGGGCTTGCTGTCGTTGCCGTTGCCTTTCGGCGCTGCTCGGTGGAAGCCACCACGTCACCTTGGCCTTTTTTGCCCTTGACCGATTGACTTCAACACCAAGCCCAAGCAACGCCATCCATCGCAGCCTTGCCCAGCCGAGAGGGAGGCGTTCCACGACTCGAAAGGGAGATAATACTAGTGCAATCTACAGAAAAGAAGAAAACAATCATAATTTCCCACCGCCGTATTCCCATGCGGCCACCTGGATAATCGATAATGTCCGCTTCCAGATCCGACCATTTGGCACTCGGCTATTCCGCGCACTCGGCCAGCCAGAACCGCTCCAACTCGCCGTCTGCCACAAACCCGTCAATCGATCCCTTGTCGGCCTCGACCAGGTCAGTCTTTGGCCTTGCCGGCGGCATGAACGCGAGCGGCATCATGGGCAGCAGCGCGCGATCCGGGGCTGGTTCTCCGTCGCACGAGATGTCGGCTTCTAGCCGGCTCTTTTCCAAAAGGTTCGTGGCACCGCAACAAGCTCCGCCTTCCCAAGCCTCTACCTGTCTAGAGCAGGCCAAAAACCCAATGCGAGGTTCAAGGCCCTGTGGCGTTTGAGAACAGCTCGAGCTAACCAAAGTATCAATTCTTGGTTTTCCTTAGGGCTCGCGAGATTCAAGCCCAAGAGGGCGTCCCAGGTCTTCCTTTAAATCTCTGGGGCGGGCCGCCGACGAGCGGAAACTCGACTCCTCTCCGAGAGAACATCCCCGAATCTCCCACAGACGGTTTTCCAGACTTCGTTCAGCTGCCTACCCCCGAGAGCTTGCCTCCGACTAGACGTGCTCGAGCTGGTACCGTGCCCTCACGATTTCCCGGAGGAATTGGCAACAACCTTCTGGCTGTACCTGGGGTGCCTGCCAAGTCTGCCCGCGTCACGCCCTCTCAAAGCCCCTTCAACAAATCGCCGTCTCCCGGCATTGAGCAGCCTGAGAGCAACAGCACCGGCACCGGCACCTCGACTCTCCTCTCCCGGCTGCGTGCTGGGTCTATGCCACAGCGCAGTCCCTTTGCCAATCTTCCCACTTCGGCTTCGCCTTTTGGTCCCTCAATTTTCAGCAGCTGGAACCCATCCGGCCTTGGCCGTGAGCGAGGCTCTACTCTTGCCAGCATCGCGAGCGTTGGCTCCAACGGCCCGAGCTCGCCCGCCCAGTCTCAATTCTCCCGTGAAGGCGGCGGTGAATCTGATGTGCATATGAGAACTTTGGATTACCTTGGCCTTGCTGAAACTCCACAGCCCGCGAGAGCTCAACTTGCTACGCCGTCCTACCTTTCCCAGTTCGACATGACTCGACAAATCAGCCGCTTCCGGTCCTACTCCGTCAACAACAAGGACAAGTATGCTGACGATGAGGACGACTTCGAGAATGACATGCCCATGGACAGCCAGTATGCCGCCGTGCTGCAGGAAGAATTTGCCGCCACCCAGGCGGCAATCCACAGCCACAACATGGCCGTCCGAGCCTTCGCAACCCAGACCACCCGGCCGCGCGCCCGCACGGCCGGCGTCTTGGATACGCCAGGAAGCCGGATAGTGGGATCCTATGTCAACAGCAACCCTGCCGCCGTCACCAACTCCATGCCCCAGGCTGAGATCCGCTTGCCGGAAGAGAAGGAGTACGAAGACATCTCGCAGGCGGTCGCCGGCATGAATCTGGGACGGTCCAACAGCCGCAATGCTGGCAACCATCTGAACCCCGAAGAACAGGGCCTCGATGGACCCACCAGCGCCCTTTGGCTCGGTGGCATTCCCACGTCCACCACCACCTCTACCCTTACCGAAATGTTCAAGTCTCACGGATCGATTGTCTCTGCTCGTGTGCTCACACATAAGAACTGTGGGTTTGTCAACTTCGAGCGAGTCGAGAGCGCCGTTTCTGCCAAGGCCAGCATGAATGGCAAGGAGATCTTCCCTGGCGCAGGTCCCATCCGCATCAACTTTGCAAAGCCCCCCTCTGCTTCCAACACTCCGGGACACGATGGAGCCTTTCCTTCGCCCAGCCCCGATCCTTTCGGCAAGACCCAAGAAGCCGGAAAGGGAGCCTCGGCCGCTGGGCCTGGAGACAGCGCCTCGACTGCTGCTGCAGCGCTCAACAGTACCACACCCACACTGCCCCCTCTGGGAGACATGGTGAACGATATTCTCGAGATTGTTGGCGAGTTCGGCGCCACCGAGGAGGATCGGGCTCAGATCTCGAAAAGCCTGCAGTCGGCGGTCCAGTACAACGACTACAAAGAGGAGATCCCCCCTGTTCGAGAGCCAACCCACACACGGGTCCATGACGCCCCCAAGCTCAGAGACATTCGCAAGCGCATCGACAACCAGATGCTCTCGCAAGCAGAGATTGAGAGCATTGCCCTCGAGATGCTTCCCGAGATTGCCGAGCTTTCGTCCGATTATCTCGGCAACACGGTCGTCCAGAAGCTGTTCGACCACTCCTCAGACCAGATGAGGGATGCAATGCTCGCCGAGATTGCGCCGCACCTGGCCGAGATTGGCATTCACAAGAACGGCACATGGGCCGCCCAGAAGATCATTGACGTTTGCAAGACGCCCAGTCAGCTCTCCCTCATTGTAGAGAGCCTTCGGCCCTACACCGTCCCTCTCTTCCTCGACCAGTATGGAAACTACGTCCTTCAGGGATGTCTCAAGTTTGGTGCCCCTTACAACGACTTCATCTTCGAGACCATGCTCGCCCGCATGTGGGAGATCTCGCAGGGTCGCTATGGCGCGCGAGCCATGAGGGCCTGCCTGGAGAGCCACCACTCAACCAAGGATCAGCAGAGAATGCTGGCCGCGGCCATTGCGCTGCACAGTGTTCAGCTGGCCACCAACGCAAACGGCGCTCTCCTTTTGACTTGGTTCCTGGACACCTGCACCTTTGCCAACCGTCGTCACGTTCTTTCCCCGCGGCTTATCCCGTACTTGGTACCCTTGTGCACCCACAAGGTCGCCTACCTCACAGTGCTCAAGGTGATCAACCAGAAGAACGAGACTGAGGCCCGGGACAACATCCTGAAGCATCTCTTCTTCTCCCCCAACGACCAGGTTCTCGAGGCTATTCTCAGTGACCAGGCCTGCGGAGCCACGTTCATCTTCAAGGTCCTCACGACACCCTTCTTCGAGGAGACTATGCGGCTCGAAGTCACGGAGAACGTCAAAAACGTCCTGGTCAGGATCAAGGCGCAGGCAAACCAAGGCTACAAGCGGCTCATGGACGAGGTCGGCCTCTCCACCCGGACAGCTGGGCCCAACCGAGACGCCAGCACCCATGCAGAGCAGCGACAGAGGCCAAACTCACGACAGGCCAACGGACACGGCCAGCAGGGTGGCCAGTCCAATAAGGCGTTTTACAACGGCGCCCCTGGCGGTCCTCCGAACTTTGACGCCCAGCAGAGAGGCGACAATGGCGACGTCGGGGCACCCCCATACGCACCCTACAACCAAGGCATGATGTACAATGGGCCCAACGGACCCATGCCTACGGCAATGGCCGTTCCGCAGCTCCAGTATCCTCAGGGCATGATGAACCGCGGAAATCCCCAAATGGCCTATCAATACCAACCGATGCAGCCCGCATATGGTGGCTACCCCGGCCAGCCTGTTGATCAGTACCGCCAGCCCAACATGCCCAACGGCGGGCCAATGCAACAACCCGCTGGAGGCCAGCCACCTTACGCTCCACCCCCTGGTTTTGGCATGGTTGGCGGATATGGCTACGGAGGAAACATGGGAGGCATGCAGCCCAACATGGGATATATGCAACAACAAGAGCAGGTCAATGGTAGACGCGGCCGCGCACGTCCCTCCTCTTCAAATCGACAGGGCCGCAACAACTACTAGCCTCTGGATCCTTAAAGCAAAGCATAAAAGCAATTTCTGTTTGGAGATGACGACTTACGATGACACTGTTATAGCCGGAAGATGAAGAAGAAAGGAGGGGAAAGAGAAGAGGAAAACAAGAAAAAGGCCCTCCCCCCGACCTATATACGTTTGTTTTGCAGCCAGCCGGTCAGTTGATGCAAAGGAACATTTCGTTTCTTGCCACGCTCGGAGTTTGGTGAAGATTGGAATTCGATAGAGACCCACGCATTAGCGTTCGCCTCCAGCGGCCTGGTCTAGACAAGCACTGGCTCGACGATATTTGCCTCCGAAGGTGCAGTCAACCTATTGGTTCCTGCAACGAGGATTTTCTCATTTACACTATGACGACTCAAACTCCTCTGTCTAGACCTAATCGCAGCAGCGTGTGCTGGGCTGGTCTCCCACATTCGAGCCGCAAATCACTCCTCTCCCCAAGAGACAGGCGAAACATTTCTCATGTCATTTTATTTCACCTGCTCTTCATCAGCTGTCATGCATTTATGGACGGTTACGGATATGAAACGATGGTTTATGCTGGAAATCAAAAGCCGGATGCAAGATAATGCGGGAGAACTGTCGGATCAGATCGGTTTCTCCTGATGTCTAATGTGACCATAGTTTGTTCCCTTTCTCTCACCTTTTTTTCCAATTCACTTTCAATTTTTATATTTCGCACTTCTCTTCTCTTTTTATGTTTCTCTCTGTGTAGCAGGCTGGACGACTTTGTCCGTTTTGCTGCTGATGAGAGGATATTCCTCAATCCTCTCCTGAAGACAAACAAAAGAGCCAAAGATTGATGACTATCAGACTTTGCCCTCTTTTGTTTTCTTAGGCACTTTGATATGATGTCTTTATTTTTTCTCTCTCCGTTGTTTCTTGTTCGAATGGTGGCCATAGATGAACGTGGAAGGGGGGAAACGCAAAAAAAAAGCTTTGAATCAGAAACCTACTCATTATTTCGCCTTCTGCGTGAATGATTTGGAAGGGTGGGATCTGGATCGAAAGGGGTTTTGCTTTCTCTTCTCAAGATGTGTGTTTCTTTTCCTATGCTTTGGCTTGCTGATAGGTTGAGAAGGGTAGGGAGGGGGATGATGTAAAGGTTTGACGGCTGACAAGAAGGATTGTATAGCATGAACAATATATAAAGAATTATTTTTCTGTCAATGTGAAAAGAATTGCTTTCCTCGTTCCTTATGCAGATCAGATTCAAGTAGGAATTCCTTGATTCACAAAATCACGCGAAGCCTCAGCAGTCAATGGTTCCAATCATTCTCTCTCTCGCCCCATCACCAGAATTTGGGACACGCGGGCACGTTTTAGGCTATGATACAGCTGCATAAATGCATTATTACTAGAAGTCTGCAACCTCTCTCTCTCTCTCTCTCTCTCTCGTTCTCTTTCTCTTCTTTCTTCGAGTGACGTATCTCCCGCTTACCCTTCACTCGGCAGACTCTCATACTTTTCTTTCGTAAATGTTCTCCCAGGCTTGCTCTTCCCTTTCTCGCCAAACCCCTTCTCAGGCTAATATCTTGGCTCAGGGCTCAACACAGATGACACTCCCACCTTTGATGGTTCCCCCAGAGTGTTCCCTCCTCGACTGCTGTTGAAGAACAAAGTCGCAATCTTTCGTTTCCGGGTTCCGCCCCCAATTCCCCTTCCACCGCGCGCATATGATGCTCAGATCTCGCGTATAGAAAAAGAGAAATAAGAAAAATAACGGAAAATGTCGAAAGCGAAGAAAAGTCAAAGGTTGAAAACAATTCAGTAAAAGCAGAGATCAAGAAATCGAACCGAAACCAAGCCGCACATGGACGTAAGCGGGAAAAAGGCAAGAAAGAAAAAAAAGAAAAAGAGGACGGGTCATGATATTGCAAGCTTTCAAATGGACCTCCCCAACTCCTGGATTTATGTGTGATTTTCTTCGCAGAAAGGGACAGGCAGAAATCAACAAGTCAGATGTGATGAAAAGCGCGCAAGCGTAAAAGCCTGTGGCAGGATTAATGCTGGTTGTCTGTGAAGCCGGACGGAAACAACCAGGTCTTCTATGGCTCAAGAAGGAACGAGCAAAACAAAGGCTCATCTTGTCGCAGCCAGGCGTTCGTAACAATCTATTGCGGCCGGCGTATTAGGCCAATTCGTCATCCACTCTAAAGCCAATCTAGGCTTTTCTGTGGGGGGGGGGGGAAGGGTCGATGAAGCAACTCTTAGTGAGTGATCAATCAAGTTCCATGGTACCCTCCCCATGATCCACGGTCGAAGGGGGAGTGGGCTCGGTAACGGGGGCAGATGGTTCCGTCTTTTCTGGAAGAAACGTATCCACGCCGGAAGTGTCGGTGATGGGTGGTGAGCCCGTATCGGCGGCCTTGGGAACCGAGGCTGTTGGCGGGGCTTCGTCGCCGAGCAGGTGGCGAATCCTCTCACCCATAGCGTCCATTTGAGCGAGCATAGCACGGAGACTCTTTCTGTCATTTTGAACCAGATGGCCAGACGCGATGTTGTCCGCATCCCCCTTTGCCATGAGAGCCAGGACATTGTCGTCGGCACCAGACTGATAGATAGACACGTCAGTAAAGCGGAGGGGCAAACAAGGGGCAAAGGGCACACGAGAGAGCGTATACTCCATGTCTAGGTGTGGTGTGCTTACCAGAAGAGCAGCCGTGAGCTGGTCAATGTTCTCGGACCGGCTCTGCTTGAGACCCAAAAGGGTCAGGGACGCTTGCATCTCGTTCACCTTGCGGTCATAAGCAGAACCGACAAGCGGACGGTCTGCATCGCTTGGAGATGTAGATGGGCCTACGTATGACAGCCACCGCGGTTCGTCCTGACGCGGGCCGTATCCAGCACCGCGATGGCGCAGCCTTCAAAGCGGTTAGAGGGAAAAGATCAACGAACTGATGGAAAGCTGCCGTGTACTTACTGCTCGATGAAATCAAGGATGACACCCTTGGCCTGTAGCCTGTATGTCCTGCCAAAAGAGTCCGGGTCACGCCAGCCCGACTTGTCCGTCTCCTCAGGCTCATCAGCCCAATCGAGTTCGATGTGACCGTTGTTCTTGAGGCCGCGACTGAAGGCCGGTGTGATGACTTGACCACCTTTGAGCTTGCGGAAGCGATGCGCTGGCGCCAAAGGAGGCACCTCTCCCAATACGTCGTCGACGTGTGCTGGACATCGCCAGGTCTTCAAGACCGGGGGCATGGCCAGGGGTGGATCGAGGCAGTCAATGTGCCAGTGGAGCGGACAGGCGCTGCAAGGGATAATGGCCCGAATCTCAGTGGCTGCCTTTTGACAGGCGTGACAAAGCACCGCTTCACCATCTTCGCGCTGCTTGAAGAAATCCGGCAGCTCATCATAGCCAGAGCGCTTCCTAGAGAGAGAAAAGGGATGGTCAGTCACGGATGCAATGGGAAGAAGAAGAACCTAGTTGATCTCCTTGAGGCTTCGCCGCTCAATCCGGAGATGAAGTGAAGCCAAGAGATTGGCGTGATGGACAGGTGATATAGGGATGCTTACTTTGCTTTGACTGTCGTCACTTCTTCGTAGTCGCCGTCAGCACCAGCCTTGACACCCTCGAAGCGAGTCTGGAGCTTCTTGGGCAGGCTAAAGGCGCGAGGGATGCTCTTCTCCAAGGCATTGAGGGCGCTCGCGAATGCACCCTTATAGACGGGCACGCGCGAGGGGAACCGGCGGACAAGGCATTCGTTGCAGTACCACTCGTCGGGCAGATGGTCAGACTGCACCATGTCCACGCACTCGAAGTGGAACGAACGCGGGCAGCCATCGCAGCAGACGACGTCTCCTGCGCTACCACACGCAGAGCAGTACTCATCGTTATCGGATCCCTAGGATGCCCACCCTTGTTAGCACAGCTCCTCTCCCCTCCCATCGCCGTATTACACGTTGCATCATCTCCCAGGCAGAGGCGGCATGGGCGGATCAAGGACCGCATCCACTAAAATGTGCGTGGTTGGAGATCCTTGCCCCATGTCGTGGCCCCCCCCGACTCAATAACTCCATCCAGTGTGGCCTTTGCCCCGAATTTCAGGGCAGCGTATGACAGTGCGAAAAAAAAATTGTGTGCGTGAGAATCGGAGGCTGCCAGAGAGCGCTTGCATCCCTGAGGCCGTGGGTTTCTCGAGCCCGAGGTCGACTTTTGGGCTTCCAAATGTCGATTCACACAGAGAGCTTGATGAGAATCCCCTCAAGGAGACGTGATGAAATCCCAAAGCCACATACCTGGTCTCTTGGTGCGCCGTTGCTCACCGTCACTGACTGTGCCTCACCAGTTGAGCGAGGGACACCGGCAGCAGTTCCGCCCTTCTTTTTCATCGGTCTGTGAGAAGGCATAAAATGAGATTAGCAAGTGCAACTTGTGATGGTAGAACTGTTTGACGTGCGCCTCAAGGTGGAAATGGTGGTGAGTGAGGAGGGGAGGGAATCTGGTTGTGACGCGAGCGAGCTGAAGAAAGGATTGAAATTCATTCTCGTCGAAAGACCGCAAAGGATGCCTTCATGAGTGCAGAGACGCACAAGCGATGCACATCCCCAAGAGACGGTCCAGGTCATGCTGGGGGACGTTTTGATGGGCTTTGTGTGGAGGTGAAAATTCTTCAAGACCTCTGGGAGAAGAGAAATGTGTCGTTGGGGTGTATGGAATGGGGGACTCGTTTCATTCTGCACAAGACGTAGAGGGTTTGGGAACGGTCGGGCAGCAGTTCAGAGTGAAGGAAGGGGGGAGTGCAGGTGAAGGGGAAAGCGGGAGAGGAGGTGAAGAGTGAAAACTCACGACAACTTGATTCGAAGGCCTGTCCGCGGCTTCTTCGCCGGCCGCAGGTTCGTCGGCGTCACGGCTCGCGATCCCACGGTAGAACTGCCCTCATTGAATGAAAAAGCCACCGGCGAGGAGGCGGCGACGTCGACATCGTCAGTGTTGGCGTGGCTGCCTGGCCGTTTGCTCGCCGAGCGGGTGGCCCGCGTGCTGATGGGAGCCGCCAGGGAGTTCCGCGTCCTCCTGGTCCGCCTTGCAGGAGTCACCTCGTCGCGCTCATCGTCGTCGCCGGTGCGGATGGAGCTCTCGCGGGCGACATAGCCGTTGGTGACCTTTTGAGCCTCACGACGCCTCGTCCAGAACAAGTCGTCATCGTCAGCAGGCATCGAGGAGGCCCTCAGCAGGGTACTACGCGGTTTTAGAGCCGGTTAGTGGTCGTGCGCGGCGTTTAGAGAGCGGGGGCTGTTCGTCGGGCACAGGTTGAGCGGCCTCGGTTGGAGAGGGTGTGAAGGCTCGGCGTGGGTGCGTAGGCGCTGGCTCCGGTCGTACGGACCGTCCCAGTGGCCGCGGCTCGACGGCGAGAGGTTGGGCGGGTCGTTTCGGTTCCGGACGGGGTTCCTGCCGCCGTCGCGACGGC